AAGCGTGATAACCAACTACACCACCGAACCAATTGTTGTCATTTGCTGGAGGTGGGTTTCCGAAGGAGGCCCTATGTAACGCCGAGGACGAACCCTAAACGCTAAACTCCACCAGCTCACCAACTTCATCTCTCCCAAGGACATTACACCTGCCCCATCTATATTCCAACACGGCGGGGTGAAGAGCCTTAGCTGAGGAAAAGTAAAAGATATTTCTAATAAGTGAAGGAAGTGCTATTAAGACTGACGTTAAAGGAAAAGTCCGCCCTATCCTGGATGTGGGATGGGACAACGACCAGGAAAGCGAAGAGGCATGTACCCAAGGGTCTCATAAGTGAACTATATAACAGGAAGATATGAAATGCCAGTAGTATGCAGATGCAACACAAAGGAAAGACTCCGCATCGATGAGGCAACGAACTAAAACACGCTAACACTAAAAACCACCCCTCCAAGCCTCAAGGTTTAGCCAGTGTCTTTGACGAAACCGAACATATTACCATCGACACCCTTCTCCCCAACTCCTTTCTCATGGGGCGACACAACCCCGACTCCATCCATAACGTGGTCCTGGTCATCCCGCTCGTGTTCATCCGGCTCATCCGCATGCTGTCGCACAAACATATCCATGTCCCTATCAACAGCAGCCGTGTCCTCATTTACATCGTGCGGCGACGAAATATCCGAGTCGTTCAACAAGGCCTGGAAATCCGTATCCGTGTGCGGGTTAAATGGATTATGATGCGCCGCGGCGGCTATGATACGCGGGTCGATAGGTTGGTATACCGCATCATGGGGTTGGAGCAAGTTCGAGGGCGGCAGTGTGGCGTGGGTAAGATCTGCGTGGTGGTGTTGCATGGGGTCGTGGCCGAGCTGGGCGCCTTGATGAGACATTGGATCCTGGACAGCAGCAGCCGCCGCTGCCGCCGCTGCAAGGGAAACTGATATGGCATTCGTTCCGTACGGGTCTTCGTGGAGCAGGTGTGCGTTTGCGAGGGGGTCCTCCTCGGGAGTTTCATCGAACGGCGACTTATCTTGATCCTTCTCAGCCGACGCAGGACTAACCGATCCCGATGCTTTCCCTTGCACGGTTCCTGCAGCCTTCCTGTTGCGCAAACATTTTTCACACTTCTTAATTGCCTCGGTAGCCGTGTCCTTGATACTACGCCAGTGATATTTTTCCCGAATCGTGGTAGTTGTCCGGTTTATACCCGCGTGGTTCTCCTCGTGAACCTTTTTCGCAATTTCGAACTGTTTCAACGGGTCCGCAATAACCTCCTTGTCGCCGTGCATAAGGGTGTCGCCGTCGACAAGTTTATAGTGGGTTGCGGCCGCGCGCAGTCGAGACTTCTCGGCTCGGTCAGCCCCTGGGGGGTATTTACCATATTTCAGATAAAACTTGATTTTGTCGAAGCGCTCCTCCGACTGAAGCTCCTCGGCATCAGGACCGACGAGGTCTCGGCCATAGATGAGAGCGTCGATGTAACGGCCAGGATAGGACTTTAGGTTCCCGCAGCCCTTTACGCGGCCGATGCGCTTGAAGCCAAGGGCATCCCAAATTCGACAAGATGCAACGTTGGTCTCATACACTAGGTTGAAGACAGAGTAAGTATACCCCAGCTTTGGCGCCCAGTCCAGGTACGCTTCGCCCATAAGCCTCCCTACACCTCGATTTCGAGACAGGTCGGTGACGAGAAATCCGGCGTTGCAAACATGGCTGCTTCGCCCGGGGTAGTTCGGCTTGATGTAGAAGCTCCCCAGACAGGCCTTCACCCAGTCCTTCTTCTCAGCATCAGCCTTTGCGATGTCATCAATGCTTCCCAGTAACATGATGGCGCCGAAATTCTGGAACCAATACTTGGCGAACTTGTCAACGGACATGGTCTCCAGCATCGGGTAAGTGTCTCCACCCTCAATCTCCTTGTTGAGCTGGTCGCTAAGATACGCCAGCAAGGAGCGGGGGACCTGCTCGTACGCGGCAAACGGGACAATCGTCGCGACGGTCTGGCGATCACGGAGGGTCACCTCGTACATCTCCACACCGGGCGGCAGAGTCGGGTTCCTCGGATCTGGATACGGAGGCTCCCCCGACGTGCGGTAGATCGTCGGGGTGTCCGGGTCATCTAGCATGGCCGGCATCTTGTCCACAGAAGAAGCTATCCCTACAATCTCTTGGTTTTTGTCTCCAAATGTCTCCAAAGTGTGTCTTGCGATATCGTCACACGACAGCCGAGGGACTGGTCCCCATACTAGAGCAAATTAGTTCACTTGCATCCAAGAAAGAACAAGTAAATCATCTTTCACTCCAGGTACAACTCCCCCGATCTGGCAGGGTACTGCTAAGAACAGACCCCAAAAACCCCCAACAGCAACCTCCATCTGATTCCCCAAATAAAAGCACTCCAACCACAGGAAATGTGATGGGTTGTTCTTACAATGTACTAAACAATTCGGATGGAAGGGGTAAGTCCCTATCCGGTTTGGAGCGCGGGGTCCACCAGCTGAACGCCGCGGAGCAGAACGCCGCGGGGTAAGAGGCGGGGGGGGGCCTTGCTCAGCTGGGCCCTGAAGGGGGGCAAAAAAAAAAAAAAAACTTTATGCGCGCCCAATTCGGGGTCGGATGCACGGTTGGGATGGGCGTGTGGGCGTCGGGGATTTAGTGTGGTGTGTGCCTCAAAGCTTGGGTCGTGATTGATGTTTTGTTGGTGACGAGATCTTCGCTGTTGCGAAGTTTCCAGCCCGCGTTCCTTCCCAAGGTTAATTCGACGGAGGTGGAGGGGTAAAAATAGAGGGAAGCCGCAACGGGGCGCCACATTGCAACAAAAGAATTTTTTCAATGTTTCTTTTGGCGATTTTGACGTGCTTATCTAAGACTCCCAGGCACCAGCTAAATGCTTGATGAGGCGACAACGGCAGGAACGGCAAATTGTACTTCGAGAGTCGGATATTTTGGAGTAGACATCGGTCGAGTTTCTGTGCAAGCCTCGGTACCGCTGGGATGGCCTAGATGCGGCTTTTGGAAGCGATTTCGGGAGTGCATGGACAGACCAAAAGACGGGGAGATAGCAGTCCAAGCCCACTTCTATATTCTTATTATCACATACACGACAATAATACTCGTATAAATACACATAATACACTAGCCCTTACTCGGGCTTAGCAGGCTTCTTCTCCTCGCCAGCAGCCTTCTCTTCACCAGCCTTGCCCTCCTCCACCGCCTTTTCGACGCCCACCTTGGACATAATCTTCTCATTCACCTGCGTCTCGCTCTCTCCCTCCTCCGCAATGACGGTCTCGAGCAACTTGCTCTCCTCCTCACTAAGCGCATCCATCTCCCGACTGCTAGCCACGAGCTCCTTGATAAGGTCATCTTCCTCATCGGCAAGCTCATCAGGCAGGGAATCCTCCTCGGCAATCTTTTGTAGAAGTTCTTCGTCCGCCTTAGATACGAGTTTCTCCGGCGCGGATTCCTTGAGACCACCAATGATCTCCTTGTCGATGAGCGAGGACAGGATCTCGCCTCTCCTTGCGTGCATACCCTTGATGAACTTGGTGATGTCGTCGGGTGTCCTCCAGGTGACATTGCCATCCCTTGCTGCGGCTAGTCGTCTCTTCTGTCCCTGCTTGCCGGCCTGGCCGAGGACGCCGGCAATGAACGCAACGGATCGGAGACTGAGGAGAACAAGTGTTAGCGTAAATGAGGCATTGACTCGGGTGGCTCAAGGAAACCCTTACCTGTCGTCGTTAGCGGGGATGGTGTAGGTAACCCAAGAAGGGTCGGCATCGGTATCAATGACACCGATGGTAGGAATGCTAGCAAGTCCACATTCGTAGAGCAGCGTATAGTTCTCCAGAGGGTTCAAGCACACAACGAGATCAGGCAGCAAAGGCCTCGTCTGGTTGAGATGCCTCTCAAATCCAGGGAGGTCACTGTCGTGCTCATTCACGATCTTGACCAGCCTATCCCTGAGGATAATGTCCCTATTGGTGATCGAGCCGGGCGTCCACTTCGTAAAGAGATGGCACGCCTTCGCCTCCTTGGCCGCAGCGGTGACGATCTCCATCTGTCCCCTACGCGTGCCCACAAAGAGCACGAGACCACCACGGTAGGACACCTCTTCGACCACCGTCGCCGCACGTCGCAGATGCGCAGCGGTCGTCTCAAGGGAGATGATGTGAATCCCCTGCCTCACACCATAGATGTATCGAGAGTTCGCAGGGTTCCAGAGAGACGCATGGTGGCCCATGTGTGTCTGTGCCGCCATCAGTCGCTCGAGGGTGATGTGCTTCGGCGGAAGGGGGTTCTTGATTAGGAGGCCGGGGGCGTATCGTTGCTCGACATCGGAACCAATTGCTCGGGTGTCTGATTTCTGGATTCCTCTCGCCTGGTGTTTCGCTCTCGGATTGGGAGGCTTGATTATCTCCAGGGGATTTCCGCGGTTATTAACTGTCGGGGGAGCAGAGCTTTCGGTCGCGATGCATCGGACGCATGTTCGCGCAATCGGCGTCGACATAACCCGCCGGCCTGCCAATTGGGTCAGCAGAGTTCAGAATATAATTCAGCGATCCCTCTAACTTACAATGCCGTACGCCAGCATTTCTCAAAATCATGGCTGCAGGTTGGTACTGAAAATGATTGCACCCCCCAATGTCTCGAGCTGGGCGGATCGAACTTCGAAATTTTGAGCTTTGCTCGGCAAGTCACAGACCACCTCCAGCCCAAAAATTGACATCACGTGACCACGTGAGATGGGCTGATCTGGAATCGCGCTGGGGGTCACGACGACTCGTAGCTCTTCAAGTCTCAACTTCCTGCACAAACCTTCTTGCATAGCCTTTGTCTCTGGATTTTTTGGAGGCACTTGGGCACTCGCTCAATTAGTGCGGTTTACTAAAAGATGCAAACAAGTTTGTATCGACAAACGAAAGTAGAGGAGTATATTTGTAGCAGACAAACTTGAATTATTTAGGCATTATAAAAAAAAAACAATAAACCAGCAGTCTACAAATACACTGCATACACTGTAATATTCGATACAAGAATCAAGGTATACGCCGACTCGCTAGCATTATGCAACTTCATTCATACACCCCCGAAGTGTCCCAACAGCCTTACCTCCCGGATTCAATTTATCGGCTAGTAGCCCTGGAGATGACAAAGACACCGACGATGACAGCGGCCAAAGTTACAATAGCACCGGGAAGAAGGAGCTCGTTGGGAACGCCGGCAATGACTTGCTCGGGGACGGGCGCCTGCCGACTCTTCCTCGATTTCCTAGGGAGAAGGTCTTCCTCCGACTCATCATAGGACTCCTCGTCATCCTCGTCAAATTGCGCCCTGCGACGCTCGCGGAGACCAGATGGGATAGATTCCACGGGAGTAGCAATGGAGGACTCGGCGGGGATGGGAAGGGCTGCAGGAGGCTTCTCCGGATCATGAACGAACAAGTCGACCTTGTCCTTCCTGTTTTGCCTAGCAAGCAGAATAGCCTCCAAGAGATCGTTGTCCGTCGTGATGGACACAGAGTCGCCCTCGTCGTCAAGATAGCTCAAGGCGTAACCGCCGCTAACCTTACCATCCTCCACGGTAGGGCTTCCACCAATGGTCTCTATCTCGCTACCAAGCTTGGCATTCACGCCCTCGACGAAAGCGGCAATGCCTTCGGAGGCAACCACTTGTAGACGGTGAGTTCGACCAGAGGGTGCCTTGAACTTGAAGGCAAATGGCGTGGCGGCAGTGGGAGGGGCAACGCCAGCGAAAGATCGTGGGGGAGACTCAAGTCCGGCGTGGGATGCAGAGTCGCCAGGTGCGAGGCTGTCACCGGGGCGGTCCCTGGTGAGATCGGGGGACATGATTCGAGAGCCCAAGTGTGTGTGGTGGAGGCTACCACCTTCAGCAGACAAGGCGGACTCGGTTTCGTTGTCGAGGGAGAGCCAGAACTTGTTCCAAGCAGGGCCTTCGGTATCGGCGCTCTGCATGGTGTTGATCTGCTCGAGGGTAGCGTAGGTGAGCTTGAGCACGTCCACCATACCGACAATTTCGCCCGAATCATTCATAACGGGAAGGTTGAGGTAATGTCCATCTAGATACCAAGGCACATAATTGTTAGAGAATAGTACTTCAAGATAGACAAAGTAGACGCCACTGCCAACATACCGTGCATCTTCCTGAGCGCCTGCTGAATGCTCATGTCCATGGGCGCAAAGTCGGGGTGGGGGGTCATCACACGGACGACGCTGCAGTTGGTCGGGTCCAGACCAGGAGCAATGACACGAAGAACAACGTCCTTGCTAGTAAAGATACCAGTAATGGCACCCTGGTCCTGGACAAGGACGGCGGTCGTGTGGTTCTCCTTCATGAGCTGGGCAGCCTCCTTCACCGACGTGCGGACGCTAACCGTAGTAGGTGGCATTCCAGTGAGGACCGATTCCAAGGTAGGACCAGACATCTTGGATCGGAGAGCCTCGACATATTGGATAATCTGCTGAGGCTGGCTTGTTCCTAGTTCGGACTGGACACCTTCTAGCGCGTCATACAACTTCCTAGACGACGAATAGGCCCTCTCCAGCTTTTCCATCGCATCGTAAAAGCACTTGGTGATATCGAGAATACCGGAGATGTCTTGGTTCTCGTCCATGACGGGAAGGTGCCTGAAGCCCTTTCGCACCATCAGATCCAACGCATCGGTCGCACTCGTATCGGTCCTGGCGCAAAGCGGGTTCTTGGTCATGATGTCGGAGATCGTCACGTTGTTGGCCTTGAGGCCAGCACCGACCACCCGGAAGGCAAGATCCTTGGCCGTGAAAATTCCCGCAATGCGATCATCATCGTCGGTGACCAAAACACAGTCCTCTCGCTTGGCGGCCATGAGCTGGGCGGCCTCGGCAACGGTCGTCGAAGGCTTGATCTGGAGAGCCTGGCTCGGTTTCAGGGCAAGAACGGTGCCGGGAGGAGCTTTTCGGGAGTGCCGGGCACGAGTTGCCAGGTTCTTCTTCTTGGAGAGATCGTTCTCCAGCTTTCGACGAATAGCCTGTTTCCAGATTTTGACAAGTTATTATCGAGTCGACTCAGAGACAATCGTCTCGATGGTATGCGTAGTGAGTGTGGTGAGAGCTGCTTACCTCATCTCGTTTGCTCTGCTTTTGCCTACTTGCGCTGACACCAGAGGTTCCCGTTCCCACGTCACTACCACCGCCAACATGGTCACCAACAGGCCTTGGGATGCTAGAGCCAGCTGGGCTCCCCGTAAACGGGATTGCACCTCGGCCCTGAGACCGACTTGGAGTTCCCCTCAAAGTGGTTGACATCGAGCCAGTCGTGAGCTTTCTGAAGTTGACTGATCGATCACCAAAGCAATTCAGGAGAGTGAGGTTTTGTTTGTTGGCCTTGAAGAGACAACAATAACGTGGATGCTAGGGATAGCAACAAAATTCAATGGATAATATCAATCCTTGCTATGGCAGGGGAGGAAAAAAAAAGAAGCTGTGGAATGACACCTGGACGCAAGAACCACGTTCGTCCAAGAGATTTCCTGCAAGGCGATAGGCTAGCCAGGAAAGGGACCAGTTGCAGTGTGAAGTTGTCAAAGTCGAGGTCGAAGGGGAGTGTGAGGTAAGAGTGGCTGCGGATTGGCGTGGGAAAATTCTCGGCAATGGCGCGTTTACTGGTCCGGTTTGTTGTCGTGGTGATTCGATTTCCCTGTTAGCCTCCGAGAAGAGCGGTGCAGGAGTGGACCTGTAATGTATGACAGAGAAATAATTGGACAATTGGCTGCAAAGCCCCCTGTATCCAGCTTAATCATCGCCACCCTGTCAGAGGTGGCTGTCAAGTCTCACGGTCTCTTCAGCCCTGAGTGCAAGCTGCTTGAATGGCGTGAATCTGTGTGGAGTTTTCCAGTCATCCGAGGTCTGCTTTCGTACGATCTCATGAGCTGAGTCTATGCGCTCAAGAATGGGAAGGGCTCCGGAAACATTTCCGAGGCTTCCAGCTGCGGAGCCGGAATTACAGAGTACCTTGCCCACATCGACGTCAAGCTGCAGTGCCCAAAGAAACCTCACTTTTCTCTGGAGATTGAAGTTCGTATTTAAGACTGATGGGGCTCTTGCCAGCGTGGCACAGATTCCGCCTCATACAAAATGAAATGCCAGGAAGAAGGAAATCCGCAGTCAACTGGCGAGGAAATCCTACTCCTCGTTCATTGGCACGTCTTTCGAGAAGATTTGAGATGAGTAAAAGGTGTAAAGATGTATTGCTACGGCACGTTCCCACGGTGAGCAACGCCATTTTCTGACAAGAACCAATTTTTACCGGAATCGACTGCTCGCAGAAGGAGAAAACAGGAAACAGGAAAGAAGAACAACAGGAGTTGATGACCGATTCAATGTGTATCATGGATCATCTATCAAAGCGACATCTCGGTTGGATTGACTCGAGCGCTCTTTGTCTTATCCCTCAGTCTCTCACCTCATGAAGCCTCCGAGATGCGGTAGGTGCTCATTTCTGACCTGCCATCTTGGGAGATGTGATGAGCAGTGAGAAGAAATCAGGAGGCATCCTCAGCTCAAATGTCAAGATATCTTCCGTGAACATTCAAATTCTTCCTCAAATGTTGCAAGTATCAATCATTGCGGCAGGCTCGACTCATGAGGTCAGACGAAGGAACCCCCCTCCTCCTCCTCCTAAAGACTTGGGCCATATAAAACAACTGTGAGGAAAGTCGATATTCTCGTCAAAATTGGTTATGGTGTTGTCAGTGCAACGAGGAGCATTGGCAGCGAAGGAAGCCTGCGTTCAAACACTCTTGTAGGAAAAGGAAATAGAAAAAGATTCGACCTAGTCAGATCTAGCCTGTGACAGAAATTCCTGCTCGAATAGCCCGATTCGTTCAATACTGGGGATATGGGTATTCTGCACATACTTGACCTCATTTCAACGCTTTCATGCTCGTTTACACCACGAGACAGATCAACCAGTGCCCCTTCCCACCGGATGTGTGTTGACATCTTCATGTGATATTCCTCCTCTTGCTTCTAGGTAGGCTTGGCCATCCGGACTGTGCAAGTCGATGAGTTTGTCCAAGAAAGGCCGAAATCGGCATCCCTCGTCTCCTCGTCTGTCCATCATCCCCGCCGAGACCGAGATGAAATCCCCCCTCGTCGCCACGAGACTATCCAATGGCTCCCTAACAGGTGGATATATCTCTGATCGTTAAGTAAACAATATCGCATCGAACGACTGCCGCCACCTCACCAGGAGCATGAAACAAGAAAGAGGTGAAATCTAATCCGTAGTTCGGTGAAATCCCGCTTCTTGCCAATGTTTTGGTCGACCTTTTCGTTTCCACATACAAGATTTCGTCCATCTTATCGTCCCCATCCCGCGACAGCAGCAAGTTCCAGCATCTTCGATGGCTGGCGAGAGTAATGCTCATGACGCGGCGGAGACCTCATGGCCCAACTGGGAATGGCCGCATGTTGAGGAAGGAGGGGTTCAAGATCGAAGGACGAGTTGGGATTTTGCAAAGGATATCAACCGGGTGGAGCAGCGGCAGCAGGAGCTTATTCAAGTTGGCATGCACCCAATTGGAAGAAGATGGAGAAAAAAATACTGCTGTCCGATTCGAAGCCAAACTTGGGGGGAACCCCATCTATAAAACGCCATCTATCATAGCAGCACACGATATGGTGGCATGCGTCCTGCACCCCGCGGCGTTGCTAGGGCAAGGGGCGGATAAAGCCAGAAATGGGAATCTCACAAGAGGAAACATGACCGGCTCTGTGGGAAAGGGCCGAAGATGAAGCCTCAGCAGGGTGTTGTTTACTAGCTTGGAAAGACAGGGTCTGGAGGGAAAAAAATAAAATACGGTGGATTCCTCTGAGACAAAGATGATTGTTTCTCAAGGGTTGGCACAACGAGGACTCGCCGAGCATTCACAAGACTTGAATAAACTTTTTTTCCTTGAGACGAACTTATGCAAGCGCGAGGGCAGACCCGATCGGCTCCGGATGAAATGCAAGGCTGCCGACTCTGTCCCAGATTGCCGGAACAGGAAACTACGCACAAAGAACACAGAGGAGCATTTTGGCGAGCGGTGAGCTCGAAACTACTAGAATATATCCCGTCTTGGAGATCGCACTTTATGATGCGATATCTCGTCCTCAGATTGATGGTGCAAATATATTGCAATATATCCCAAGACTCCTCATTCCATCGTTATCTTGTCGCAGGGAGTAGGGGAGATGACGACACCATCGAAGCTTGTGCTATGCCGGCTATCTTAACAGGCGCCATCGGCATTGAAGATTCTGGCCCTCAGACGAACGGTCGACTTTCAAGCTTCCCTGTACTTGTACAAAACACAAAGCTGAGAGACGTCGAACAGAGACGGGCCGGAATATTCCTTCAGGGTCTGCACTGCGTGATGGTGAACAAAAAAAAAAAAAAAAAAAAATGGTATCCCAGGGAAGACGATCATCTGAAGAGCTCCATGGTTGTACGATCAAGAGGTGCATTTCCGGATGAAACAGGAGTCCATACTTCGTAAGTTTTGTATCAAATATCCAGGGCAGTCCGAGAACTCGTGCAGGAGTGGATTGGGGAGGTCCGTTTCTAGCGTCAAATTGCAGGCCCGAAAATGGCGCGCATTCTAACCGAAGACGGAAAGGACCCTTGTTCGGGTGCCTGGTTGGCCTGGTCTGAGCGGCTGGTACCAGCTGATTGGAGCTTGCGCAGCAACGGAAGGATCAATGTACACTGTGTACTTCGTATTATGGGCTTGTAGTATTCTTGTGCACAGGTACACCGTGTACCAATCAGCAGTCGAGGCGGGACGCTGAGAGACGCTGAGAGACGGCGCCTGTCTTCACATGTGCCGTTGCCGTGGCGACTGGGCCAAGTCAACAATCACGGAAACAGCCTCGCTCGCCAGCGCACTCAGCCTACCAAGCTAACCTTGCCTCTCTGTCCTTTAGATACACGATCCTACCCCCGAATTTTGCAGTTCCCTACCAACTGCAAAAAGTTACTCCACTACACCATTGCACACTACCTTGCTTTCCCAAAGGAGCTTGCATCTCACACTTCTTCGAAAAGAAACTGCTGGTGTATCCCTTCATCTGAACTGCTGAAGAAGATACACTAACACCATCTCAAATCGATCCCATTGACTATCTGATACCGCAGAGGACGGCCTATTCAAGAATCCTCCGTCAACTAGCGATACTCTTCTCCTGAGAAAGGGTTCCAAACACATTTCTCATCGCCTTAACAAGGCACTGAATCCCATCAAAGTTTGATTTGTGTCAATACATCCACTGCAACTGGGCGCAAACACGATCTCAACGTTTTAGCCCGGCAGCCTGGCTTGCGCTGCGAGAGGTATGAATGAATCTCTGAACGGGAGCTTCTCGTGGTTCTCAAGAAAGAATAGGAACGCTGACGGAGCTTGGGGGAACAAGTTTCGGACCATTAGGTTACCCATTTTGACAATTATACGACAACAACCGACGACAATTCTTTCCCCCCTTCCGGACTCGACTATCCCCCACGACAGAGATGCTATCCAATCCCTCGATGACGACAGGTCTTCACTCGGCCGCCATGCCCACCATCGCCCAGCGCCGGCGGCAGCATAGGCGGCAGAACTCGACCCCGTCGGCCTTTGAAACAGTGAAGATCCAGAAGAACCTGCCCCCCAACCACAGCAACAACATCAACACCAACAACACCAACAGCAACGGACGGCCTGCCGGAGGCCATCGCCGCGGTCTTAGCCTCGATACCAGGAGGCAACACATAAGGCAGCGGTCGACGGCCTCGGCGACGACGGCGACACCATCACCCGCGGGACCCAGGCAGGACTTCACAACGGTAAGTATGACCACTACTAACACAGGATTAACAGCTACGCAGCATCATGTTCTGCGAGAAGCGCAGCAGCAATGCCTCCAGGTAGGCCCGGGCACGCAATATGCCTACGCCATGACTGGAACAACTCAAGCACAGCCAGCAACAGCACCCCCAACGATATCGTCCCATGAGGACTTTCTCGTGTCAGTCCATGGAAATCCTCACGCTCAGAGATTCGATCCGAACTGCTTCGATCCCAATTCTATCCCCTTCGATCAGTACTTGATCATGCAGAAGAGTCGCGCCAATTTCGAGAATAGCATGGCTGCTTCTAACGAACTCTTCGCCGCCAACAGTGCCCTCTCCACACCCACCTTCGTCAACTTCCAGGAGAACCCTGTGCAGGCTCAGGGCTGGACGTCTGAGGGAGAGGCATCCGCTGGTAGGCGGACTGTAAGGCGTATCAGCAACGGAATCATGGATCGGGTAGCCAAGTTCGAAAATCTGAACGAGGAAACTCAGAGGGCTTCTACACCTCCACCCCAGAATGTAAACAGTACGTTGTCCGACGAGCCCCAGGTGCCACCGCAGACTTGAGACAGCTAACGAAGCATGGTAGATTGTCTCCCCACACCCCAGACTGAGGCTGCTGCCACCCAAGTTCAAGTGAACCAGGAGCAGCCTCCTAGACCGAATCGTTTTAGCGACGGATACGACGAGTCCATGGAGGAGACTATCAAGCCGGCAAGGAGGTCCGCTCAGCACAAGTCGACAGTTTTCGATGAGATGCGTAGGCAGGCCGAGCAACAAGAGCAGCAGCAGCAACAGCAGCAGCCTCATCAACAACCACAACTCCAGAGGATTGCCCCCGCTGGCCCTCTTCCCCAGAGAGCCAACACCATGCCCGACTACAAGACCACAAACTTCCACGGTATGGCCGTCATCCCTGGCGGCCATGACTTCATGGACATGAACAACTTTAGCCACGAGTTCATGAAGATCCGGAGTGGTTACGATGGCATGAACTTTGGCATGGTCGACGGAATACCAGACATGGCGAACCCTGATCTCCCTCAGCCTAGCCCCTTTGACAATCTCCCTGATCTCCGACCTCACGACTCCGTATCCCAACCAAACTCCCCTAGCCGATCCCATTCTTCCCGCCGAGCTTCTCCTCACCGCCGGACAGACTCTCTCGCCAGCATCGCCAGTGCTGCAAGCATCGCCGATATCAACATTGAAGAGACGCGCACCGAGACGGGCATCACGATCGAGGATATCGCGACTTACATCCAAGGCCCTGATCCCGTCGACAACAAGTGGCTATGTCTCTACGAAGGCTGTGGCAAGCGCTTCGGCCGCAAGGAGAACATCAAATCCCACGTCCAAACCCACCTCAACGACCGTCAGTACCAGTGCCCAACCTGCAAGAAGTGCTTCGTCCGGCAACACGACCTCAAGCGCCACGCAAAGATCCACACGGGCATCAAGCCGTACCCCTGCGAGTGCGGAAACAGCTTCGCGCGCCACGACGCCCTTACCCGACACAGACAAAGAGGCATGTGCATCGGTGCCTTTGACGGCATCGTGCGCAAGGTCGTCAAGCGCGGCAGGCCGAGGAAACACCGCCCGGACATGGAAACGAGGGTCGACAAGGCGACACGCACGCGAAAGAAGAACCTGTCCATCAGCTCGATGTCGTCGCAGTCCGGTTACTCCGACGCAAGCTCGGCGCCTGGCTCCCCTCGGAACGACTTTGACATGCTGGACAGCAGCGGCTTCGACCTGATGGACGTCGCCATTGACAATTCCACAATCAACGGGGTGCCGCCCATGCTTGGTGGCCCCGCCCCCGGTCAGCACCAGATGGCCACTCTCCCCGCCGCCGATACCTCCAATCTCCAACAATACGCCAACTCCCCCGAGAGCCACCACTCGTACGTCTCGCCCGAGGCCATCATGGAACCTCCGCAAGCGCTACCGCCCCATCCACAATCGCCAGCCAAGAGCATCGCGAGCCAATTCAACGAGCCGCCCGAGCTCTCGCAGTCCTCGTCTCCGCCGCCTAGTCGTCTCTTCGACGTCGAGCCGAACACGTCCATCACTGACGACTCGAACCTGTCTGCCTTTGTCCCGATTACCTCGGCGGGCCAGAATCTCAATGGTTCGTTGACGGTGGGCATCGGTGAGCAGGACGACGAGATGCTCCTCAAGGCGTTTACGAACGATGAGAGATTGCTTCCTTTGGATAGGGATCCGTCCATGTTTATGATGAGCAAGTTTGATGAGGAATACGCCGTGAGCATGTTGAATGCGGAGAACGAAATGTTCTTCGGAAGCTGAGAGTGTCCATTTGAGGCGCTTTTTCCTTACCTCCTATGGGCTACCTCTCTCTTTCGTATGAAATTTCGCCGCCATAGTCTCGTTTCCTGTATTCGACTCTTTCTCGCAACACATCTTCCTTAATCTTCATCATACGACCCCTACCATCTCGATCTTTCATCCTCCTTTTCGCTCCGACAACTCCCCCGGTACTACTCCAGCGATGACGTTACGGCCCCTTTTGCTCATGAAGCTCCATATCTACTATCCCCAGCCCCATGTTTTGATTTCGACCCTTACGCGCAAAACCAGGACGAACATAGACTTGCCTTTCTTCTCTTTCGACAACCCGTAATCAGCACCCGACTTCGTATTCGACCCTTCGTCCGCTCAACTTGTCCGAAATTTCCTTGGAGCGGACCGGATTTCTCCTCCTCATGTTGTCAGAAAATATGTATCACTACCAAATTTGTATAACGGTGACCGGAAATGTGGGAGGTTCCCGATTGTTTTATTTCCCTTCCTCCGCCTTTCAACTCGAGTTCTATTTCGACCCTCGATTTCTTTTTGCGCCAACTTGGGATTCTTGTCGTCTTTTTCTTCCTTTTATATGGGACTGGGCTTATGGGGAAAAAAGGAAGAGGCCAGTGGATTTTGGTTCGGTAGATGGAAACGTTTTAATTGGGGAGGTTCTTCAACTTTGGTGTTTTGTTTCGATTTGCTCTTTTCGTGAGGGAGGCGTATGAGAAATTGGATTCGAGGAGCGAGATTCTCTTCTTTTTCGGAATTTCGTTTTCCTTCTTTGTCCTTGTTCTTATGTGGCCTTCTGGGGAATTCGGGTAGAGAAATAGAGATATTGGGAATTGCAAATTGGAATTGGTATTTGGCAAATACTGTTCTCGGACGAAAATGTAGAAAGCTTCATTGTGACGTTAAACATGTATTGTTTTACAGATCCTAGTAAATTCTCTTAAAATCAAACTCGTTTCTAACTCTCGCCATAGTCTATTTTTTTTCATCTTTTTCTTTGCTCTAGCTCTCCTTGTGCTCCTCTGCCTCCTTGCACTCGAAACGATGCTTCTTCCAATCCTTCTTCTGACACTGCCCTGAACAATACCAAACTTTCAAACACCGCGTACACCTCTTCAACTTCTCCCCGGCCTCCAAATCCGACTCCTTCTTCCCACACGACTTACACCGGACAACATCGAGCTCCCTAGGCATCAACGGCCCAAAGTCCACCGTGCGCTCGACGAGCGGACACGCGAACGCCGGGCTAATAGCCATGCGCACGGCGTACTTGGAAGCCGTCTCGCGCCATCCAGGGAGGTTGAGGAAGTGTTCTGGAATCTCTCCCTTACCGCAGCTGCAGAGGACGCGCCCACCCTTTTCGAGGCTGAGGGGAATGGTGGCGTTGGGAGCCTTGTACTCGCAGGTGGGGAGGTGCTCCCACGTGCGGCACCTTTCGGCGAACGCGGGGAGGGCCTTCTTCCAGGTCTTGAGCTCATCTTCGTCGACGTCGAGGCTGCAGATCTCCAGGGTCCGCAGGAGGAGCAGGAAGCCCTCGATTTCAGGATTCTTGAGCATGTCGGTCGTCATGGGCATCACGGCCGCGTCGAGGACGACGGAGTTGGAGGCGCAGTCGAGGCGCACGGCTGAGACGAAGATGAGCATGTGCACGCCATCTTCGCCCGGTTGATTAAGTGCGAACAGGCCAGTCTGGCCGCCTTGGAGACCTGTGGAAGTCATAAACATGGAGAAGAGTGATTCTTTGAAGTTGACCCTTGTAGAGTTGGTCATTCCCGTCTTCTCGTTCGCTTGCTCCCGCTCACCTCTTTCCCTGGATGAGAACTGGAAGGATGTCAGGGTCGTAATCCACTTGTTAGCTGCTTCATCCGAAAGATCAAGGGCCGGTAAGCTGTCCAGATTCAGCGCTGGCAAGTTCAAAGGAACGGGTACTGCGTCCGGACTCAACGTGGAGGGGAATACCAAATCCGCGAGAGCTGGGGTAACTCCATGGGTGGGGTATTTGGCAAGAACTTCGACATAACCCGATTTACGTGCGATCCTCGTCTTACTACCCACAGTCGTGACCGTTGTTGGATACTGGATGGTGTAAATCGTTTCATCCTTCTTCTTGCCAAATACAATGTCAATCGAGAAGGGGTTTGACTGCCTGAGAGTGATTGGCGCCTTCTCGGTAAGTAGTCGCCTGCCCTTCTCAGAATGAAGGATTTGGCGAGCAACGACGGTACCGACCTTGTCGTCTGCCACAAACTGGAGTGAAACGGGCTCTTGCCAATCTACCGCGTCTTGTGGTTTCGTGGGGGGAGCAGCTTGCTTGACGGGAGGGTTGCGACTGAAAGCGATCGCGTCTTCTGTAGACGTCGGCAGTTGTGGAGTGACGACAAAGCTTGGCTCGGATCCAGCCAGTGAACCAGACAGTCTGCCTCTGGCAATTGTGATACCGTACATGGTATCGACGACAGGATGGGGAGAGCCAATGAGTTCGATCTCTACATCGTCGCTGGTAAGGATTGAAGTTGGCACCCAGAATGAGAAGATGGTGTGCTTGGTTGGACCGGTGCGAATCCTCAGGCTATTCTCTTTGAAGTCCAGTGGGTTCGACGAAAGTGAGGTTTCTAGAGCGCTAGCTGATATGACCTGTAGATCTCTGAAGAGATCGAATTTGGAGGGGCCGTGAATAACTCGGGCTTCAAATAAGATAGACTTGGTGTCAAGCTCGGCGACCTCGAAGAAGTTTTGCGTTTGGCTGTAGTCATCCACAACGACATTGACCGCGGCCACATTCGGAAGGGTCAACGCATCGTCTTCGGACGTGAGAGATACCGGCTCCACTAGATAAGGGGCTGAATAGATGCCCCTAGTATGGAGTTGGATCGCAAGTTCCGGGAGTTCTTCTGATATTCCGGCTCGTCTCCCCTCCATCGGCGCTTGATCCAACAGTTTTCTGCAAAGATCCGTCGCTGAGAAGTCGACATGTCTTGATGCGGCCTGGATAAACGGGGCAAGGAGGCCGATCCTGTATAGCCCATTGGGCCCTCTAGTCCGGAGATTCTCAAAGTGCCGCTGGCCCAGATCATACATCTTGTGATCGAGCTCCATCAAGAAATCGAAGAGATGGTCGACCGCCATGTTGAGTAGGTTCGGGAATGCTTCGCCCGATACTGCATAATTGTGCTTCCAGGAAAGGCGGTAGTAAATTGGACTTGTCTGGTTTCCAAGCGCGACTCCATTTTCAACGCCGAGCAAGACGTCGTCGACAATCGAGGTAGAGCTAGAATTGGTAATGATTTCCGGAGGACTGAGTCCTAGAAAGAGGCACATGGAGTGTGTATCACCATAGAGGATATCCTCAAGGGGATTCTCTCTCATCTCGCCCATCCGTATGTTGAACTCGGTGAAAACGGTTGCCCAGGGCTGCTTCTTGAGCAAGGGCGAAGCAGACGCCAGAGTCAGGAATATGCGTAATCGATTCCCGGTGACATGGACAGCATCAATCACGTCAAACTCCCTCACGGCGGCAGAACTGATTTGAAGCGGTCCCGAGGAGTACGCTGTCCGGTAGTGAGACGGATCCTGGCCGCCCAGGACAAGGTGCTGTAGCGAATCGAGATAGGAATGCGGGTCGGCATACACGAGGCTGAGCGTCAAAGTCTGGCCTAACGCTTCCGCAAGTGCATGTGTCCATTCCGTAAAGCAGACCTTTGCCGATGAGGGGGCTTTGTTTGACTCATCGTCGGTAATCAGGGGCCGTAGGGGTGACAACTCGGTCAGAGGCGTGAAAGCGGTGGCCAAGTGAAAACCCACAAGGGGATTTTCCGGGAGGTATAGGGCCTTTGGACCACTGAAGTACAGAGGATTCGGAAGTGTGTCGTTTGAAGCAGGGGATAGCGTTCCTGTGGCGAAAAAATCTTGGGATGACGACCAGACATCGCGCCTAGCCTGCTGTGATAGAGGCGCGGCGGATGCGACATATCGGTTTATCTCATCATTTTCCTTTGCTTGGCCTAGATTCGGTGTTTCGACTATTCTTTCCGATTTCGCATCTGCCTCCACGGCAGGGATGACAGAGTTGATGTGGGCTGCGAGGATACTCCGCGAAGGCTCATCCTCGAACCGGACGGACTTCGAGTACGGGCTCTCATTCCACGCTGAGAGAGACTTTGCCGCCGCGGCGAGTTTCTTTAGATGTTGGACAAGTTTGTCGTGTGCCTTCCTGCTGACTGAGGCATAACTGAGAATTTGCCAGAGATCCTCTAAGTCGGCTTCTTGGAGCTGCCTTCCATGATCATGAACGAGAGTCAAGAAAACGGCATTCACAACTGCAGATGTTAGTTAGCATAAGGCCTGGGAGTTAATATGTTGTCCAACATCAGTTGCATACCTATATCGAGCTCGAACGAATCAACCAAGGTTATGTGTGCAGTCCTTTGAGCTATAAGACGGTTAGAGCATTGGTATTTTTTTCAATTGTTGGCATGGTCGAGATACTCACGGAATCCCTTTTCATGGTAGGCAGTGTATAAAACATTCTTCAATTGAGATGACCCTAGAGCCAAAACTTCCACGTTCCCGATGCCCTGAGGCACGGATCTCGTAAGGCTGGTCGCCGGTCTGTGAGAATCCTGGATGTTATTGAAAGTGGGCGGAGAAGCCGGGCTAGATATGTGAGCTGGAGTCGCCATTATTTCAGTATGTGTGGATGAGGAGGGTGAAGTACGGAACAAACGAATTGAAACCTCAAGGAAAAATGAGGTTAATGAAGTGACACTTAAAATATCATGTTTGAGTCTGGGCTCCCTCGCATGATAAGATCACGATCGTACGGCCCACAATGAGCGGGCAGGTTCGGGTGGTGTCTAGAAGCGTCTGCGTCACTGGCAGTGGATGGAGGGGTCAGGCTACAGGCGCGGGGTCAGTCCTGCTGGTCCGCCTCAGTGCCGTATTCCAGCAATTGAGTGCATCGAGCGAGTGAGGGGCAAACCCCGCCAGAGCGGTGCAATTCTGAACAAATGAATTGAGGACCACACAAGTTCGATTGAGCACTGTGATGCACTGCGAGACCAAGCTCAATTGTTGCCAGTTGCCAAAGACTCGGGTCTCTCACCGCCTTACCTAATTTAGCGGGATTCGAGGCAGAAAAAAGTTACGTTTCTCAACGAGTCAAGCACTGCCCCGCACAACACACAGAAACCGCCATCGCTGTCAAGGCAGCATCAGAGCTCGAAACGGACCATCTTCACCACCACCACATCAGCCTCTTTCGTCGATCCGCAATCCACAATGTCTGCAGCTCAACTACTCAACCCCAAGGCCGAATCCAGAGTGCGTTGAATGCCCGCCTTCATTCGTCTGCGTCATCGTGCATGGCATTTTGCTAACGAGCTTCGTTGTAGAGGCGGGGTGAAGCTCTCCAAGTGAACATCAGTGCCGGCGAGGGTCTGCAAAATGTCCTCAAGTCTAACCTCGGCCCTCTGGGTACGATAAAAATGTAAGGAGGATAGCTACTACTCTATTTCCAGCCCTTGCTAACAATTATGTGCTGTAGGCTCGTTGACGGTGCCGGTCAGGTATGGCAGGACGAGATGTGGCGAGAAAGGGGGGGATATCGCATACTGACAAATTCAATAGATCAAGCTCACAAAGGACGGAAACGTGCTACTCCGAGAGATGCAAATCAAGAACCCGACGGCTGTGATGATTGCGCGAGCTGCCACTGCTCAGGACGATATTTGCGGAGATGGAACAACCTCAGTTGTCTTGCTCGTCGGTGAGCTTCTGAAGCAGGCTGAAAGGCACATTTCCGAAGGATTGCACCCGCGAATCATTACCGATGGTTTCGAGATTGCCAAGAACGAGTCGCTCAAGGTGTGCATCACCGTTTCCCCATAACACCATGACAGGTCGAAGAAGGCTAACATATCCCAGTTCCTTGATAAGTTCAAGCTCCCTCGAGAAATCGACCGCGAGCTACTCTGCAACGTCGCCAGGACCGCCCTCGCTACCAAGCTCAACTCGAGCCTCGCCACTAAGCTTACCCCTGATATCGTGGATGCCGTGCTCGCCATCTACCAGGCCCCTGCCAAGCCCGACCTCCACATGATTGAGATTATGAAGATGCAGCACCGGACCGCCTCCGACACTCAACTTATCCGTGGTCTCGCCCTCGACCACGGTGCACGACATCCCGATATGCCCAAGAGGGTGGAGAACGCCTATATCCTGACCCTCAACGTCAGCTTAGAATATGAGAAAACCGAGATCAACTCTAGCTTCTTCTACTCCAGCGCCGAGCAGAGGGAAAAGCTAGTTGAGAGCGAGCGCCGATTCGTCGATGACAAGCTGAAGAAGATTGTTGACCTGAAGAAGCGCGTGTGTGGAAACGACCCCAAGAAGAACTTTGTCATTATTAACCAGAAGGGCATCGATCCCCTATCCCTTGATGTTCTCGCCAAGAACGGTATCCTCGCCCTCAGGAGAGCCAAGAGGCGGAACATGGAGCGTTTACAGCTTGTGTGCGGCGGTATCGCGCAAAACAGTGCCGATGACCTTACGCCCGAGGTCCTTGGCTGGGCTGGTCTCGTGTATGAGCAGACTCTCGGCGAGGAGAAGTATACGTTTATCGAGGAAGTCAAGGATCCCAAGTCCGTTACCCTCCTCATCAAGGGCCCCAACCAACACACCATCACCCAAGTTACCGATGCCGTCCGAGACGGTTTGAGGAGCGTGTACAACACCATTGTTGATAAGAGCGTCGTCCCCGGTGGTGGTGCTTTCCAGGTGGCATGCGCGGCTCACCTCAAGAGCGACAAGTTCTCCAAGACCGTCAAGGGTAAGGCCAAGTGGGGTGTGGCTGCCTTTGCCGATGCGCTACTCGTTATTCCTAAGACGTTGGCGGCGAATGCCGGTCATGATATTCAGGATGCCTGTAAGTTAATCTACGATACAACCCCAATCCACCTATTTCTCATGCTAACCCATCTATCACCTGCAGTGGCGTCACTCCAGGACGAGTATGCGGACGGCAATGTTGTTGGCCTCGATCTTATTACCGGCGAGCCTATGGACCCCGAGCTTGAGGGTATTTACGACTCCTTCCGAGTGCTACGGAACTGCATCGCCTCCAGCTCTAGTATTGCCGCCAATCTTTTGCTCTGTGACGAAATACTCAAGGCAAGGCAGATGGGTAGACAAGGTGGCCCTGGTGGCATCGATGCTCCGGGTGATTCTATGTGAGGGAACGGTAAAAAATAGTATAGTGAACATTGAAGGTTTCTAGCATTAGGCGTCCATAGGTTAAACCTTGAAATAATACCTAGAGATTGCTTGGGATAGATAACCAACGCTTCCACGACTTGTGTCTGTGCCTCGGCCAGGAACCGTGAAGTAATCGATCAAATTGGTCTATGTACAGCTGAGTTTCATTTAAAATTTCCAAGATTTCCTCATAGAGTTGTTGGAAGCGTGAACTATGGACCAGGGACGTGGATGTGACCGAGTATGCATTTGCCCCTCCAAACGCTCCCGATAAGATAAACCCCACCACCGCAAACACAAAAAATTGTTGCCCCACCACGACAAACTCGCCTCTCGAGCAGTCGCAAAACAACGGCAGCTTGAATAGATATGGCAGACTACGACAGCGACTCCGACATAGGAGAGTTTACCGAGACGACGACTCTTCTCGGGTATGTCTCGAAGGATCCTGCCGATGATTCAATCAGTCGGTTAGGTGGTCAGCCAGTAAGTAATTTATTTCCCTCCAAAACCTCACAGCGCGCCCAATAATGAACGAGCCTGGAACATTTCCTGACCCGCACAGGAATGGCTAGATCCCAAGACGCCTCCCTCAGCGGCCCTCGCCCGCTGCGCCGCTTGCGGTGACATGATGTCCCTCCTCCTCCAACTCAACGGCGAACTCCCTGACAAATTCCCCGGCCACGAACGGCGGCTCTTCCTCTTCGGCTGTCGCAAGCCCAAGTGTCGCCGGAAAGCAGGTAGCATCCGCGGCCTGAGAAGCGTCCGCGTATCCAAAGAAGCTGCCGAAAAGGCCCGGACCGAAGCGGAGGCGACAAGGAAGGCTGCCGAGGAGAAGAGAAAGAGAGAAGAGGCGGCGGCGGCGGAGAAGGCGAAGCAGCCTGGGCTGGGGGAGACGCTTTTCGGGACGAAGGGGCTTGGGGGTGGTGCTGGTGCGAATCCGTTCGCTGCGGGGGGTGGGAATGCGAATCCCTTTTCGAGTGGTGGTGGTCTAGTTGCTGCGAATCCTTTCTCTAGTGCTCCGAAAGAAGTTGTAACGCCTGCCGATGTCGAGAAAGCGGCGGCGGAGCTTCCGAAGACTTTTGCCGAGACGTTGTCGTTGAATAATCCCCAGGCGCAGAAACCGCAGTCGCTTCCCTCGCCGCCGGAGCCTTGGCCGACTGAGGTTCCAGGCGCTTATCCTACACTCTATCTCGTCGACGTCGACTATGAAACTCTCGACCCGACACCGTCGACCATACCGGCCAACGCAAGGATGGAAATCGACAGCTCTGAAGGTGGCGGCGCCTCTGCGTCCGCTAAGGATGACTTCGAGTCCGCCATGGACGCTACTTTCCAGAAGTTTGCCGATCGCATGGCCCAAAACCCCGAGCAGGTCATCCGGTACGAGTTTGCTGGCGCGCCGCTACTGTACAGCAAGGACGACGAGGTTGCCAAGGCTCTGGGTGGCCGGTCAGGCATGCCGAGGTGCAAAGGGTGTGGTGGGGAGAGAACGTTTGAGCTGCAGCTTACGCCGCATGCCATTACGGAACTGGAGGAGGATGACATGAGCTTGGAGGGGATGGATTGGGGGACGATAATTATGGGGGTTTGCGCGAAGGATTGCCAGGCGTATGGGGTTGAAGATGGGCAGGTGGGATATCTAGAGGAATGGGTTGGTGTCCAGTGGGAGGAGTTGGTGAAATAAGCACTTGAGCTGAGTCGGCAAAGGACTACAAACGGCTACGACGGACATGGCGTTCAAGCCTATGACGAAAAGTTTAAAAAGAAACATGAAATGACATAAATTGTAATCGTCAAGAACCCTTCGTTACTTTTTCATAGCGTTCCCTACGTTTTTATCCCCTCTAACCAGGCGCCTAAGCCGTCAAAGCATCCTCCCACGACCTCTTAATCACCCTCGAGAACATATCAACGCTAACATCCTCCCTAATCTCCGCCTTCTGAGCCTCGTTATCAGGGTTGCTAGGCACCTTGACGTTATCACCCTCGATCGTCCACTCGCACACCTCGCCGACGAACTTCTTGGTAGCCTCGAGATTGAGGCCCAACCACGCCTGCAGGTTCGCCAGGCCGACCTCCCTAAAGGCCTGCGAGACGAGGTGGGCGATGCGGTGCCTGATGATGTCCTCGAAGCCGTTGATGTCGGCGATGAGGTCGGCGCAGATGTCGTTGCCGTTGAGAGAAGACCAGAACCGCTCGTACTGGGCGCCCTCGAGGGCCGAGTTGAGGTCGCGGAGGGTCGTCACGGCCTCGTCGAGCTCGGAGCTGGCGGCCGTGGAGGGGTTGATGAGGTGGAGGGCGAGGGAGAATTGTGGGGAGGGGAACTGCGTCATGGCTTTGACGAGGATGTTGCTGACGACTTCATCTTTTAGGCGGTCGGGGTTGAGCTGGTATCTGTTTATTGGAAAAGGCCCCAAGTTAGCCTATATTTTATTCTTTAAAAAATAGTCGAAAATTCGGCGTAAAAAAGAGCTTGGGCGTTTCTCTAACCCGCTCCCCAAAGCGCCCTTCGGCGCAATCCTGGAATTTTTTACTTACAGCTTCAACAGCGTCCTGTTGGCATTGCAATCGCAGAATTTCTCCTCACATTGGTCGCCAAGATAAGCCTCCAGCGTACCCACAGCCTCGGGGTTATACCTCTCGAGGCCGTTGATAATGCTGGAAATGTGTTCGGGCCTCTCCGGGGGATCTTCGCCGTTCATGATTGCGGTCGCGATACAGGGATATTGATATGGGAGTTTGTGGAAGTTTTCTCGACTTGGAGGGATGGTGGGGTTCGCCGATTGTGGTTGTGCACTGGAAAGACCCGACTGCGGTTTGAGGCTAGTGAGGTGTGCCCAGTGGCTTGGCCGGGGTATCGGATATTTGTAATTCCGGCGCAGATTCAAAGCTTTAGTGACCATGGACATGAATCACGTGACTTCGCGTGGCTTTCGAGCTCAATCGCCCCTGATGCCTAGGAGTGATCTTGAACCTCCTAGCTGACGAGCTCTCAATCAGAGCCGGAGGTTGGGCGGGTATCTTAATTTTATTTTCTCTCCCAAATGCCCGTAGAATTTCATGTTTGTGGAATTTCTTGGCCTCACTACCTTGATGCCTCGTTATCCTTGATAGAGGCTCAACTGACTCTCAGACCAGTCCATCTCTCGCCCAGCCGTTGGCGCGAACATGTCGAGTCCCGCGAAGAGGAGAAAGCTGGATTCCGGGGATAAGAAGTCATCCGTACCGTCAAGGGGTTTGGAATACTTCTTTTCCAAACAGAGACAGGGTAATTCCTCATCAAGCGCCGAGGTGACACCTACCGTCTCATCAACAACAGCGCAAAGCGATGAAGACTTCGCGCGGAAACTCCAAGCTGAATTCGACCGGGAAGCCTTGCAATTATCCCAGAACAGTAACGACGTAGTAACTAAGCAACCGTCTAATGATTCCGCGAACGATGAAGGACCACCCCAGCTTTCGGTGGACAGGCCGAATGATGAAGCGAAATCTCCTCCGAAAAAGGTCGCAAGTACTCTGATGCTGCAGGCTTCGGGGATCACCGAGGACACCGTTTCTTCAACTATTCCCCTCGATGAAAGTCCGTTCACATTTGAGCCGGCCAAGTACCTCCCTAGACTCCAGGAGAGTTGGGCGGGCCAGGGAGGACAGGCCTCTTACGCATTGCTCACGAGGTGCTTCGTCCTCGTCAATGCTACTTCAAGTCGGATTAAAATCGTCGATACATTAGTCAATTGTGTAAGGTTGATTATTGAGGGTGACCCATCCAGTCTTTTGCCTGCAGTATGCTATCTCTATCCTTGACCATCCGTGTTAACCATCATTCTGATCTTGGGCGTCAGGTTTGGCTGGCAACGAATGCGATTTCACCGCCTTACATATCGCTAGAGTTAGGCCTTGGGGGATCCGCCATCTCGAAAGCACTTAAACAAGTCTGCGGCCTAGACAACAGGACTCTCAGGAGCATTTACAACAAGTATGGAGATGCTGGGGACGTCGCCTTCGAAGCGAAGAAGAAACAGAGCTTCACTTTGAGAAAGCCGAAGCCACTCACTATCAAGGGCGTCTATCAATCCTTGGTTAAGATCGCCTCTACGCAAGGCCAAGGCAGCGCCGAGGGCAAGCAGCGAATTGTAGATCGCCTCCTGCAAGATGCGCGTGGAGGAGAAGAGAGCCGTTATATCGTTCGGACGCTCTGCCAACATGTAAGTTATCGTCTCGTGAGCGAAGAGCGTGTGCGGCGTAAGCAATCTGACAACATGCCAGCTGCGAATTGGTGCGGTCAAAACTACGATGCTAATTGCATTGTCTCGAGCCTTCCTCCTCTCGAAGCCACCAAACGCGGGTTTCGAAGTTAGAGACCCAAAGGAGATGGGCAAGTTGAAGAAAGAAGAGGTGGCCGAGATATGGGGTCGTGGGGAAGAGATAGTAAAGGCGTGTTTCGCAAGGAGACCAAACTACAACGATCTAGTCCCGGCCCTACTAGAAGTTGGGGTTTGTGAGGAGCTTCTTCTCCGCTGTTGCATCACGCTACATGTTCCTCTCCGACCTATGTTGGGTAGCATCACGAGAGATCTTTCCGACATGTTGACCAAGTTACAGGGACGGGACTTTGCGTGTGAGTTCAAGTACGACGGGCAAAGAGCCCAAGTGCATTGCGACAAAAACGGCAAAGTGTCTATCTTTTCGCGACATCTCGAGCTGATGACGGACAAATACCCTGATCTAGTCGCACTAATTCCTCGGATACGTGGGGATGGTGTTGACAGCTTCATCATGGAGGGCGAAGTTGTGGCGGTGGACTCTGCGACTGGAGAGTTGAAAAACTTCCAGACGCTAACGAACCGAGCGAGGAAGGACGTTGAGATCGGGTCGATCTCAATACAGGTCTGCCTTTTCGCCTTTGATCTCATGTACATCAACGGGGAGCCGCTACTTAATCGACCGTTCCGTGAGCGGCGAGAGCTGCTCCGCTCGTTATTCATCGAAGTTCCCAATAGGTTTACATGGGTCAAGAGCCTGGACGCGACCTCCCAGGACTCAGAAGCCGTGCTGGAATTCTTCAAGAGCGCGATTGAGAACAAATGCGAAGGGATAATGGTGAAGGTGCTTGATAACCTTTCGACACTACCCAATGACGTTGACACTATGGGCGTCGATGCCTCCGAACCCGCCGCTGTGTCCGAACCCACGGCAGCCAAAGCTCTTCCTTCAAACGGCTCGAATGGAAAGAAGAAGGGAAAAGGCAAAGCACCAGATGAAGAGGAAAAGAAAGCAAAGACGCGGCGGAAGCCTGTCCTCGCCACATATGAACCCGATAAACGGCTCGACTCGTGGCTCAAGGTGAAGAAGGACTATCATGCCAGTTTCGAAACCCTCGACCTTATACCAATCGGCGGTTGGCATGGCCAAGGCCGGAAGGCGAAATGGTGGTCACCTATTCTTCTCGCCGTCCGAAATGACGAAACCGGGTCTCTCGAGGCAGTCTGCAAGTGTATGTCGGGATTCACCGACGCCTTCTACAAGGCGAACCGCGAGTTCTACGACGATGGGGAGTTGACCGGCGAGAGGAATAATACGAGTACCCATCGGTCTGGATTTATTGAGTACTCTGGTCCGGAACCGGACATATGGTTCGAGCCGCAAGAGGTGTGGGAGACAGCGTTTGCGGACATCACGCTGAGTCCGACTTATACGGCGGCGCTTGGACTGATAAGTGATGAGAGAGGGCTGAGTTTACGATTTCCACGGTTCATGAAGAAGAGGGAGGATAAAGGTATTGAAGAAGCGAGCACGAACGAGTTTCTGGCGGCATTGTATAGAAAGCAGGAAGCTAGACCGCCTGCCGAGGCCTCGACGCCGGCAGAAGAAGCAGAAGATCAAGAATAGAATTGAACTTCCTCGTGTGCCCTACGACTAGTCTAATCATCACAGAGCGGCAACTCTTCCATTCCCTCTCAAGAACAGATCACTGAGTCGCTCTGTGGCTTATCTGCCAGGGCCGACTTCCTGACCATCAAACGTGCAATGAGGCAGGGATGTAAACCAACTTGCCGCAATAATCAACACAATCATGGACAACGAATGAAATCGTTCAAAGTCATAAACCCAAGTTGTGGTCGTATAAGTTCCGCGGGAACGCGCCTCCCTTGTTTTGAGAATGGCGGGCGCGTGTGTATGTGTTATATATGAAAACTTGAGTCTGGATTCTCAACGTCTCAGGGAAGCTCAAGTGGTCGAACGGGGACGCACTGCTTACAAACTACTTCCGCAAGGCGCCGGCGTGGAACCCGGTCTGGTCAAACCTTGAGACGTGGAGGATTGGGAACTGGGGAGGGAGAAGTGGGAATTCTTTTTTTGCTATATTAATATTTTGCTATATTAGAGATTCTTTTTTCTTCTTCCCTCCCTACGAGAGGGATTCTCGAGTTCTTCTTCGGGGCTCTGTTGAGGCTGTGATGTTCTCTTGGGGACCTGGGAGGCGAGGGGTGAGACTTGGAGAGGTTGTCGGTTCGAAACTAGTTGAGGGCATGTGCATAATTTTTTTTCCCACCTGGCGTATCGCCCTCCGACCCTCTTGCCATCACCGGCTTGCATTCATTTTCTGTGCTATTAAGCTGAATATCGTGATTGATCCCATGAACAACAGCCCGTTGTAAAACTAGTTTTCACCACTTAGCTGCGAGATAGCTCGATGGGCCCAGTGCTGGGATTGCTCACCGCTTTGCGCGAGACGGCTCGCTCCTCTTGGTCAGCACGAGCCTCGACGAAAAGACGCCTGAGGTTCGGAAGGCTCGCCTGTAAATTTGTCAGATTGTTTTGCTACCGAAATGGGCTATCGGAATCACAAACCATTTGATGTTCTCCCCTGAGATGTATCTACTTTATCTGGCCTTGCTTGACGACGATGCGACAAGACTCAGACTAAGACTGAGGCAAGTCGAGGCCAGGTGGCTTATCGGGGCTTATGTCATCAAAACCTCCCTCCTTTCCCGCCATTCAATACCATTGCTCTCCTCGAATGCAAGGAGACTGAATGTGGGGAGCCTAGGCCCGTCCAATATCCAATACAATACAGCGCAACGTCCAAGCTTCAATAAACTTGGGATCTCTTGAGACCTAACCGCCGCAATCTTGTCAGAGCAGGCCAGATCGCCGAGCTGTCTGCGCCTTGCGAAATACCTCTCCAGCTATTCAAACCGAGCTGGAGGTCTTGAACTACCCGCATCACTACTGCCCCTCCGACCCTAGACCACCAAAGCCCCTTTAAGAACGATGGCGGTAAATCGGATCCAGAAGGCTTTCGCCGTTCCTAGGAAGGGCGAGACTTTTGAGCTGAGGGCGGGACTAGTCTCGCAGTATGCCTGGGAACGAAAGGAGTCCATTCAGAAGACCATCATGGCGATGACGCTAGGGAAGGATGTCTCCGCGCTGTTCCCCGATGTGCTGAAGAACATTGCGACGGGTGACCTGGACCAGAAGAAACTCGTCTATCTATACCTGATGTATGTATATCCAGTTTTATCTTGAAGCCGTCTCCTCCTATCCACCCCAACTGTTGGATGACTGCTAACCACTCTTCTCTCTCGTGTAGGAACTATGCCAAATCACACCCCGATCTCTGTATTCTTGCCGTCAACACATTCGTCCAAGACGCGGAAGACCCGAACCCCCTGATACGAGCTTTAGCCATACGGACGATGGGATGCATTAGGGTAGATAAGATGGTAGACTACATGGAGGAACCCCTTCGCAAGACGTTACGAGACGAGTCGCCCTACGTTCGGAAAACCGCCGCCATCTGCGTCGCCAAACTGTTCGATCTAAACCCAACTATGTGTATAGAAAACGGGTTCCTCGAAACACTCCAGGAATTGATCGGAGACCCCAACCCTATGGTCGTTGCCAACTGCGTCCAGGCGCTCTCGGAGATCTACGAAACCGCCCCCGAAACTCGAGCCCTCGTCATCACACCCAACACTCTGAAGAAGCTTTTGCTGGCACTTAACGAGTGTACGGAATGGGGAAGGGTGACGCTATTGACAACCCTCGCGTCGTACCCTGCGCGCGACGTGAAGGAGTCGGAGCACATTTGCGAAAGGGTGGCGCCGCAGTTCCAGCACGTGAACCCCAGCGTCGTCTTGGCCGCCGTGAAGGTTGTATTTATGCATATGAGGATCATTAACGCTGATCTCGTTCGTCAATATCTCAAAAAGATGGCTCCTCCTCTTGGTAAGCTGCTTCTACATTTGATGGAAGAACAAGAGCGCTCTAAATTTAACTAACACTCCTAGTCACCCTCGTCTCCTCCGCCCCTGAAGTACAATACGTCGCTCTCCGAAACATCGACCTCCTTTTGCAAGCCAAGCCCGACATTCTTAGCAAGGAAATGCGAGTCTTTTTCTGCAAATACAACGATCCGCCCTACGTCAAGCTCCAGAAGCTCGAAATCATGGTCAGGATAGCCAACGAGAAGAACTGCGACCAGCTGTTGGCGGAATTGAAGGAGTATGCGCTAGAAGTCGACATGGACTTTGTGCGACGTGCGGTCAAGGCTATCGGACAGGTTGCCATCAAGATCGAGAGTGCCAGCGAGAAGTGCGTGAACACTCTCCTAGATCTTATATCCACCAAGGTCAACTATGTGGTCCAGGAGGTAGTTGTCGTGATCAAGGATATTCTCCGGAAGTATCCAGGATACGAGGGTGTCATTCCTACTCTTTGCAAGTATATCGACGAGCTTGACGAGCCTAATGCCCGTGGGTCGTTGATTTGGATCGTTGGCGAGTATGCGGAGAAGATTAGCAACGCGGATGAGATTCTGTCGAGCTTCGCCGATGGCTTTATGGAGGAGTTTACACAGGTATGTTTTTTTTCCTTCCCCCAGTTTGGCTGGGAAATAGTAGCTAACACGTTGTAGACACAACTGCAAATCCTTACTGCAGTTGTAAAGCTGTTCCTCAAGAAGCCTGCAGGCAACCAGGCCCTCGTACAGAAGGTGCTCCAAGCGGCGACGGCGGAGAACGATAACCCTGATATCAGGGACAGGGCATATGTCTACTGGCGCCTTCTGTCTGGCGATCTTGACGTTGCAAAGGTACGTAACGGACAGTCTCTGATCCCTATTTCCCATTCCGTACACCCCTAACTCAATCCAATGTAGAATATTGTTCTCTCGCAGAAGCCGGCAATCTCAACTACAATTGCCAGTCTCCCTCCCGCATTACTCGAGCAATTGCTGGGCGAACTCTCCACACTAGCGTCGGTGTACCACAAGCCTCCCGAGTCCTTCGTCGGCAAGGGTCGTTTCGGCGCAGACGAGATCCAGCGTGCCGCCATCCAAGAGCAACGGCAAAACGCAGCCGAAAACCCCATCGCCGCCTCAGTGGCCGCCGTCGCGTCCGCCAACGGCGCCGCCCAGAACAACGTCGAGAACCTCCTCGATATCGACTTTGACGGCGCGGCGCCAGCTTCGCAAGAACCGAGCAGCAATGCGGGCGGCGCTTCGAGTAGCAGCATGGCGGATATGATGGGCTTGTTCGATGCGCCGCCCGCGGCGTCTTCGTCGTCGCCTGCCGCGGGCGGCGCAAGTGGTGGTATGGCTGATCTTATGAACGGGTTCGCGGGGCTCGATTTCGGGGCTAGCACGTCGAGCCAACCGTTGCCGGCAGCGATGCAGCTTGCTCAGCAGTCTGGTTCGCAGCCAGCGAAGCCACCGGCACAGCAGAATGATAGCGAGGATCTTCTTGGTCTCTTGTAGATGGCATATAGAGAGAGCGCAAGGAAGAAAGATGAGAGATAGGGGGAGAAAAGCGGGAGTCTGGCATGTTTAGAATCCGGAGAGATTCAAAAACGGTAGGCAAAGTTGCAATGATTCAAGATTATGAGAGTGAGGGGCATCAATACCCCTATCCCTAGGCAGCATACACATACAGACGTTGCCTTACACTGCCTATTTAAACTGTTGAAATCTTCAAGCGGAAAATTCTCATAGAATCGTGGTAATCGTGAAAACCCCATTATCTTCGTACAGTCTCTCAGCGCTCACCCTGTAAAGTCCCCTTCTTCGTTTCCGCTCTCGCCGACGCCCCTGACTTTACACCATCCCATTCGTCGCATTTTCTCTCTGGTACTCTTCGGCGGTCTGGCACCTCGCCGTCCACGCGTGGATCTTTCCGATTTCCTCCTTCAGCGCGGCATTGACAAGGCGATGGCGCTTCAGCGAGTTGAGGCCAGTGAACTGAGGGGATACGATGAGAGCTTTGAAGGATTGACCGCAGCCGCCTGTATTCATCGTCAAATAAAGCAGCTACCGTCAGTCCGTTGTTTTCTTGAGAAAACGCGCAATGAAGGAGGGGTTTGTGATGCGATGCGATGGAGGGGTGGCTGCTTTTTTTTATTTTATGAGAACGAACCGGAGATGTCTGTGACCTCGACATATACGGCGCCGAGGCGCTCGATGAGGGCATCCTTGAGGGATATTTCTGTTACGGAGGGGTCGCCCATTGTTTCTTTGTCTTTTCGAGGGTGGTGAGAGAGAGCGGTTTAAGTGACGATCGTGGGATAAATGTGAACATGAAAAGAAGATGAGACAATCGAGTCTTTTTCTAAAGGGTTCATTAGATTGATTAGATATCAAGTGAGCTCCTTCCTCAATGATGAAGAATGAGTACAAAAGACAGTGATTTTGATTTGAAAAAGACACTGTGTGTCAACATTTCATGAGGAAAGAGCGACTTCGAACTCGCCTGTCTAAAAATCATACCAAGTCCAGGCAGAAAGACTAAAGAGCCAAAAGTCGACAGCTGATTTGACCAAAAAATAGGAACAGAATTACTTTCCCCCAAAGCTCTTGCATTTATTTTTGCCAAAAGTGAGGAGTAGCACATGGGGAGAGGGCTAGCTAGGAGCTTGAACTTGGCCAGAGACGCAAACGCTAGAGCCTGGACGTCGACGATTGTTTCTCGCACCTCCAGGCTCAACGCTTCTTTTTCTTCTTCGTCTTGGTATCTTCGTACTTCGGGGTTCGAAAAGGATAACCTACAAAGGCAGAAGAGGTTGTCGAGAGAGCTTAGCGCAAGGCAATTCTCGACAATGGGTTCTAAGGGTCGCGAGTGGAGCGGGATCGAGGTGCGGTCGCCGGCTTTTACGCAGTTGGTCGTCAAGTCGATGAGAGAGCTGTATGTGCGCAATTCGAGTCAATCTACTCTTCCCCCCCTTCAGGCTCGGTGGGGCGCTACATAAATATAAGGAGCCTCTCCTGGCTAACTTTGAATGCAAAGATTTCCCGAGGAACTGGCTGACAGGACCTGGGACAACGTCGGTCTCCTCCTCGACAACGTCGAGGTGCCAGAAGACCCTCCCACGGCGCCCCTTGTCCTTCTTACAAACGACCTCACGTACTCGGTCGCCGAAGAAGCCATCAGCCTCGGTGTCAGCGTCATCATTAGCTACCGTAAGAGGATCCTATCTATTTCTGTTTCTTCCAGCTTCTACTACTAACAGATCTATCCAGACCCCATCATCTTCCGCCCCCTCAAGTCCCTAACCTGCGCCGACCCCCAACAAGCAACCCTCCTCCGCCTCGCCAGCAAGCGCATAGCAGTCTACTGTCCGCACACGGCCCTCGACGCCAGCCCCCGCGGCATCAACGCCTGGCTCGCCGAAACCGTCGAATACGCCGCCAAGCAAACCGCCGACGCCGGCGAATCCTCCGATCTAACCGCCACGCGCCAAGTCCTCCGCCCTATCGCCACCCCGCCAGAGGGTAACGAAGAGGCTGGCTACGGCATGGCCACGACGCTGAGCAAGGAGGTCCCCGCCGCGAAGATCATCAAGGGCGTCGGGAGGCTGCTCGGCGGCTTTAGGCATCTGCATCTCGTGCAGCCGGCGGGATGTGATTTGGCGCACGCGACGGTTACCAAGGTTGCCGTTTGTGCGGGGTCCGGGGCCGATGTGCTGAGGGGATCGGACGCGGAGTTGTGGATCACGGGGGAGATGAGCCATCATGATGCTTTGAGGGCGGCGCAGGAGGGGAGGATCGTGGTGACGACGTATCATAGTAATACGGAGAGGAGGTTCTTGGAACATAGGTTGAGGTCGGCGCTTGAGGAGAAGTTGCAGGAGACGGAGGCGGAGGCGGAGGTATTTGTTAGCCAGGTCGACAAGGATCCGTTTAGGGTCGTTGATATTGAGGCGTTGTAGTTATATTTCGTGTGAAAGAGTGTTGCACGAAGCCAGCCTCGATGAAGTCGGCGTCGGGGAATAAATTGCATGTCTCCGTCATTTCGCATCCCCGATTATAAGCTTCGAAGAATTCCGTGCTTTTTTTTTATGCTCGTTCCAAGGCCTTTCTAGTGCCGTTTGCCCATATTTTCATGAGCTACCTTGAGAGCTTGCTGCGCTGCTGCTCTCTTCATCGCTGCCGCTCCACCCGACAATCGCATCGCCCTCCTCGAGCAACTTACCCACATCATCACCGCCCAGCCCCTTCTCCGCCCATACCTGTAGTAACCGCCTCGGCATCTCCCAGGCCTTCCTCGCCTCTTCCGCCCTCCCCTCCTCGATGAGAGCGCGTAATTTTGGAGGCAACGCGACCACCTCGGCGGCGAGTTGTCGCGTCCTCTCCCTGCGGCGAATCGACTCTTCATCCAGCGGAACACCGTCGGCAGGTTTCGGCACCGACATCCGTAACTTGTCTCGAATCTCCGACGCTTGTGTGTAGATTTGGGCAATCTTGGGATCGAGCATTGAAGCCATGGGCGTAAGAGGATCCATGTTATCGCGCATCTAGCTCCCCTCAGGAGGTCAGCTTCCACCATTGTCTTGCCCAAGGCCGGTAAAAACGAAAGAATAAGGAAAGAACTCACCTTCCGGATCGTCTCCGTCGCCGCAATAAGCTTGCTATAATTATCATAAACTAACGCCTTCTTCTCGGCATCCAACGCCCGCACCTCCCCCAACACCCTCGTGTACAACCTCAACAACTCCTCCAGCCCACACTCGGCCAACTTCTTGTCCACCCACACCTTCGCGTCGAACCCTTCCGCGTCGATCTCGGACGGCGGCACCTCAGACGTCTTCGAATCCTCGTTAGGCACGGTGTTGGGCGTCCCGGCCGCGCGTCGAAGGTTATAGTACTCGCGTAGAGCGGTCCGGTTGCGCTTCGAGGAGGCGGCGGAGGCTTGGTTCGGCGGGGGAGGAGTGTGTGGCGGTTGGGGGGAGGCGAGGGGGCCTGGGTGGAGGGAGTCGATGGAGGGGCGGGCGGAGGTTGATGTTGGTGTGTTCATGCCGGAGTGGGTGCGGCGGAGGGGGGTGGAGGGGTCCCGCGGGGAGGCAATGGTGGACATGGCGGGTGGTATTTGGGGAGGAAGGTCGAGCTTTGGAGATGGAGATAGAGAGTAGAGGAGTCGAGGGTGTGGCTGTCGGAAGGAGTGGGACTGAGGTTGACGTATTCGTGGATTGGAGCTGACGAGAGCTTCGAGATTCTTCAAGGAACACGGACTTTAGAATTTAGGGGATCTTGGCTGGCACTGGACGCGTGTTGTCATTGGCGTTGGTTGACAACAGCCCAGATTGGTGGATCCGCAAGGTTACAGTGCTAGTTAGTGGCTGGGACGCCCCTGAAGAACACTCACTAAAAACACTAATGCCCACTAGGACCCACTGAAATTATCAAGTACCACTCACTTCAATGTTCAGTTCCTTCAGCATCAGCTTCTTCTCATCTCAACTCAATATAAACTGACTCGAGGAGCCCCCAACTTCACCTGGACACCATCCCCCATCACCACAACCACCAAAGCAAAGAAGAAAAATTCCATAAAATACAACAGAATAAGACGGCCATGTCCCTCCCAGCTCAACTAACAGCCTCCCTCCAATCCACCTCCTTCCCCCTCCCCTCCCAAACCCTCATATCAACCCTCCTCGCCTCCCACCCCCAACCCACCCTCCCCCGCCTCCTCGCCCAAACAAAATCCCACCTCCTAACCTCCAACCTAACAACCCCATCCCTCCTCGACCCTTCCGTCCCAATCTTCCCCGCTCCCCTCCTCTCCCCCGAAACTCGCGAAGCCCGCCTCCCCCACGACGTCCCCGCCCAGATCGTCGACATCGAGGACCTCTCGCGCTCGCGCTGGGAACAGGTCGAGGAGCTTGAGAGGATCGAACGAGGGGAGATGACGAAGGGGAGGGCTGTTGTTAGGGTGGACGAGCAAGCTGCGGAGGGCGAGGAAGGGGAGGCGAGGACCGCGCAGGGAGGAGGAGGAGCTGCGGTCGCCAAGGCGAAGAGGAATGCGACGCATAGGGTTGTGCTGCAAGATCGTTCGGGACGGAAAGTGTTTGGACTTGAGCTCACGAGAATGGAGAGGTTGGGCATTGGCGTTACGAGGATTGGAGAGAAGGTCGTCGTGAGGAAGGGGGCTGTTGTTGCGAGGGGGAGTATTTTGCTTGAGCCGGCGACTTGTACGTTTTTGGGTGGTTATATCGAGAGTGAGGAGAAGAAGTGGGTTGGGGAGCGGTTGAAGGTGCTGAGGGAGGCTGTTGGAGCGACGGATGCGCGTTGAAGATACCACATGATAGGCCATGCTACGAGGATGACGACGACATCGACGACGACGATTCACGACGGAGTCTTACGAGGGGATACACATAGAGCCATGAGCAATCACAACATCGAGGTCCATCATGAAACAGATAACAAGAAATGTCCATTTTTATTTACCGAAGTTCAGAGCATTATTTTTTTTTCCAGCTCTTTCTCATCCATTCATGGCCGCCTCCACAATCTCGCCCAAAGATTTCCATCCATCACTAGCCCAAGGCGCCACGAAGATAGCAGCCTGCGCATCAGCCGCCTTGCCAGTACCAGCATACGCCTTGGCCAAATCGCCCGCATCGAGACTACCTCTAGGCGGAATACCCGCCAGCGCAACCTTGACCGCCATCTCAGCTGGGTACTCGGCGCCAGAAACCGTAGCGAGGGAGGTCCAACCGTGCGGGAGATGGGGATACAGCATAATGTCCGTCTGTATCTCTGTGAGGACATCCTCCTCGGTTCTGTCCTCCGGCATCATTCGGATACACTTGAGCACCGTACCGATCCGGGAATGGTCCGCACCCTTGACCTTGTCGCTCGTGCGTAGCGAATGAAGCTCGGATACAACTGCCTCGAGGCTCTCGTCGTCGTCGTCCAATAGCGCAATGACACCCAGCAAAAGGACCGATTGGATGTGATCCGGCTGCTCTTCGATGACGGTGAACAGCACATCTCTGGCCTTCTCTCGAGACTCTTCGGAGCCCGTGGCCCAGAGCACCTGCGCAAGTAGGCAGACTGCGTCCGCATCTCCGTCGCATTCCTCGAGACCAGATTCAAAATACGAGATCGACTCGACAATGTCCCCCTTGAAATACTGAGCGAGACCGACGGTAAGATGGGCCGACAATCTGCCCTTTTTGCGCTGCTCCTTGTCTAATTCGTTCTCCGCCTCGTCGCTGGTCAGGCTCAACGCCATGTCACCGCATTCTACAGCGTCATCGTACCGTCCTGTTGCGAGGTAGGATCTCGCAAGATCGACCTTGGCCAGCGCGAAGCGACCGAGAGCCTCGGGCGATTCGGATTCTTCGTACTCGGCTTCTAGGATGCCACAAATATCCTCTAGGGTTCCAAGAGCCTTGGAATGGTCGTGGATTCGTTCTTGGAAGAGAGTTCGTAAATGGCGGTAGGCCAAGTCTCCGGGGGACATTGCCTCGGATTGGGAGAGCGCATAGAGTGGCTGAAGTAGGTCGATAATTCCCATCTTAGCAGGGGATGTGACAATATGGTCGAATATCGACGCCGAGTACTGGTGGCGGATAGCAACTGTAGAAGAATTGGAAATTTCCATGGCATGCGTAAAGAGGCCTCGCGCTTCGTCCTTGTCTCCAAAAAGCAGAGCGACGAAGCCCTGTCCAAGCCAGGCATAGGAGTATTCAGGGTCATTCGACTGGGCTCTCGTAAACGCTTCGTTTGCAAGTTGCGCGTCATTCTGGAGGAGAGCCAACGTTGCGAGATTGGTCCATGCGATAGGGTTACGCTCATCGATATGAAGACTCCTGACAAAGGCATGCTGGGACACTTCGGGGTTGATCTGGCTGGTCACCACACCAAGAGAATTCCAAAACTCGGCATTGCCGTGCTCCAGCTCGATTGCCCTCTTGAACGCTCTGATGGCGGCACGCAGGTACTGGCTCGACTTCTTCTTCTTTCCCTTAAGGGGGAGGCAGGTATGGGCCTGGTATTCCGCCCAACCAAGATTATAATAGGCCACAGCTTGCGCATGGATATCGTTGGAGGAAACATGAATAGCGAGCTTGAAGCAGAGAATCATGCCGTGGAGACACTTAGATAGTATCTCCCCGTTCAGCTCGCCACTTGGGAAGATGCTCTCGGCCTCTGCGGCGTTCGGTTGAACCTTGTCAACATCCGCAAGCACGTCGGCGTGGGACTCTATGTCAGCACCCTGCAAAAGTTGTTGAATAGTGTTTACAGGGAACTCTTCAATCCGACTCCGAACTGAAACATAGACTGAGCAGGCATCTCCGAGTACTTTCCAGTAGTTAAAGGTCTGGGAAACCAGGGCATTTGTCTCAACGGAAAGCTCAATCACGTCCGTCGACAGCTGGACGGCCTTGCCGAAGAATCCCTTAACAATGCAGTCCCTGGCATTCTCAATCATAGTCTGCATCAAGGCCAGGATAACTCCCTCCTCGCTGGGGCGGCTGCTATGCACCTCCGTGTACAAGGTCACGGCTTCGTCGAATTCGCCAAGTTCCCGCTTGATGTTAGCAAGCATATACTTGGTGAACCATGCATCCCCCAGAACCTCGGGAGACGCCGTCTCCTCGAGAGTTTGGGCATGCAGAACCGCTTTCGTGGCCGCAATATAGCGACCTGAACTGTAATAGCTCTCGCCCAGTCCAACCCATGAATGGTAGTCTTCGGGTGATATCCGAAGAGCAGCCTGGAAAGACACGATTGCATCTCGGTATTCCGACTTATTCATGAGTGCAACTCCGAGGGCCGAATGGGGCCACGATATGCCCTTCCTCTTGGATCCGGGAGGTGGCTTGACTTTGCCAGAATCCACGACACGCCGAGCCACCACTTCGACCCGATCCCAATCCCCCTCATCGGCGAAGGATCGCGCAAGTCTTTCAGCGGCCTCCACTTCAGATGAAGACAGTTCGACAGCCTTTTGGAAGCATCGCTTGGCTCTCTTTTTGTCCTTCGCGTAGTCGGCATAGAATTTGCCCAGGCTTGTGTAGGCCGGGGCCAGGTTAAGGTTATTCTTTAGAGCACCCAGGAAGTAAGCGTAGGCCCCGTTGCGGTCTTTTCGGGCGGCCTTTGATTTGTCGAGGTTCCAGATGCAGCATCCCAGTCTATACTGAGTGAGGGCTAGAAGCTCCTTATTGGCTTTTGAGCTCTTCTTCTTCTCCAAAAGGGCAACGCATTGCGCCAGCTCTTCTTTTCCAGCAGCATAATCCCCCGCGAGTGCCCTGACCCAAGCGGCCTCGGTCCGAACTCGAAGGTTTGAAGCATCACGCTCGAGTGCTCGCGTTAGAAAGTCGACTGCTTTAGGGTATTCCTCCTCTTCTTCGTAGATTAAACCCACACCAATCATCGCCGGAGTTGAGGTAGGGTCGTGGTCTAGCACCTTGTTGAACAGGGACATTGCCTCTTCATGATGCCTGGGAGACTGGTAAAAGACTAGGGATGTTCCAAGGTACAGCGAATACGCATCGATGGTATTCCGGAAAGAGAATCCGGATTTTACTCGCTCCTGGTTGACGTGAACTAGGGCCTTGCGCATCAACTCTACCGTGCTTTCGTATTCCTCGAGGTGCTGATAGTACTCTCCCATAAGACGATACGCAAGCAGTGAGTTTGCAGTTGCGATCCCGTCGGTCATCATGAGAAGTCGGTCTTCGTCAGTGACTGGAACAAACGACGTAGGAGCCCCGCCGTCAGAATCGTCCTCACTGGTCTCTTCCTCGGACTCGACGAGGTCAGCAGCAACTTGCGGCTTAGGGGCGGCGGGGAACGGAGAAATGGAGCTCGTCAAGAAACCGGTGATGACCTTGTACACATCGCTGTCGGGGAAGAACGAGCAATATTCTCTGAGAATGTTGACGTCCCACTCTGCGATGTCCTTATAATCCTTCCAGTCAATGGCGATATCCCACGCGAACTTTAGAGGGTGTTTAATGATGACCATGTCGTTGGCGAGTTGAACGACAGTGTCACGAATCGCCGTCTTCTCATCTCCGGGTGGAGTCACGACGAGGCGATCGTAACAGTGTCGGAGGAGTTTCTCCTCGTAAAGGCGACGAAGCTCATCGTCGGCGACCCAGTTGATGAGTTGTCGATAGATGTGTTCGAGTTTGCTCTCGGTTAGGACCTCCCTCTTGACTTCCACTGTCACGTCGTTCAGTCTCGCACCAATCCTCGTCCTCCGCTCTCCGATCAACGTGTTGATTCGCTTCCTTTCATCCTCCTCGGCGATAGTAGCCATTTTCTCATACGTGTGGGCGGGGCGGGGAACGTGGCCCTCGAGAGCCTCGTATACTGGACTCTCGGGTGTCGTAAGGGCCAAGGCATCGACATATTGCCTCCGATCACCATTCTCATTCGCGAACTCGACGAACTTGTTGATAGCGTCTCGGCATTTCGGCAGCTCATTGACCTGGCTGTAGATCTCCGCCAGCTTGATGGCGGCGTCTCGATAGGCTGACAATTTCTTCCTGTCCTGTACTTCAAAGAGCTTTATCAGGCCCTGCCATGCCTGGGGGGACTGTGGTTGAATCTTCGCGGCATCTAAGTAGGCCCTTTCCGCAGCATCCAGCTGCTGTCTCTTCTCTAGTGAGAAACCCAAGAAAATATGACTGTGTTTATGTGTTAGCTGGGATATTCGAGAATGAAGAGAATTGTCATACCCTAGGTAATTTTTTGAATCCTTTTGAATGAGGGCCCGAGATAGCTCGATGGCATCGTCAAACTGATTCGTCTTCACCGCATCACCAATGGCCTTCAATTGGGCCTTGACGGAAGACATGGTTTCTGGAGGGAGCAGTAGTCCCAGTCCACAATATTTGGCCTGCTTTTATAGCTATAGATGCCTGCCGTCGAAACTCTCTGAGATCAAGAGACAGATCGGGCTGAAAGTGGTAATTTTGAAACCTCAGGCTGCAGAGTCGTGGACCAGGATGGAGCTTGGAGGATTGGAGGGGTAATTTGGTAAATTTATGAGTATGCTCTCAGGGAGAAGGAGAGGAAGAGGGAGAGAAACAAAGAAATCCTTTGATCCATTGAAGAAGGAAAAAAGAAAAAAAAAAATTTTGGCCCTTATGGTTATGATTCTCCGTGTTACATGAGTCCCTTGGTGAGACTGCGATGATGCTGCAATGCTCTGATGCTGCCTTGCTCACCTCTTTCACTTGGTGATGTTGTGAATGGTCCAGAGAGATGATGCTGTTTGGGGAAGGCGGGAAAGGATTAAGCGAGTCTTATCCGACAAGCTCAACGACAAGATGATCTCTCTGTTCCTCAACTCGATTCTGTGCCCGAGCAAATATTGAATCTTCGAGAAGATAATATCAAAATAAGAGGTGCATTTTAATATTGAATAACTGACCTCAACTTCAGGTCCTGGCTCACTGCGATTCCAAAAACAAATGGAATTTTCCTATCCCTCTCCTTGGGTTTGTGCAATCTTCGAACCCCAAGGGCAACTGTTTGCCTGCAGCATGACTGCGATTGGTGATGGTTTCTAGTTGAACTGTCATCCTGAGGCCTCAATCCATAGAGAGCATGCTCAGTGTACCTAAGTATCGAGCACACGGCGAAGTCCTCATCCGCCTCTTCTTCTCATAGCGATTAATATTGGATGAGTGATTGCGCAACGCCATCCGTTCGCTGATGTCCACCAGTAGGTGCTCCGGACTAGTGAGACATCAAGCTGAGGTAAGCTTCTCTCGTTCTCGTACTCGGGATCGATTCGGGGCCGTCGGGTTCTGCTCCGGGTTAAGGTGGAAATTGCGGACAACTTGGGGTTCGGCGGGGTCTTTTACTGGCCAAAACAAGCTGTTGGCTCCACTAGACAGGTGACCACACCAGCTGTCGGTCAAGCATTGCTCAACGTCATTCAGCAGTTCCGCCCCAAGAGGTACTGTACCCTCCCTACCCTCCCTACCTAAATGCCAGCCAGATCCGTCCTTCACCGTCCATCAATCTCTCCTCCACCCCTCACGAGGTCTCGTCGCTTGGCATCTAGTCTCATGTGTTGTTGTCCTGAGAGTTCGCTGCTAAATACTACCTGCTCGGTGTCGCTGGTTACCTTCGTTCCTCTCCCCACAGTCGTTTACCTATCTCTCCCTTAGTCCCTGCTAAGCGACCCAGCCTGTGAATAGAAGATGGCCAACTCCTCCTTCCGTCTAACGATTGAGGACGGTCAGTTTCGAGACGCTCATGGCCGCCAAGTCGTTCTGCGCGGCATCAACTGCGCCGCCGATGCTAAATTTCCCAGCACCCCCGATCAGACATCATATGTCGGCGACGACTTCTTCGAGGGCGACAACGTCAAGTTCCATGCTCGACCGTTCCCCCTTTCCGAGGCACACGAGCACTTTTCGCGCCTAAGACGTTACGGGTATAATTCACTACGGTATATATTCACGTGGGAGGCGATCGAGGCGGCGGGACCGGGGAAATACGATGAGGAGTGGATTCAACACACGATTGAGGTGCTGAGAGTAGCTGGCTCTTATGGCTTTTACATTTTCCTAGATCCTCATCAGGATGTTGTAAGTTTGTGTAAATCCCGAGGGAGCACTCGAGGCACCTTCATGGCCTTCATTTCGCCATGGCAGCTAATGCTGTCTTGCAGTGGTCTCGATTCTGCGGAGGGTCCGGCGCCCCGATGTGGACGATATACGCATGCGGGCTGAACCCTCAGAGTTTCGCCGCGACCGAAGCCGCTATCGTTCATAACATATACCCCGAGCCCGACGAATTCCCCAAGATGATTTGGTCGACGAACTATTTCCGCCTCGCGGCCGTTACGATATTCACCCTATTTTTCGGCGGCAAGGATTTTGCGCCCAAGTGCATAATTAACGGCATGAATATCCAGGACTATCTTCAGTCCCACTTCATCAATGCTTGCGCGCATTTGGCGCGACGGATCCATGAGGCTGGCGATCTTGAGGATGTTGTAGTAGTAGGATGGGAGAGTATGAATGAGCCCAACCGAGGCCTCGTGGGATACGCCGACTTGAATGTGATCCCCAAAGAGCAGAAACTGAAGAAGGGTACCTGTCCTACGATTTGGCAATGTCTTCTCACCGGATCAGGAAGGGCGTGCGAAGTTGAGACGTGGGATATGGGTGGCCTTGGTCCATACAAGGTCGGCACGACCTTGATCGATCCCCACGGTGAGAAGGCCTGGCTGCCAGCTGATTATGACGACTCGAGGTATGGATATAAGAGGGACGAGGGGTGGAAATTGGGAGAGTGCATTTGGGCGCAGCACGGGGTCTGGGATCCCGAAACAGACACCCTTCTGCAAAAGGACTACTTTGCGAAGAACCCGCGAACGGGCGACGTAATTGATTATCCCAACTTTACCAACACTTACTTTATGGACCTTTACCGCAAATGGAGAGACGCCATCCGTACCCATCATAAGGGCTCGTTACTCCTTATGCAATATCCGACTCTTGAGCTCCCACCAGAGATAGCCGGTACCGAGGATGATGATCCAAAGATGGCATATGCTCCCCACTTCTACGACGGCATCACCCTCATGACTAAAAAATGGAACCGGACATGGAATGTGGATGTCGTTGGAGTGCTACGTGGAAGGTATCTCCATCCCGTCTTCGCAATCAAGGTCGGCGAAGCTGCTATCCGGAATTCCTTCAAGGACCAACTTGCCTCGCTGAGACAGGAGGGCAAGGACAGAGTTGGGAACCACCCTTGCGTACTCACGGAATTTGGCATTCCCTACGACATGGATGAAAAGAAAGCATACGAAACAGGGGATTATTCGAGCCAGTCTGCAGCACTGGATGCGAATTATTACGGAGTCGAAGGCGCGCTCATGGAGGGTACCTTCCTCTGGGTGTACGTAGCCGGTAACACCCACAAGAGGGGAGATCAGTGGAACGGCGAGGATCTCTCTATCCACTCTCTTGACGATAAGCCAGCGCCGATCTCCGCGGTTCCCAAGTCGATCAACGGCGCTAGCTCCTCTACCCTTGTGAAAGACCGGGCTTCTCTGGACGTCGCCGACGAGATGACCGTCACGCCCGATAACCTCAGGCAGGTCCTCTCGACACCGTCGATCTCGTCCGAGCCGGGCAAAGCGCCGGAGACGGCAGACACGCCTGGCTACCGAGCCGCGGAAGCGTTCATCCGCCCATCGCCGGTTTACGTCAGCGGTATCGCGAAAGAGTACGGTTTCGATCTCCGCTCCTGTACTTTCAGCCTCAAGGTCGAGGCGGAGGCTTCGACGAGCCACGACGCGCCCACGGTCATATTCTTGCCCGAGTTCCACTATCCGGCCGAGTCGTGCACGGTGGAGGTGTCGTCCGGAAAGTGGGAGATAAACTCGGAGGATCCGCATTGCCCGTACTTGCAGAGGCTGCTTTGGTGGCATGCTGAGGGAACGCAGTCTCTTAAAGTTCAGGGCCTCGTGAGGAAGCATAACGTGGTTGAAGGCACCGCTGAGGAGGAGGGATATTTGGAGCAGTGCTATCAAACGTACGGGTTCGGGCCGAATGGTAACTGCTCGGTGATGTGAAAGAGTAGTTAGTATGTGCATGGGTTTCCTGATACTTTCTGTTTGTCCCTTTTTCTTTCTGGACTTTTGTTGGCACGGATATCCATGATCGCATGGCGCAGGGCGTTTTTTGTTGGGTTTCATTCATACTGCAAGCATTATTTGCCTCGGCTCGGCGGATAAGTCGAAGTTTGTCATATACGTCTTTTTAATGTTGACATTTAGAGAATATACTTGATGGCATCCTTTTTTTGTCATTATCCCTTTCTTCGGCTTCCAACCAATATTCTTTGTATGTTTCTTGGTGGCTATCTCTGAGAGTGGGTCCCTACCCAAACTTCTGGGCTCGTGTAGAAGTTGTCTTGAATGGATCCATTTCTTCGCCTACGCTACGGACAACCATGTTTCACTCCATGAAGATTAGGTTCGGACTTGATGGGCTGTGTGCCTGCGGACTTGTAAGCTCAAGTTGCGCTTATTCTTTCATTGGTCGGCTTTCCACTCTGACGGGCGCGGGTAGTTTTTGTGGTCTTTTGCATATAAAGTGTCCCTGTATCAGGCTCAGGCTTCGTGCCGAGCCTCAATCCTTGTGCACTGCCGCCGGGCTTTGTGAATTAGGCGCATTTTTTGAGGTGCGGGGAAGAACATGCTGGGTGAGATGTCATTGAAATCATATTGTTTATGCATTACGTCCTTGTCATAGTCTGGGCGGGACAATGAGACGAGCTGGGGTTGACACGAGTTCTTCCAGTTACGAGCTGGCGGTGATGCGATCAAATCGATCCATCAAGGGAATCGGTAGGGGGAAAGTCTGGGCCTGGTTCTGCAGCAACCCGTATTTATTCGCTAAAACGTGCAGCCATGGGCGCTAAAACACCGAATGTCGTGGCGTGCCATTGGCCCGGATCCCCTCCATCGGCCGGATAAACAATAGTCCTACTGCGCCTTGAAGGTTGAAACCCAAACGGAGACCAAGTCTTATTACGAATTCGGGAGCACAGATCAACGGAACTAGACAACGGCGAGTTCTTTGTACCGCCGTCGAGTGAAGACCTGAGGTACGAAGTACACCGCACATGTACCCACACTCGGGTTCCGCCCACCCAACAGATCGAACCAACAGTGCGAAAGAGAAAGGCGACAGGGAAGGCGAAAGGCAGCGTCCCCAATTCCCGCTTCAGTTTCCCCATCCAGCGGGTCTCCGCTCCACAGCCCAACCCCAAGACTTTCATCGCTCTCGACTCTTTGAAACTCCTTTGGCCGTTGGACATCTGCGAGATATTGTCTCTTTTCCCATTCCTTCATTCTCATCCTCTTCATTGCCGGCGATCATGGCTTTAGCCCCAGCTAGTATTCTATTCTTGTCCTCTTAGCTGATTCCCTGTATTATATACTAACCCATATATAATACTTCATACGCGGCCCGTTTTATGTTTCGGCCAGCGTTCGTGAGCCATCCAACCCCTGGTCTAGCCCGGTCTAGCCTGATCAGCTTCCCGCGGGAAGGGAGCTTTCGACTGCTACCCAACCATATTTCCAAAACGATAGAGAGCGTCATCAAACCCCATTGCTATCCACAATCCGACCGTTGCTTCGTACTGTGCTATTCTTGATTCTTCTGACCTCCCATTGCTCGAGGGAAGGCTAAGCTCTGCCTGAGCTTGCCCACCCAGTATCTCCTACAACATATCCAACATAGCAAATTTCCTCATCCACTCCTTGCCACGCCCACGATGTATCAGAATGGCCAAAGGGACCCATCGCGGCCCTTCCAGGTCCCTCCCCCTCCGCCGCCCATGTCGCCTCCCATCCGACAACCCCTAGGCAACATAATGGCCATCCCCCCTCCTCCGCCCCGATACCCATCGGCGACCCAGCCCGCGAACGGCGTAATGCTCCCACCTCCCCCCGGTCCTCCTCCCACGAACCCGCCATGGCAGAACGTGCTCTCCAGAATGTACGACGGCCGCGCGGGCCTCAACATACCCCCTCCGCCCGGCGGCCAAGTCCAGGCCTACAACCCGCGACTCCATGGCACCATCCCCGCAGGCTCGACCATATCCACCATCCCCCCTCCACCGCCCCCGAGCGAGCAAATGTCCGCGACGTACATACCGACGGGAGACACCTGGGGCGAAGGCGTAGGCATCCCCGCCCTAGGCTTCGACGAGCCGAAGCCATTGTGGGCCATGCCTCCTCCCCCGAACGGCGCTGACACCGCGAACTCGACTCCCCTCGACGAATCCATCAGCCGCGACAGGCTCTACGCCAACGCCATGCAGAACGCCCGCGGCGTGTCCAACGCTTCCACCGCCACCACGACTTCGACGGCCTCGTCCACGAGTATACCCCCCGAGCTCGCCGCGCAGTGGCCCCTCGACCGTGTGCTCAGCTGGCTGCAGGCAAACAATTTCTCGAGGGATTGGCAGGAGACGTTCAAGGCGTTGAATCTCTACGGTATTCAGTTCCTCGAGCTGAGCAGCGTGCGCACGGGGAGGGGTAACTCGGGCATGATGCACCAGCATGTGTACCCTAGGCTCGCTGCGCAGTGCACGCAGAGCGGTACCGGCTGGGATCAGCCTGCTGAGCGCGAGGAGGGAAAGCGTATGCGGAGGCTGATTAGGACTATTGTGCGGGGGGAGCAGCATGATATGGGCAAGATTGGACCTGGTGGGGATGTGGAATCGCCTAATGTAAGACGTCGCTGATCCTGACGGCCTGCACATTTCTATATATAGCCGCCTACTAACACTTTCGGGTCTATAGACACCTCTCAATCCTCCAGGCCCTGGGTTTTCGGCTCGGCGGTATTCACAAGTCCGCCAACTACCGACCCTTAACAACAACGCCATGAGCTCCGAGTCCCACCACCGCTCCGTTCTAAAACACATCGATGTAGACGGAGGTCGACGACAGAGCCCCATTGGGGATTCCGGCGAACCTGGCTTCACCGTCAAGTCAAGGCCAGAAAGTCCAAGAGGCAGCCCAAGCCTCGCGGGGCAGGAGCTCTTCCTGCCGCCTTCCTCAGGTCAATTATCCGCATCACCTCACTCCGCCAAGTTTGGTCACCGCTCTCGAGACAGTACGGACTCAGCGTCATCGAACGCCGCCATCTACGGTAGTGGCGTCCCCGCCGGAGCCAGTCGGCTCAACATCAGCGATATGATCATGACGGGGCGGGCCGGCGAGAGGCAGCGACTGTCGCCGCAAGACACGACTCCCAATTCGGATCCTCCCTCTGCAAAGGACGGACCACGGCTACTTAGTTTCCTATCGCGGAAGAAGCGTCAAGAAGGCATCTCCCCAGATGGGACGGAATCTCCTACGTCTCCCGGCGGGACATTGAAAGTGACTCCCTCCCAATCCGCGAGCGACTTGGCGGCGGCGGAAAAGTCACGGTCTGCGTCCCAATTCATGACGCACTTCAAGAGCAAGAAACACGCTTCGGCCCGAAACTACGTGCTTGCTACTATGGACTGCTGGAACTACCGGATGTGCGATGTTACGGATCTGGAAACCCCGAGCGAGCTACGGCACGTCATTTGCGGTAATCTAGGTATTATCGATTTTGAGAACACGGAAATATACATTACGGAGCTGGGCAGAGCTGAGCACGATGAGCCGCTTGACGATCAGAAGTTGCTCGCGACTCACAAGAAGTTGAAGGCTGAGGTCCCCGGCGGTTTAAAGTTCCTCGTTCGGCGCACAGGGCCAGACAACTCGAGGCTTAGCCCCGCGGCGTCCACGGCGGCTACAGGCTATTTGTCGCCCGGATTATTACCTCCCGGTATGACCGTCGACGAGGATACCTATGCCAGGCTTAGCGGCGGACGGCCCAGGTCGTCCTCTACGCCGCCGTCGTCTCGGCAGAAGAGCATGACGGAGGATACCATAGACGAGACATCACTGAGGGAAGAGTCGAGGGCCTACAAGGCCACGCTGGAGAAGAAACAGCGTGAATACCTCGCGTCTAGGAAACAAGCTGCGCAGAAGGAGTCGCCCGTGGCGGAAGCCGCGCAGTACGGGTCGATTGTGCGCAAGACGGAGATCAACTTTGATCAGCCCAGATCGTCGCCGTACGAGGACAAGAAGCCCGATCATCTGTTCCCCGTGCGTAAGCCCCCAGCGCCGCCCAGCGAACCCACGGTCACCGTCCTCAAGGCCGATTCCCTCCGTAGACGACCCGGCCAACACCTCAGGCCTGGTTCGGATTCGGGCGGATTTCCCAGCCCGAGACGGCCTGGCACGGCGACGAGCGACTCTAGCCACTCGAGGCACCCGTCGGACCAACTACCGTCGCTCAGCAATGCGCTCCGCGGTATTAATAGGAGTCTGGGTGCCATCGGACAGCCCTCTGTAAGCGGCGCGCCGCGCCCGATCTCACCTAACAGGGTAGCTTCACAGCCCATTATGAAGCAGGGGAGCCCGGAATCGAGGATGTCGAGGCGGACGAGCCACGGACGGAGCCAGGATTTCACCAGCGTCAGCTTCTCCAACTTTACGAAGCCCCCAGCTCCGGCCGCCGCCGCTCCATCCTACGACTCGGATGACGATTCGGACGACGGTTTGTTCGCGGTTCCCATTAAGAGCAAGAACAACAGCAACAATGCTGCCGGAAAGCGCCCTAGCCTCAAACTAGACACTGATCGGTCCACTAAGAGGAAATCGGTCGTCTTCAGCGAGCCCACCGACACTAGGACCGGCGAGGGCGACGACGATTACCCGGGGAGTGGCAGGAGCGGCAGGAGCTCGCGGAGGACGCCAGGCACGCCGTCAGAAGGGTGGGAGTCGTCGGCGGAGGACAGCGCCAAGCTTAACCGGCGCAAGTCGTTTGTGGAGAAGGACATCTGGGCGAACCGTCCCACGACTGACGCTCTCGTCAACAACCTCGACGACTTCTTCCCCAACTTGGACCTCGACCAGCCCGTGTTCGATGAGAATCAGGATGTAGATATTAACGCGCCGTCGCCGATCGCGGAAGGGGACGAGACTGGCGAGGCGAGCAGTGCGGGGGCCAGCAACGCCCAGCCACCTACGAAGGAGAACCTGGCAGCGCTACCTGGGTCTAAGGTATCGAAACTTTACAACGATAATGACACCCTCGGCTCCGATGAGTCGACTCTCAAGGCGCTCGAGAGGCCCGTGTCTATCCAGAGGAGCGTAAGGAAGTCAGGAGGTCTCAGCCGGCTCAAGTCGATCCGAGAAGTGGCTCGCGGAGCGCACGAGGCCAACAAGAGGTACACGACGGCATCGCAAGGAGGTGCTGGCCAGTCGTCAGCGCTCATGCGGCGCAAGAGCACCAAGATGTTCAACGCCAACATCGTGCAAATCAAGCCGCAGCGCGACAGCATCATGATGCCGCAGATCCCCCAGCAGGACGCGAACAACACGCAGCTCAAGAGGCAGACGACGTTCCGATGGTTCAAGGGCCAGCTGATCGGCAAGGGCACGTACGGCCGCGTGTACCTCGGCATGAACGCCACGACGGGAGAGTTCCTGGCCGTCAAGGAGGTCGAGGTGAACCCCAAAGCGGCGGGCGGCGACCGGGCCAAGATGCGGGAGCTCGTAGCAGCTCTGGACCAGGAGATCGACACGATGCAGCACCTCGACCACGACAACATCGTGCAGTACCTCGGGTGCGAGCGTAAAGAGACGAGCATCTCCATCTTCCTCGAGTACATTTCTGGTGGCAGCGTAGGTTCGTGCCTGCGCAAGCACGGCAAGTTCGAAGGAGGCGTCGTCAGCTCGCTCACGCGGCAGACGCTCTCGGGTCTCGCATACCTCCACCGAGAGGGCATCCTGCACCGCGACCTCAAGGCCGACAACATCCTGCTCGACCTCGACGGCACGTGCAAGATTTCGGATTTCGGCATTAGCAAGAAGACGGATAACATCTACGGAAACGACAAGAGCAATAACATGCAAGGGTCAGTGTTCTGGATGGCGCCCGAGGTGATCCGGTCGGAAGGAGAGGGGTATAGCGCCAAGGTGGACATTTGGAGCCTCGGGTGCGTGGTGGTGGAGATGTTCGCTGGGAGGAGGCCGTGGGCGAAGGAGGAGGCAATTGGGGCGATTTACAAGATTGCTAACGGGGAGGCGCCGCCGATGCCGGATGATATTGCGCCGATCGCGACTGCGTTTATGCTGGATTGCTTCCAAGTGTGAGTTGTTCTCGCTTTCTTTTTTCCTCTCGTCTCATTAATTATACCTCCCCGCTCGAACGATTCAGAGACTAACTACCGGCGACTAGGAACCCGTATGATCGACCGACGGCGGAGAAGCTACTCGCGGAGCACCCGTTCTGCGAGCTAGACCCCAATTATGACTTCCGCCATACTGAGCTGTTTGCTAAGATTCAGGGCCGTGACCTGTAAAGGGTGAAGAAGGGATTAGAGAGGAAGTTGTGTGTTCGCGTTTGTGTATGTGTATGTTTGCTTGGGGGATTTGCTACGAAAAGAGCTGTAATAGCATGGGATGCGTTCCTTTCTTAAGTGAGGGTTTTGGGTATAGGGTACATAGAGATAATGGATGAATTGAGGTTGAAATCTACGGATTCTACGTTTTCCCCCCCTTACATGTTCCATCCGACGCTTCTGGCGCTTTTGAGAGAGGCTGCTAGGCCTGAGGGCGGGCAGCTGGTTCCCCATTTCAGGATCGGTTCTACGAAGTAAACAAGAATAAGCATAGAGTTGAGTTTAACGGTATTCTTCTTAGCTCAGGAGCGGGCACGGTTCAATTAGAAACGGTTCGTGTTCTTCGAGCCACGTTGATGTCACATGTGCCGACGCATGTTTCAACTCTAAGTCGAGTTTGTTCTGGGGTTGAACGTGAACGGGAGGGGAAAGAAGGCCTCGAGAGTCTACGCTTAATGTTGGGGTTTGAGACATGTGAAGGCAGGGACTGTGGATCCGATCGGGACACCTGATGCATTGGATGGGAAAGTGCGAAGCGACGGTTGGGCTGATGGGTTTCGGTACATATTGAAGAAGTATGCTGTCATGGGCAGTTGATTGCATGTCTCAGTACCTGTATACTTTGCAGAAGAGGGACTTGGACTTCCAAGGTCTCAAAACGTAAGCAATTGACTACTTCAAGTCCAACCTGAGGGTAAGCCTACAGCAGGATTTCAGGCCTTGCACTAACAATTCGCGGGGTTTCATCTGATGAACGACCAGAGGGGTCTCCCTCTCTCTTCCAAATGCCACCACGGAGTTAATCATTGATGTTCTGTGCTTCAAATTGATCTGCCGTAGTGGGATTGAGCGTGTTCGTGTATCGTCGCCACTGTCAAAATCTCTCCACATTTTGGTCCATTGAAGCAGAGTGTTCGTGTACAATTGTATCTCGGTACTCGGGGGTTTGTTATGCTCAGGGATTTACATTGAATTGAAATGGTATTGGTATGATGGATTTTTCAGACTCAGGCTGAATGGGATCCAGAGACAGGAGTCGGCAGTATAAATACATCCCCTCGAATGCCTCGAGCCGATTTATTCTGTCAGTCGATTTGATGGTAGGCACCTTCTGGGGGCAGAGTGTCAGGTGCAAACGTTCAGCAAGTGTTTTACTAGCAGACAAGCACATTGTGGGCTTGGTACCCCTTTCATTAGTGCTCGCAGATATCAATGTGGAAAGAGAGGTCCACAGGCATAATAGCTTGACCACTTTGGCAAGCACAAACAAGGCTCAATTTATGTACCCCAGAGCATATTAAAAAGTCTCCGCCTCTTTCCCTTTCCTCGTCCATTCCACCTTGACGCTCTGACCCAATGGCAACATTGAATCGTACTCATACTCAAGTCTTCGCTTTCGCACATGCAGGCAAGCCCAGCTCGGCCTGTGCCTGCGTCGTGGTGCTGATACCCCTTTTGAGGCTACCAGATCCTGGGCCATGTGAACCATTTAAGGGGGCAGTCGTGGCTTCTTCCTCAACGGCTCTTCCAGGGGCGAGTGACCACAACCCACCAATCGGTGGACGGCGACCCTTACCCCACAGACTCTGTCCGCCATTGCAGACCCTTGTCCACACCCAGACTCTGCACTCCGAAGTACACTACACCACATTGCACCACACTAATGTACACTCTGCTCGACAAGTCCCTTGAAGTTCTAGAGCTAAGGCTCGAGCGAAACCAAACAGAGTGCCGGGAATTATTAGCTGCTCAATTCCCAATTCCATTCGAAACTCGAAAAAAAGGGAATGGCAAAAGATCCGTGAGAAAAGTCTTGGCATCCAGCCTCCTGTCGCATGTTTCTCTGCGCGCTGCACACTTCCCCATGGCGCTTTCTCGGCGAGGGGCCTGTCCCTTTTTCTTGGGTTTCCGAACATCCGGCTGGGGTTTCTTTTCGGACTGAGGGAGAAGGAGAGGCTGTCCATGGTGGATGGTGGGCGGTGGATGGCCGATGTCCTGTCCTCAGGCGACGATGAATTATTACTGATCGCCACCTGCTTCTTCGGTCTCGTTCTCATTACCCGGTCGTTTGACAAGCCCGGCAGTAATGCCCAGCAACATACGAAGTAGCTTATTCTCAATTGCCATTTGATATCATCTGTCTCGTACCCACTCGTCACTTTAGCCTTGACCTTGAAAATACAACCCATATGGATGTCCTCCATTCCACAGCGAGCTAGGCCCCTCTCTCTCCGTGAATATACTTAAATGTACTTCGTACACTATCGCATCTAAAGTCTTGGCATCTCGTTAATGCATTTCTTGTTTGCCACGATAGCACCTTTCATTCCTGGATTTCATTCTTCTTCCCACTACATTCCTTTACTAGCTATCGTAGCTTCGAGTTTCGACCTCCCGGATGGCGTCGAATTAACGGAGAATTCTGTCTTGTCGTCCCCCGTGTTACGTGCTGTTACGTGCTGCCCAACCTGGCTTTCACCATCGCATGCTAGCTGATACGTCCCGACTCAACGACCCTTCTTTGCGCGACCTACCGCGCTCGGGAGAGCACAAGCACAAACCTTGAACCCCTCGCGAAGCTCCGCGATATGGGACGACTGACCCTTTCTCCGGTAACCCTTGCAACCTCTGCCAGTGTATCACACTCTTAAGCTGGCGTGGTTTAATAATATCTTCTTGCGCGTCGACTCCGATCCGATTGCTCGAAGTCACCCGCAAGCTTCGCTCCTCTCCCCTGCCTCCTAGGCCCTTTTATCTCCAACCCAGCGAGCGCCCTTGTCTAACCGTAGATCCGCGCTCCCCTTATCCGCTGAATCCACTCATTTCACAATGCTTCCACGAAGGAGATATAGGTTGCTGCTCTTCGTGGCGGCACTCGTCGTCTTTCTCTTCTACCGCGCCGCTCATTACTCCGACTGGGACCCTTCAGAGTATACGCGCATTGGTAAACAACAGCAGCACTACTCCTCTCACTTCGACAGTGATCGCAACCCGCTGTACAAACCTCTGGGCCATGGAACCCAGGAAGAGCCGGTCAAGGGAGACCCTCATCCTCCTCACCCCCCACCACCACCACCACCACAGCAAGAGGAGGAGGCACCAGTTAAGATTCCCACTCTAAAGCCAGGAGATCAGGACGATGGCAGTTTCGGGCTGCCCACCGCTGCCGCACCTTTGGACTCCGCCAGCAGCACCTCGAGCGCGGCCGAGCCTTCGGTCACGGCCCCTATACCATGGTATGAGATAATAGCACCGGGCATGCACACAACCCCCGAGTCCTTGACGACAAGCACCTACTATCCCCGCTGGCAGAAATTCGGGGAGCAGTTCCCGGTCGCTGCTGAAGATCTCATACTCCTCCCGACCGGTACGCCGAAGCCTATCCCAAAGATCCAGTTCGACTTTCCCCAGGAGAAGCCCGCCGCCAAGGAGAAGCGCGAGGCGAGATTGGCTGAGATCAAGGCCGAAATGACGCGCGCCTGGTCGGGTTACCGGATGTATGCGTGGATGCACGACGAGCTGTCACCCGTTACCAAGTTTTATCGCGATCCCTTTTGCGGCTGGGCCGCTACACTTGTCGACTCTCTCGATACGCTTTGGATCATGGGTATGAGGGAAGAATTCGACGAAGCCGCTCACGCCGTCAAGAATATCGACTTTACTTACAGCACCCAGCGCCTCGACATTCCAGTTTTCGAGACGGTCATCCGATACCTCGGCGGCCTGTTGGCCGCCTACGATGTCAGTGGTGGCCACGAAGGCAGGTATAGGATGTTGCTAGACAAGGCCGAAGAACTCGCCGATATTTTGTACGGAGCTTTCGACACCCCGAACCGCATGCCTGTGCTGTATTACCTGTGGAGACCCGAGTCCGTCATGCAGCCGCGCCGCGCCACCATCGTCAACGTGGCCGAGGTGGGGTCCCTCCTCATGGAGTTTACACACCTCGCCCAGCTCACAGGCAAGGAGAAGTACTACGACGCCGTGGCGCGCATCACCAACGCTTTGGAGGACCTGCAAAAGAGCGGCACCGCCATCCAGGGCATCTTTCCCGAGATGCTCGACGCTGGCGGCTGTAACCGGACGGCGACGGAGCTTCAGCGACAGGCTGCGCTGCAGGCGCAAAATGAGCTCAACGGAGTCTCGAGCTCTCCGGGTGCGGCGGCGGCGGGGGCGGCGGCGTGGCCACGGAACCCACAGAAACTAGAGATAATTAATGTCGGCGACACTGTTTTCGGCACCTCCTTCGCCGGCCCTTCCAGTCCCGATGAGGGCGAGGATGGACAGGTGAAGAACGCGTCTGACGCCACTGCATCCGAGAGTCTCGCGGCCGGGGGCCTGGCTAGGAGGGGATTCCGCGAAGCGAACGCCGCTAATGATGATGGTGCCTGGGATGAGGGTGATGATGACGATAATGGAGTCGCCATACCTGTCAATAGCTTTAATCCTTGGAGCGCAGCGAACATGATCGATCTCGATTGCGTGACTCAGCCGCCGTTGGTGCCCACAACTTACGGGTATCAGTCGTACAGTATGGGCGGTAGTCAAGACTCTACTTACGAATACTTCCCCAAGGTATGTGGCCCTTCCTCCTCTTCTCCTCTTCTCCTCTCCTCCACCCAGACGATGACTCTAGATACCTTGCGGTTATTTTTTTGGTGGTGGCTGACTGAAAAAACCCCGCAGACGTATCTTCTTCTTGGAGGCCGCGAGCCCAAGTACCGCAACATGCACGAAAAATCCGTGGCCGCCATCAAGAAATGGCTCCTCTACCGGCCCATGACCAAGGACGGGCGCGACATCCTCTTCTCGGCCAAACTCACCACGACGGGTGTGCCCGAAGTCGACGCCCAGCGCGAATTCGAAGTGACGCACCTGACGTGCTTCCTCGGCGGTATGTTTGGGCTCGGCGCCAAGATCTTCAACAGCGACCAAGATCTCGAGATCGCCCAGAAACTCACCGACGGTTGCGTGTGGGCGTACGAGTCGACCCCCTCGGGTATCATGCCTGAGGGCTCTACAGTTGTACCCTGTGCTAGCTTCAGGGAGTGTCCGTGGAATGAGACGGCTTGGTATCAGGCTCTAGATCCCATGTGGGAGTACCGCGACCAGCAGGTCCAGGATTACTTTGAGAATAAGAAGGCCGCGGAGGCGCATCAGAAACTTGTAGAGAGTCAGCAGGAGATACAGAGGATGCGAGAAGAACAGGCCCAGGCTCAACCTCTAGGCGATGATGCAACAATCGATGAGGAGCGACCGACGGAGCCACCGTCTCCACCCGGTGCTCTCGATGAGGAGACCGCTAGCGAGAAGAAGACGATGTACGAGATCGAGGTCGAGAATAGCGGCGACGCAGCACCCAAGATGGTAGTGGAGCCTGCGACGTCGGGGGAGACCTATCGTTATCCTCGCCCAGAACCCGGAGCGCCAAAGAAGGAGGTGAAGAAGAAGCGAGACGTCGGCACGGGGACGAGACGATTGGATGGCGAGGATGCGGACGGGCAAGATTTTAATGTCGCTGAGCGTCCTACCAGTACCGTCGATAGCGCTGAAGCCGAGCCTGGTTCCAACATTGGGAGCAGCAGTGCCGGCGCTAGTGGTGGGCAGATTCCGCTCGAGGATAAGGACCCCAACAAACCCCCGACACACCTCGAATTCGTCAAGGCGAAGATTGCGAACGAAAAGATTCCTCCAGGCTTCGTGAGAATCCCCCACAGACATTATATTCTACGGTAAGTTTATTTCTATTCCCCCTCGTTCCGTCTTTTTCCCCGATTTCGGGCGTCCGTTGCCCTTTACGCCGGAGCTTACGTATGCCTCCCGACATGGGGTTGCGTCAAATCCCATGAAACCAAGACACACTAACACCCGGACCTCTTGTCTCGCCCCACAGTCCCGAAGCCATCGAGTCAGTCTGGTACATGTACCGCATCACGGGCAACCCCGAGTGGATGGAGAAGGGGTGGAGGATGTGGAAGAGCGTCATCGAAGCCGTGCGTACCGACGTGGGACACAGCGCCATCCACGACGTGATGGTGGAGAAGTCGCCGCTCAAGGACTCAATGGAGAGCTTCTGGATCGCCGAGACACTCAAATATTTCTACTTGCTGTTCGCGACGCCGGATACGATCAGTCTTGACGAGTGGGTGTTGAATACGGAGGCTCATCCTTTTAGGAGGCCGAAGGGGGAGATTGTGTAAGTTCGGGGAGAGAGCGGGTGCGATGTGCGACTTTACTACTCTTTTTGTATTCTTCATGAGTGTTCTTTTTCATATGAAGCGGATTAGCGACTTGATGGAGATGCATTTGGTTATTGTTTGGGGGTGTCTAGACATGATTGGCGTTGGGGACTTGGTTCGAGACGTATATATATATGCTTTTTTCCTATGAATATACTTATCAAGAAAGTAGTTGAAGAGTAGAGACTGTATCCTAGGGACTATTCCCCGGCTATATAAAGAAGAAGATTGAGTTGGATTGCTTCGATTGGGCTATCTATATATACTCCTTCACGCTCTCACCATCCTCCATTAGAGCTCTATTATCCTCCGTCGACATGACATCGTAGCCGTCACTACAGCGGCAGCCTTCCCTTTGGACCTATCTACATACATTACATGCTGAATGCAAGGCAAACAAAAAACCACTTGAACAATTCCGAAAACATCTTCTGTAGGCTCATCCACGACATGCAGAAATCAGGATTTTGCAATTCAAACGAATAACAAGCAGTAAAGCAAGAGAAACGCAAACAGAGTAAAGACTTCAAAACAAAACAAAACTCCGATCCAATATGCGATGTCCAGGGCCCGACCTCCATCGGATTTCCCCCTCTGCCCCCATCTCATGCCCCAAGGCCGAGAAAAACGGCGGGGAGAAGTCCTCGATGGTCCTGCTTTCTCTTTCATGTACATGCTGGGAATTTTCCTCGCTGTGAAAATCGCCCGTATTTTTATAACCCGTCATCAAAAAGCGACAAAAAAAGGAGCCGTTAAAAAGAAACATAAAAACATGGGGGAAGAGGGGGTTCTCCATGTTCCCCAGCAGTTGTCGATTCCAATCTCTTCCAAGTTTTTGCTTCCCGTTCCCCATGTCCATCATCTCTGATGTATCCATATATGCCCAAAATTACTCGTCCAATATTCTTCCAGTCATGAAAATGGTTGTATAGCGTAAAAAAGAAGAAAGAAAAGAGCACAAGAACCAAGAAAAGAAGAAAAGAAACCGAAGTCGCCCTTTTCTCTTTCCTTAGCTCGCCAATTTCGTCAAAACGCTAATACTCAAAATCATAACCAACAAGCCAATCGTCACAATAATCAGCAGCGTGAAGCTGAACCAACCCATGACCATGGCGCTCGTGCCGACGCCCGATTTCACCGAGCCGTTGCCGAAGTCCTCGGCGATGATGGAGGCGGCCACGGACGCCGTGTGCTGCCATAGCACGGACACGAGGACGAAGACGGCGGCGATGAAGATGATGGCCAAGGCGACCTGGCTGACGGGCCGCGATGGGAAGGGCTTGACTTCGCGTTCGGAGCCTTCGGAGTCGACTTCTTCGTGCCACACGGGGAAGGTGGCGAGGAGGAGGACGCAGACGAAGGCGAAGATGATGGCTATGATGCTGTTTAAAAAGAGAAGAAAACCAATTAGCCTAATTGTGCCTTGTGTTGTTGTTCCTCTTCTCTTCTTAACTTACATTAGGTAGGGAAACACAATCATATCCTTGAACTGCGACGCCAACCACACCAGATTCAACGGATCCTGGTCTACGGCCACCTCGTTGGCCAGCGCCGTCGCGTTGTTAGAGCACAGCCAGCTGCCGCCGTCGGGGCTAATGCAGATGCCGAAGTAGCCGACGCGGGCGGCGAGGCGGGCGTCGCCGGCGATGTTGGAGATGGCCTTGTGTACGTTGTAATTGACCTGCGCCGTGTCGGGGACGGCGGTGTATTGCTCGTAGTAGAGGGACATGAGGAAGATGTCGGGTATTAAGGGGGAGGAGGAGGAGCATCCTGCGAGTAGGAGGGCTAAGGGAGTTTGGTTTTAGTTTCGTGTTTCTTTCTGTCGATCGGGCAGGTGAGGGAGGGCATTCTTGGGGGCGTGGTAGGGACTTACAGAGCAATATTATGGTCACTGCTATTAGGATCATGAGAACATGGTGGTAACCTAGGAACGGTAAAAACCCTACATCTCAACGTTAGTACACACAATTCTTCTCCCCAGGCGCTTGCAAGGACGTAAAGAAGTTAGTTCGAAAAGGAGAGAGCTGGACTTACGATACCACCCTACTTGAAAGCTGGGCATCTTCGTTGTGTGATGTGAATATCTTCTTCAACAACAGAAACTCCTATCCGTTTCTCAGAGAAGAGAAACCTAAATCCACCCCTCGCCGCCGCCCCGTGAGATCCTGGAGCGGACGGTTGGGTTTCTATCAGTGCGCCCGGGCAGCGCACTCGTCTCGAGGGAAGAATCAAGCCGGGTTTTCTGTGAGAATGCCCTCCAGCAACAAGGCCTAATTTGGATTGTGTGGTAGGTCTAAGCAGGCCGGAAAGAATCCTGTGAGAGATCGAAGGGACTATGCCTTGGAGGTAGGATTTCTCAGACACGCGGAGAGTTCGGGTGAATGTTTATTCGTTCGTTCTGGCAGAACCGCCGGGGAGATATCAAGACGGTTCGATCGAAGGGGAGGATAAAGAGGACCGGTAGACTCTGGTCTGTGAACGGTAAACACTAAGAATGTTAGATAAAACAAGGAGAGGTTTGTTCTCTTGCGAATGTATTGTTTTCTCTTCCAAACTCCCAAGTAAACGAGCGACGTAGAAGGCTTGTGAGGACGGTGCTGTTTGTTAGTTTGGAGGAGAGAGAGAGAGTTGAGATGGAGGAGGAGGTTTGGTATGAAAGGGAGAACTCGAAGTGGTCAAGACACTTTACAAGATATGTTTCTCCTCTCGTTAGGAAAGAAGTGGTTCAGCTTGTTTGGCGCGAAGCAGAAGAAAAAATGTATGAAGAGTAGAAAAGTGTGAAGGCGAGACACAATAGGAAGAAGGGAAGGAAAAAGGTACAGGGACCAGACGAAAATGTTTGGGCTCAGAGGAAGACGTCAGCGCCGAGAGCTCGAGGTTGGGGTGTGGGAACAGCTGTGGGCTTGAGAGCTTGGCTGGTAACCGGAGGCAACAAGGGAAGCCCGGACTGCTCGGTCAGATGTCGTGGCCTAGATAAGATCAATTGATGCCGCTTATCCCTTCGCAACCATGTCGTATAGCTGAGGACGAGGCAACGCAATTGGGTGAAGGATCCCCCGAGGGTTGACTGGGGCGGGTACTCTTGGCGGTCTCTAACCCTTGTGTTTTTTTGTTTCTTTGGGGAGGACTTTCGCTGTGAGGATGTTCCGTGTAATAATAGAAAATAGGAGGGAAAGGAGCTGAGATTGCCGCTTGTTCCTTGAATCTTCTTGGGTCGAGCTGCGGTTGAGTCGGTCGTCGCCCAGCCACTGCATTATTTACTTGGGTGGTGGGGGGAGTGTGAGGTGGTTGACCCGGTGATGATGGTGGTGTGGAGTGCGCGGATTTCGTTGGCCCAAAATCCACATGTCCCTTCGTACACTAACTTCGGGTCCCTGGCACAGTTTGCATGGCTGGCATGGGCCGGCGTGGCATGACAATGGACGACAGGACTTAGCGATGCTTAGATAATCGGCACGGGATTGGATCAAAATTTGGAGGAACGATCGACAACGTCAAGTCTCAATTGGCCAATGACATGAGCTTCCTCTCTTTGCGTCATGGTTACGAGAAACAGCCGACGACAGCTGCTGTTCACTCTGGGCCAGCCAATTACTCTTGTTCAAATCAGGAATTATGTCAGCGGCCTTTCCTAATCGAGCGACGTGAAGTTATTCGCACCCGCGGATCGAAAACGCCAAAAGAGAGGTTGCAAGTGCTTGGAGGAGCTGTTTCGGCATTTTGACATCATCACCCGTCTCTTCAACCCCTCTCCATAACTGGGCGGCCCAATTGAAAGTCCGCTTTTCGGTATCATCTATCGTCTCTTGTGAATTGACCATCAATTGGAGCTGAAGGAGATCCCAATGCTCCAATTCTGGTGATACAGCTGCACTCCGCGATTAAGTGGTGTTCCCATGCGGCGCTCTGTTGTACGACCAGGTGCTTCATGAGACCAGCTCGACTATCCCATTGAGCCATCATCCCACGTATTTAACTCATTTTTTTTTTTTTTTAATTCTTGTATTACAACTAGGTACGTTGCACGTTAGAACATTGTGCCCTTCTTGCGACTCGTTGGAAACCCGGGGTTCGGCTGATGGGTGATGGGTGATGCCCATAACTCTCCCTCCCACTGGGGATATCCCCATCCCTGCCACTCATAACCGAGATATATAGAGCCCTCCTCATCCAACTATCTTCAACGTTTCCGTAATCTAACCGTCTCTAGACCCTCCTTCTTCTTCTCTCCGCAGCCATGTGGTCGGTATCTCACTTCTTCATGTACCCTAACGGGCCTTTCTTCTACATGTCGGATGACGACATAACCGACAACTCCGACGACGAAGGGCCCAGCTCGAAATCAAAGTCCAAGGAAAGGGAGGTCGTCTTGCCAGCCGACCCTAGAGAGCATCCCTTCGGACACCCGGCTGAGAGCTCGGCGAGAGCAAAAGTGGGCAGGCAGCCCCGGCGCGCGGAAGCCGACGACATGATCAGCGCGCGTCTCTCCCTCACCTCGAACTCGGAACACTCAAAGGACGACGTCAGGGCGGCTGCGCTGAGATCGATAGATAAAATGAGTCGAAATGAGAGGGAGCTCAATGCACTTATGTACGTTGAACGTTTTTTTTTCTTTTTTCTTTTTTTCTTTTTTTTCTTTGTGTTGTACTTCTCTCCTGTTTTAGCAAAAACACATTTATCTTCTGTGCTAAACGGAAATTCCACTTTTAGCAACGGCGGATGCGACATCGTTTACGGCTCGGTAAAACACGAGCTCTTCCTCAAGGTAATCGAGTCCGGTCATACGGGATGCATTGTCCTGGACATAGGCTCGATTCGCGCCTTGTTTGAGACTATGCGCGACATTGCCCAGGCGAATCCCGTCGATATGGAGGCTCTTCGGGATGTCTTTGAAGATTACCGGACGGAGTTGGCTGTGAGGTTAAACGCTCTGCATGGACTAGCAACATTACTGGGACCCGCTCAACCGAATAGTCCCTAGACTGTTAGACGGAGATGGGCGCTTCTTGTATTTCGTTTGGTTATTGTTTTTCTTATTCCCCTTTTGGGGGGGTTCACAGGGACGGGTTCGTACATGTCGGAGTCGGAGCAAGGTACAGCGGAACTGCGTTTAGGATTATTTTTATCGAGGAGAAAAAAGGTACAGGGCGAGAAATGGTAATTGTATTGCCACCTCGAGCTTGTGGGCTAAAGCAGGATACGCTGTTAGAATACAGGAACTTAGATTACGGGATTAGATTCGTGGCGAGCGAACAGCAAGGGGGAGATCAGCTTTCGTTTGAGGGATCCTCGGTTTTGGTACTGCCAAATATTGGCTGATACTTTTTTTTTTAAGGAAAGGCCTAGAAAGGACAAAATATTTGTTCAAGCCCTAGACGGCATCCCCTCGACTAACCTACCTCCTATTGAAACTCCCCGTGAGATGGACAGATGGCTTGCTCGCTGCGCTCTTGACCTTAACTCTAGAGTGGACGTCTGTGGACCTGGAGGAAGGAACGGGGACTGAAACGCGGTATTGTTCGCGATGTTAGGACGGGGATCTCGGAGAGCAAGACTCAGTTTTGAGCATCAGTTTTTATTTTTATTTTTATTTTATCTTTATATCCCAGTCCACCGTTAATTCTAGCCTTCACCCCTCGACTCGCCGCTGCCACGCGCACTTACCACCTGCTGAAAGGAAGCCTACATTCCTCCTGTTAGCATTCCTGATATCAATGCCTCCGAAATAGCAAACTTCTCCAAAACAAAGAGAAGAAAGGAAAAGAAAAAAAAAAAAAAAAAAGCACTTACCACTTCCCCCTCAGCGTAATAACAACCCAAGTCCCATTCTCATCCTCCTCCTTCTCCACCTTGCTCGAAAACGCAATCGCGCTCATAATGCCATCGCCAAACTTTTCATTCACGACAGCCTTGAAAGCGTAGCCGTAATTCCTCACAATCTCGTAAAGCCTATACACGAACGGTTCGGAGGGCGGCATGGGCGCCACGCGGCCCCTGTCGGGGAAGCCCGTGACGCCCGACTGCAGCAGCGTGTCGCGGGGAATGTCGAGGGCGGCGGAGAGGGCGTCGACGTCGGCGGGGGAGGCGGGGAGCTGGCCGTAGAAGAGGGCGGCGATGGAGACTTCGGAGCGGTTGAGGCGGGTGGCGAGGTCGGCGAAGGTGAGGGCCTTGGCGGCTTTGGCGGAGAAGAGGAGGGAGCAGTGAGGGGGAAGACCGGCGAGGAGGACGGACTGGGGGGAGGGTTAGTTAGTTTATTGTTTTCATTTTCGTTTTCGATTTTTTTTTTTTCTAGATATATATATATATATTTCCTCGAGGGGAAAGAATGGGTAGCAACTTACATTGGGGATGGCGATGCGGGTTTCTTCGGCGGACATGGCTGCGGTTGGACTGGGGAAGTACTACTCTCCAGAGGGTCTTACACGGGGCTTGTTCCGACTGAGAAGGACGTTACAGTTGATTGATTCGGGATGAATTGGTATAGATCTAATCAATCAAAGATCATGGAGGGCGGGAAAGGGAGCTACCCCAGTTTATATAAAGCGAGGGTGGAAATCCCGTCATTCCCAGGTCCCGCGCAGTCGCCCCAGCTGCATATGCCGACAGGGCGGCGGAGCGGGGGGAACGGAGCTATACTACAAAGTACAAAATACACTAGAAAATGAGGGGGTCTTGATCCCGTCAATTGACGTAACATAAACCTCCAAGACCCCGTTTTTGGGTTTGGGGTTAAAGTAAAGCCGCAGGCGGAACTACACACTACAGAACTGCTCTACAATAGATCGATCTCTGCAATAACGCGGGGTCAAACCGGCGCCGTCGCCTTAGTTTGAGGGACCCGACCCAACTATTGGAACTTCTGTCCTCTTTCCTTTCCAGATCCCGAGCTCTCTTCCAGATCCCGAAAGCCGGGGCCATGATAGACTCGGCGTTGTTCAACTCGAGCTCAAACACATCAAGCCTATGGATGCCTGCCTCGCTTTTGCCACTTTGCGATGGCGATTTATAGGGAAAGGGTGTTTAATGTTGTCACTTCATTAAACGGGGCCCGCGACTGAATCCACGGGGCAAAGACGGTTATTCGGAATTTCCCGCAATTCTTGATTCGAGTACCACTACTTCTTGATCTCTGGGTAGACTCCCGTATCTCTACATATGACGAGCTCATTAACTCGTGCTCGATCCGTGGTACCTTTCCTCTTCTGGCAACATCTCGGCACAGCCACTACGGGGTCAACGCTGAAGAGCAAGTACTTATTAGCATCTGCTCCTCCATCCTGTTCCACCTCGTTGATATTGATCTGCAACACCTCCGGATCGAGATCATCAGGAGGCACGCGATGATCAAAGGTGATTATATAATAATCGATTTTCCTACCATCGAGAGTTATGATCAGCTGCGCTGCAAGAAGCTGGTTGGAAAGGCTCTGAAGTACTAACGATAACGGCCTTGCTTCCACGACCCAACGTAACCCTTCATATCGAAGAACCATGTCCTCAGCAGACTCTAGATCTCGCCCGTAGATCGCGCGGTAAGTCATTTTGGCAAGCTCGGGACCGGCGGGCTGCGGCTAATCGTCAGACGTATCGTCGAGATTCCAGGTTACATCTGGGAAGAGTCTCTCAACAGCAACAAGAGGTCCCTCAATGTTGATTCGAAGGGGCTTGTCGATTGGAGGTGGATGAAAAGGGTGTGGAGGTTCGTGAATGCAAGGAGGAATATAGAGGGGGAGATCCATCTTGATGGTTGTTTATCGAGGACCCTGCGGCTTGGGAACTCAATGGGAAGTGATGAAGAGGAAACGATGCAGGCGTCAAAGCAAAAGTGATTGATGGATGATCGACCGCGGTGGATTGAATGAGAGACCGCGAGAGGACTGCTTTTTGATCAATTCAATGCTCAAGAATGTCTGGAGCACAATTTGATTGCTGCCTGTGATGAAAACTGCTGCCTGCCAACCTCCAGTCCACTCGCCCGGTCTTGATCGACGACCAACGTGTTTTGAAGCGAGGAGGCGGGGTTGGCAGTGTTCTTCTTTTCGAGGTTTTGTCTTGGTTTAGTCTTGTTCAGTTGGGGAAAGACGTGTGGGTGAAGGTCGTGGTTGCTGTCGCAGTTGGGCCCGAAGTTCTATATAGTCTACTAGACAGTTCACAGAATTCATCATCAAATCCTATTTTATCATCCCCTCTCAAGCTAATGGCCAAAACTATTGAGCGGGTCATTTACAATTTCAGACGGATTCAATAGACTATAACCCAAGCCTGGGAAGCCGCAAGAGTTGTTAGTCAGAGTTGAGGTGCTATTCGTATTTACAAGATGGTAGTTTTTCCATAGATACTCGACATATACAGATATTCACAATATCAACCAGAACGTTTTCCAGTCCTCGAAAGGCGGCCACAAGGTGTTCAATGAAGCAAGACTCTCTAGTAGAATTGGCGGTCCTTGTTCATCACTAGCTTGAATGCCCCAAGTCATTGATAACATCCATACAAATCAGATCTCTTCCTCTATAAGCCCAATTCACATCAGATTATAGATGGAGCAATTCGATCACCGGCGCGATTGTAGATGTTCTTTATCTCATTATAGCTATTCATCTTAGAATAGGAGTGATCCTTATCTTGTCCCGTCTTATTCGTCACAAGATTCATATCCCATCTACTTCAGGCCCGTGTATTCAACTGTCTCTTCTCATATCCAACGATGGCGAGAGATATAAATACCCTTACGCTCTGGTGAACTCTCCCAAACGTCGTCTCCTTCTCACCAGAAACATACAGATACACCAAGCGCTTTCAAGCCTCGAGCAAAAACACAAAAACTTCCAGTACATCTCACTGCCGAGAAGCAAAGCTTCAGTTCCCGCTAGGATCGCGATATCGAACTTTCAAGATTCTTTCTAACACCTCCCAACTAGACTTCAAACCCCTCCCAAGAAGCGAATCACCAACGAATTAAAATAAATCCAGAGTTGCCCTTCAGTGCTCATAGCTGTTGCATCTCGGGAATTTTGGACCACTACTGACAAAGACACTCCAACCTCAAGCTCACTTCATCACTCTATCAAGGCATGCAATGAGATCCCTTACCACAAGCTAGAAGACTGAATACTAATTGTAATACAGATGTGCGACTACGACGAGTACAAGTACAAATGCAATCACGTTAGCTACCCGCGCGTGAAAATTTGCAGTGCCGCCCTCGCCAACTACAAAAACGACTACAAATGCGACATTGTGAAGATAGTATTAAAAGTGAAAGTGGGCGCTAATTGCAAGGAGTGCAAAGAGAAACAAAACAAGTAGCAGCAGGGAGGTGGTGGGCGCGGCCGTGGCCAGTAGTGCCCTTTCTCTCTCACAGATACTCCAATCGTCACTTTCTCTGTGTTTTCTTCTAACTACTACTTGGAATTTCCGGCTGTCCTTTATCCTCTTTATGTCTATGAAGTGGTAAAAACAAGGGGTGGCATTTTAATTTTTTTTCCCTCCTTTCTCTTCTTTTCTCCGTAGCCAAGTTTTGAGCTAGAATGGCGCAGGTAATGAGCAGTTAATAAAAAAAAACCATTGGCCCTACGTGCTCAAGAATTTTTTTGCTAAAGTTTCCTTTTCTTTGTTCTCTGTGAAATAGAAAGTTCCTGGCATGTATCCGCGAAGTTCTCGAGGTCTCGATTATGCCATGATGCCGCATATATTGTCGAGTTCAGTGTGCCGCCATAACGTAGACCGTCCTACACCCAGCAGCGCCACTTAAACGTTCAGAAACTCACTGCTTCTAAGCAGCGGAAGGGTTAATGCCATTCTACGGACCTGGGGTTCCTAAGTTCAACAGAGACCTTTTTGTAAGATGTGAGCCGTAACCATCTAATTAGGGTTATGGATACCATAGGCGGGGGCGAGTGAGAGACTACAAACCAGGGTTATACGAGCTCGCCGGCCAAACGGACGAGGATCTCCTAAGAGCTCCCTCAGTCGGGAGACGAGAGGTAGTTCGGTCCAAAGCTAGATGCTCTCCGAGCAAGCTCGGCTTGAAGACCCCGAAGACTGGAGATATATAACAGCCCGAGCCACACTGCGCCCTGCTTGCACAGTTAATGCTGAAGCTTTCGTCGTTTGCTCACTCAGCCCCAGTGCCGAATCATATCCCAGGAGCCAGGCATAATGTCGCGCCCTTAAGAGCATCAAGAACGAAAAGCTCACTTGGCGCACACCCCAGTTCCATGTTACCAACGCCAGCTCACTTGCTTTCTTTCCACACGCCTCAGTCCTAGATGGAGCGCTTGATTTCAGTATTATTCCATGGCAAAGGCTCCACAAGTACTCGATGGAAGAGCAGGGAATCCAATCCTTCGCCTTGCTTGGTAATGAAGTCTAGCCCGCCGGGCATCTGGAGAGGACAAAAGCTACCTTAATTAGCATGGCAGGGAGAGTGTCACCGTGGGAGGGCCGAGAGATCTATTACCGTACCCTGTTGTAAACGCAAACCCCTCCTCGACCTCTTGGCCGACCTAAGCCATGTTGACGACCTGCATTCTCGCCATCCCATGTGCTTATTGGAGTGGACTAGGTCTCCTCGGGCATCATCGACCCAGAGCCATATGGAGACGGCTCACCTCTTATATCCAACTCGAGCTAGTTTCCGCAACAGCCCTCGTACTCCAAAGCCGTTAACACACTCTTCACTCAAGCTCTGCTGACGGTTACCAAAGCTTGTTATCCATCAGCTCGCGTAAAGCCCCGCTGTCAGCTCGGACGCCCCGTCTTATTGTATCAAGCCCCATCTCGGGCAAGCGTAGGACTTCCGCCTTTTTTTTTTCCCCACCGTAAGAAAGTTTATTCGGCAGCCATGATTTAAGTTACTCCTAAGTTTAAAACTTTAAGTTCAGCTGTCCTTACCGCTCCGAGGAAGTGGAAAAGACCCCCGAACCCCGAACCGGGGAATTGGCGAGAGGGCTGTGCTCAATTAGGTTTCAATATCATCACGCATTGACCTGGGGGGAAAGCTCCGAAGGCATTGTCAACCTAGTTCGAAGCTAATTGCTGGATTTGCGGAGATGGTGTTGGGAGTCTCGGTGGTGGAGGACAAGGGAGCACCAGCCTTATTTCTAATTTTAGCAGCATCCGGAGTGACATTTAAGCTTGTCATCGAGTCGGATTGGTTGGGTCACGACTGTCCTGTCTCACCAGGCTGGGGGCTGTGTTAGCTATGAAGTGCCGACGATGAGGTTGAGGTTGTAGGAAGTAGCTCGAACGCAATTTCGAGGTAGGACTATACATATTACTTTTCCTAGGACAGGCATGAGGAAAAAGGGTCCTTGGGCAGAGATCCCCACAAGGAATCTATTCCCGGTCAGAAACAGAAACGACGCCTCCACCGAAGAGGGCTGTCAAATATGTCCAGTCCACGTCAAACAAAAAGTCTTGGCCGTCCAACGGCTGAAGCTCCGACTACACCCAACAATCATCTGCGTCTCTCTGGACAGTGCAGGATGCTTCGCGGCGCGGGCAGTGCAAGGTTTGCAACGTTTCTCTTTAATTCGTTTATTTGGACCGCAGATGGCGTTATCGCGAATGATGTTGAAGTTGGAGATGATGCTTTCGAGACTAGGATCCTAGGATCCGATGCCTGCAGGGCCTGCAAAGCCTGCAGAGCCTGCGTCTTCTCGAATTGACCAGGCTCGGCCGCGGCCCATCAAGGACCTATCGCATACGCATAAGACGCAAAATTATTTGATTGTTTATTTTATTGATTATTATACTCCGCAGTGATAATTCGATCCTGAAGGAATGGCCGAGCTCGCAAAGACGCAAATGGCTTCAGCCGGCCTGAAAGAAAGACCGGCGTTGCTTCCTCGTGACAATGATCCGATGGATCTACAAAGTGCACCCGTGGATCTGCGAGCGCACGAACTAAACGAAGCTATTCTCGCCTGCATCTGTAAACGCCACATTGAGAGGGAAAACAGAAGAAGAAGACAAGGATCAAAGTAAACTAGAATAGAAAGAATGACATCACCAGATGTCTCTCTTTTTCTGCAATAGCAAAACAACTTATGGGCTACCTACGATTCACTCCCACATCCTACTCCGGTGCAGGTCACCTTTCACCTCGTTGAATGCCATGAATGCCATGGAATGATGAAATGGTGCCATCTCGTGTTGAGCCCTCACGGGACGGATCATCACGTTGTGGGGAAAAGGGAAGAGATCAATTGATCCAAGTATTGAGTAAAATCCAAATAAAAAAAAAAGACCAGAATAAAATACGAGAAATATTCCGTGACCAGTTGAATGTTGTGTCGCTTTTTCTCCGAATACAGTCAGATGAGCTGAACACGCGCCACTCGACGCAGCCGGGCAGAATGCAGCCAATCTCGATCGGCGGAGGACGGAAGTTGCCAAGATGGTGGTGGCCATGCCATTTGCGTCTAATCTAGTTTGGTTCAATGCTGTGCTTGCAGCCGAGCCCGGCGTCCCGACGTCTTGGGTTAGAGCGAGAGACCGAACAGCCTTGACGTAAGAATTTAGCTCCAACGGGCGGAAAAGGGAAAAGAAAAGGAAGAGGAAGAAAGAAGTTCGACGAATGGTACTAGTTTTAGCTTTCGCTTCGCTTCGCCTTCCACTGCCGTGCCGTGCTTCTCGGTCACACACACACACACCCTCTCTCTCTCTGTCTCCCTGAGTGTGTCTTTCTGTCTCTCCTTCTCGCCATCCCTTCCCTCAATCAACAGTCTTGCCTCTCTGCTCAGCCCATCAGCCGTCCCACCCACCATCACACCTCCCAAGGTCCCCGATCTTCCCAAGAATCCAATCCCATGCCAACGTGGAGAGTCCAGAATGGCCGCAAGACACCCACAAAGTCCGGAAGCTATCCCAATTCCGGCCGAGGCTTATTCCCATTCATCCCAGACATTTGTCCGCTTGGCCCCCTCTTCTCACTTCCCCCTTCCCCGGCACTGGCCTGGCCCCCAAAATAGCAACCGACATGGCCACACGAGGCTTTCGCCGGATCGTAATTGCGTTATCCGAGCCTAGCTAACCCCATTTTTTTTTTATTTTCTCCTTCGAGCGAGCGGGGTCGGCCGTGCATACGCCAAGCCTGTTGCTGGCCAAGTTTCTTCCGGGGGCGTTCTCCGAAAGTGGACATGGGTGTGGGTGCACCGCGGATGGTGAGATGATGATGATGACCATGATGATGGTGTATTAGTGAGGCTCTTTGGTTCAGGTGTCGGAAGCTGCGAGATGCACCGCTTCGCATCTGAACATCACATCACCGCACGAGATGACGTTTTTGGCTCTGCTAGAGCCGAGAGAGTGTCACTCCCTCCCTCTTCCCGAGATGATCGTATTGATGTCCGGGAGGCCTTTTTTTGGAATATATAAAGGTCTGCCAAGTTCGGTGGTTAGGCCTCTCTTCCCTTCTTGTATCATCATCAACAACATCACTCTCAATAACACCTGATCCTACTACACACACAATACAACCTATAAGTCCCTGACTTACAACAACTACTTCTACCTCTACCTCACACACTCCTCCACACACACACACACACACACACACACACACACTCATCTTCACACATCTAATACATAATCTTAATCTTTCCTTCCACTCTTCTCTCTATCCATCCATCCACACAACTTCACAATGAAGTACTCCTACACACTCCTCGCCTTCGCCGCCACGGCCCTCGCTCTCCCCACAGCCCAGCCCGAGGCCCAACCCGCCGATGACGGCTCCTGGGCCCCAGGCAAATACGAAGGGGGCAACACTGGCTACGACGACGGCAAGTGGGCTCCCGGCAAGTACGAGGGCGGCAACACTGGATATGATGATGGCAAGTGGTACCCCGGAAAGTACCCCGGCGGCAAGGCCAGGCGAGCCGATGATGGCTCCTGGTATCCTGGAAAGTACGAGGGCGGCAACACCGGCTATGATGATGGCAAATGGGCGCCCGGCAAGTACGAGGGAGGCAACACCGGCTACGACGATGGAAAGTGGTATCCCGGAAAGTACCCGGGCGGCAAGGTGAAGCGCGCCGATGATGGTTCGTGGTACCCGGGAAAGTATGAGGGCGGCAACACTGGCTACGACGATGGCAAGTGGTACCCCGGCAAGTACGAAGGCGGCAACACTGGCTATGATGACGGCAAGTGGTATCCCGGAAAGTATCCCGGCGGCAAGGTGAAGCGCGCCGACGACGGCAGCTGGTACCCCGGCAAGTACGAGGGTGGAAACACTGGCTATGATGATGGAAAGTGGGCGCCTGGAAAGTATGAGGGCGGCGAGACCGGCTACGATGATGGCCAGTGGCACGGTGACAAGGCTAAGCGAGCTGATGATGGCTCTTGGTACCCTGGAAAGTACGAGGGCGGAAACACGGGCTACGATGATGGAAAGTGGGCGCCCGGCAAGTACGAGGGTGGTGAGACTGGCTACGATGACGGCCAGTGGCACGGCGACAAGGCCAAGCGCGCTGACGATGGCTCCTGGTGGCCCGGCAAGTACGAGGGCGGCGAGACTGGTTACGACGACGGCAAGTGGGAGGAGGGAAAGTATGAGGGCGGTGAGACCGGCTATGATGATGGCAAGTGGACTCCTGAGAAGTATGATTAAAGGGGTTTTCTTCTCTTTTCATTTTTTGAAATCTGGTCGCTTTCTTTTGTCTTAATGGTTGGGATTTGAGCATACATCGGGTACTGGGCCGGAGTCCTTGCATTTTTCTTTTTTTCTTTCCTTCCTGGGTCTTGGGTTGTGGATTGCATTCCTTTTTTTCTTCTCTCATTCATTTCTGGCATTTAGAAGGATATTTATTATAGATAATGAACAATAACACCTTCTTCACTTCAAAAAGAACTTTCCTCTTCTTGTGTACTTCGGTGTGTAAGAGACCAAGTTGATATCGACCTTACGGGGCCCTTCTCTCTCCTAAACAATGCGGACGGGGAAGGACATTTAGCGCGGAACGTACTTAGGACATACACTTGATCTTCGTCTCTCAAGGTCAAGGACTCGAAAAGGCCGAGACGGGATTCATTGGATAAACAATACATTCGTTGACATGCTCAGCTCCATAAACAACATATGAATTAAACATTTTTCAAAAAAATCATCCCCCAAAACGCCATTTCCCTATGTTCTCTCCACCGTCTCATATATCGTAACCCTCCCCCGGTCTATCGCCCTCACATCCCCTCCAAGGTCTCCCTCACAACAGCCCCCAACATCCTCAAATCATAAAACTCCGCCACGCTCCCGAAAACCCCCAACCTTTCCCTCACATCCTCCCTCCTCAGCCCGTCCACCCACTCCCCGCTGCACGTGCAGTGCTCCATGAACTCGTTCTGCTTGATGGCCCCGCACCGTCCGCACTTGAGGTCCTGCGTCGCCCATGCGACCACCATCTTCTCCACCTCGCCCACGAGCCTCTCTTCGAGGTCCAGGCGAGCCATCTCCCATCCGCAACCGCGGCACCTCCAAGTGGTATTGCTATTGTTATTACCCCCTTCGCGTCGTCTCCTTCTGGCATCCTCGTCGTCTCCATCCCCCGTTGGAGGGGGAAGCAGTAGGTCCTCGTCACGACAAAAGTCCAACTCGCGCGGCATCGCACAATTCTCACAGCTAAAATCCCCCAACCTCAAAGTCTCCGCCGGGTTCCTAAACGCCCCGTCCTTGCTAAACTCGCGCACGTCAAACATGTTCAGTAAATCCCGCCTCAGCAGCCTAGCCTCGTTGGTGACGTTCTTGTCGAGGCTGAGAACCTGCATGAGGCACTTGACGAGTTCGAGCACGCCGTCCCTGCTACGGCTCCCGCTGGTAGATTCCGCGAGGAAGAGTGAACCGGGAAGTGAGGGGAATTCGTAGTCAGCCGCCAGCTCGGCGTGCACGATCTCGCGCTGCTGCGTCTTGATGAGCGAGGCGATGTCCTTCTTTAGGGGGCGCTCGAAGTGCTTGCCGCTGATGATGTTCTCGATTGCCGGGGCCGCCTGCTCGTTGCGCTTTTCCTCAATTTGCTTCACGCGCTCACGCGTCGAAAGCTGCGTGGGACGCAGGGCGCCGTCATCACCGTTCGACGAGGCGAGCTCGGGTCGCTTGATCTTGTGCATGATACCGATAAACTCGGCGACCCATTTAAAAAAGGTCGGCTGTACCCGCACGGGAAGGTACGTGCTCATCTGCCAATGCATGACCGTCTCGAAATCCTGCTCGATGACGGCATCTTCTTCTCCTCCTCCCCCCTCGGGAATGGTCTCGCACCCTTTCCCTCCGTAGTTGTACTCGTCGTACCACACGAGGAAATCCCAGTACTCTTTAATCTCGAGATCAATAAAGTGGAAGAGCGGCTGGCTCTTGATGGACCTCGTAATATACTGCGCATACGACGCCGCGTTCTGCACGTCGTATTTCCCCGTCTGGAGGATCATGCGGCCTGAGTTGGCGAACACGACTTGACACCCCACTTTCCGGAAGTCTCCCATGAGCTGCTGGAAAGCCTTACGGCAGATCAGCTGCACGTAGTAGTGTAGCGCGCGATCATACAGGAACGAGTCCGGGTCCTCGATCCATCGCACCAGGTGGTTCACCATCAGGTCCGCCATCGGACTACCCCTGCACGCCTCGCTCCACCACGACTTGACCATCTCCCGGAGCACGAGGATGTTGGTGTCCGAGAACGCGCCCTCCGAGTACATGATGCTGCCGTCGGTATCGCCGATCACGTCCGCAAGCCCGCCCATCGGGTTCGCGTCCGCGCCTTCGAGGTTGTTGATGAGTGACGCCGTGAGAATCGTGTTGATCGCGAGGTTGCGCACCTCCATCTCGATGCACACGGCGTTGTACGTGCCCGGGTGGTTGACCGTCGGCATCTTGACAACGTCCAAAGGACCTGTCACGTCGTCGAACTCGTGCGATCCGTGATCCGGACGCGGGCTACCGGACCACCACAGCACAACATCATTCGTAATAAGCCTCCGTGCGTAGTTGACATCAATGAGATACCGCGGGTCATCCTTCTCCAAATTGCAAATCGGCACATTGGCATACCTCGCCAGAGTCATCAAGTGCGTCAACTCCCCGCCGAGCCCGAGGTAATGCCGCACAAGCCGCCTCGCCACCGCCGCCTGCCAACCGAGAGGCGGCAGAGCCCCGTCGTAGACATCGTATTTGAGCGGCAGGATAGGCAGCTCTCCGAGCCCCGGAATGTCACGCACCAAAGACTCGCGGTTGAGCGACTGGATGGCGAGAATCTGCGCCCTCGGCTCCTCCTTGCGCATCTTCTTGACCACGTCACCTACCTCGAGGTGCGCCTTCCGCCGAGTCGTCACCTGCGTAACCTTAAAGTTGAGCTTCTCTTGGTACCGGAACAGGTCCTTAAACTGCGCCGATTCCTCGCCAACCTCCTTCAAATGCTCCTCGAGCCTCTGCGTGTACAGCTTCGAAAGGTTGGGAATGTCCTGGCCGGCATCCCGGTGCTTCGTGAGCATGATGATGTGAGCCTGGTCGCTCGTCGTCGAAAAGACGCCGAAGATTTGGCGCTCGGGCGCGACGATGTGCGAAATGTAAATGTACGAGACGGGGACGTCCTCCAGGTAGGTCCGGCTCTTCTGGGGCCGGATCAAGCCTGACAGGTCAAACCCTTGCTCGAGACCCTTTCCAAGCACGGCGTGTTGCGTCTCGTCAATCGTGCAGACGTTGCCTAGCTTCAGCAGGGCGCGCATGTAGAGCGGCACCGACGTCTCGTAAACACCCTCGACCGAAGAGTGAGAGCGGAGATCGCATAGCCATTGCTGCGACGCCGTGTACGATTCCTCTGGCATCGTCATCCGATGGAGCATGGCAGACTTGTGGCCGTTGGGGAGCGTATGATTGACTTTTTCCGCCACGCAACCCTTGGGAAGAGGAGGCAACGTCGACAGTAGTCGCTTCCTCTTATAGTTGACATATATTTGACGTGGCACCCTAACCTTGAGAGTGTGGATCTTGGCATCGATGAGCACATACGCCGTCACGATCCCGTTGGCGTCCTCAGGCTTGAGATAGATGAGCTGCCAAGTCGTCATAAACGTCGCGTGCGCCGCCCGCATGAACGACTGCTGGATGTTACTGTTGCCGCCGACGACGCCTCGCCTATCGCCGAAGAGCTGCCTCCTCCGCGCCCGCGTCTCCTTTTGCCTCTTCCACTTCCGCTTCTGGTACGCGAGGAATCCCGCGTAATCATCGTGCATCGACGGCATCACCGCAGGAAGTTCCTCCTCCGCCTGCTCCGTTTCGGCCGGTTCGGGCGATTTCCGTTTTAGCGCCGCGGCCGCCGCCACCGCTGCCGATCTGGCCTGCGAAGACTGCAGGACGGTGCCCGGCTTAGCCTTGAGCAAGTTGTTGCCGAAGTCTTCCATATCGTCGGCTCGCGGGGTCGCTGCGCGGTTCGTAATATCGTTGAGAGGCTTCTGCAGCTTAGCAAACGACAACTTGGTCTGCTGCATCTTGTCTTCCTTGGCAGCGATCCTCCGCCTCAGCCAGTCCGGATGCGCGATTCTCGGCACGGGATTCTGCACCTTTTGCAGCGCCGCGGGGATAGTGATGAGCTTCTGGATGACGGAGCCGAGACGCTCAAGGTAGTAATCCCAGTCGAGAAGATCCCGCACGTCCGTGCTCGCGGGGTCATCCTTGAGCCACTTCTTGAGGTACTTCCTCTTGGTGTCCTCGGGCGCCGACAGGATGGCGACGGGCACGGCGCGCTCCGTCACGGGGGCGTTCTTGGGGTTCGCGCAGATGATGAACTTGCAGTTCAGACCTTTATCCTTGACCATGTTGTCGCCCAGGAAATCCGCCAGACGTCGAGCCGTCGTAATACTCGTTGACTTTTGGCTGCCATACTCCTGCAGCGTCTTGCTCATGCTTCGGTTCTCCGAAATAAGATCCATGAGCTCGTCGTCGGATAAGTCGCCGCCCTTGTTGTACAAGACGTCGAGCCACCGGTCAGCGACACGGGCGACGGCGCCGTAACACTCGGGCAGTGTCGCGCCCTCGAGGAAGAACTTGAAAATCTGCTGCTGGAAAATCTTAATGAGTTTCAGCTCGCCTCTTCGCTTGACTTCGAAACCCTTGAGCTCCGCCAGGCTGCCGTCGTCGTTGAAGACGGCGTACCGCTTCTTCAAGTTCTTGTCCTCTTCCTTGGACGTGGGCAGGACCATGGCTTTGTAAGGACCGTCAACCTCGAAAAAGATGGAGTTGTCGCTGTGCGTCTCGTATCGGAAGGTCTTTTCGTCCGTGAGAGTCTGGTACTGGTGGTTCGTGAAGCGCGCATGCACCAAGTGGTTCAACATGACGCAAGGATAAGAGATGGTAAGTTTCTTGCCATTCTTCAACTTGAAGGCAAAATTCTCGGGAAACGATTTCGGAAGCATACACCAGATACCGTCGGTATCCAGCTCCAACGGCCTACCAAGACGCTCGACAAGCTCCTTGGCCATCTGAATGATGTGAGCACCCGTCAAGCAGGTGACGCCAGCCATCTCCATGGAATACCAACGAGAACCCTTTCGCATGACGTATCCGTAGAAGGAGTTTAGAATAACCTTGTGCGCTAGCTGCAGCGAGTCGAACAAGACAATCATCTTCTTGGCAGCCTCGACTTCGGACGCCGAGGCGCCAGAGGTCTTAAGCGCCTCGGTCTTGCCTTTCCACAGCTTCGCCTTGCCCTTGTAATCGTATCGACGATCACGGAAGTCACGCACGGTATTGATATAGAACGGGTTCTCCCGCTGACAGATGATGGCCTCGCGGATAATCGTCGTCGAATCTCGAATCTTGTGATAGACCTTTTGCGAGTAGAGCTGCAAACGCTTTCGTACGAGGCCTGTCTGCTCCTCGTAGCTCAGCTCGTGGAACGACCGCATCGGTGCCTTGGGGTGTTTTCCCGGGAACTTTTCACCCTCCAACGCGTTCCGGATCATGTTATACTCGTCTCGTTTCGCGGGTAGGTATTCCCCTCTCCACGCCCACGGTAACCGCCTATCGCAAGTCTTCCCTGGTCTGTTGAAATCGCAGGCTGCGCAATTAGCTTCGGAAATCATAGAGTCCGGTTGCAAACGATTCGTCGTCATAATGTTCGGATACATGGATGCGACGTCCAAATGATAGATGAGCGGGCACTCTGTTCGGTTAGCTGGATCCTTGAGGGCGCGGAGCTGCGCGGCGATCTTCTCCTTGATCCCCTCGTAGTTCTCCACATCATCCATGGACTTCTTCTCTTCCACCGTGATGCTGAACTCGAGCGCGGCGTCCAAGTCACGAAGAAGCTCGTCCACGGCCGCCGGGTCGATTGCAAAGTTGACAGGAATGTCGGACCGGAAAACGCCTGCCTCGATACTCTCGACGTGACCACCAACGTACGTCTCGGAGTCGAGCAGGTGGCCGTTCCAGAAGGCCTCCTTCGGCGCTACGTGCTTGTTCGGCAGGACAATCTCCTTCTTGTATGCCTGCACCATCAACAACATCTCGCACAGCGTACCGGTACCTTTCCGAAGGGTGTGATCGGGTCCTAAAGGAAGAATGGTACAGAGAGAGAAGATGAAGGGGTGGACGTATTTCATGTAAAGGTAGTAGGTGGCCACGGCATCGGAGACTGAGTATTCGGCAAGCGTCTGCGGCCTTTCACTTGCGTAGGGTGTCATGAGCTCCGGGTCGAGCTCGTCAGGGTCGTATCCGAGCTTGGCAACAGTGACGGCCTTCAAACCACGCGATCCCTGGGGAAGATACGAGTCTCGGTTGACCCAGTGGAAACAATCCATGTGGACGCTGTAGTGGCACTGGAACTGGTCCTCGCTATCCTTCTTCCAACCAATCTCTTGGTACATGTCGATGCCATTGAAACTAGCACGGGCTTCAACAAAGGGCCAATCGAAAAAGTCACCGTTGTAAGTCGCGATGACCGTGGGTCTAACCTCCTTGATGTGGCCGAAAAAGCGCTCGATCACCCCCCTCTCATTGGGCTCGTTGTAAATGGTGAAGCTGCCAGGGTATTCGGCCTTGGCCGTGTAGTCGAAGTCGTGAATGTCCTCGGACACGATTTCTCGGTTCGTTATGAGGAAACCCTTACCATCGATCATGTACGAAATCATCATAATTTGATCAATGGCGGCGTCGGGGAACTTCAGGGGTAGTTTCGTCGTCTCGATATCAAAGGCTAACACGACGGGATCGGCTGGTGCTAGCTTCTCCTCGTTGCACTTGACCGTTATGTGACCAGCCTTTGCCTCTACAAAATACCATTTACCCACCCGGATATCTGGTTGTCGTCAGTTTATTCGTTTCCTTGCTCGTAGAGTCGGGTGGTTCATTGCCACTAACCTAAGTCTATCATTACTCGAACTTGGTAGGGAACGTCATATTCTCGAATGTCAATAATGTACTCGCTCGCATCGGCAATCTTGCCGTCAACTTGGTAATCGTCATCTCGTAAATCGTCAAATAAATCGAGTTTGCCGTCAATCCTGGAAGGAGAGAGTTTAGTATTGCATGGCAGGACTCACCCAATCGCCGGCCGTGAGGTTCACTTACGCGACAGACTCGGCATACGCATCCTTAGCGCTCTGGTTTTTCCTATTCCTCTCCGCAATAGGCATAACCTCCCTTCTTGCCGTAAGCAAGTCCGTAACATTCGTAAACACCAGTTTCAACAGCGTCCTCTTCAACCCGAGCAGATGATTCGGCAAATCGAGATCATCCTTCTCCACGCGCTTCACGGCCTTCACAACGCCGCCGCCCCCTATCCTCTTGACCCACTCCTCGACGACGCTCTCGTAGCCCCTCTTCACGGCGATGAGAAAATACGGCTCGTACTCGACGGCCGCCTTAAACGTCGACCCGCCCTCCTCGATGAAGTAGCAATCGACCGCTGCCCTCCCGTTGGGATTCCTCTCGTCTTGTATCGAGGTCGGCTGCACGTTCACGAGCCACCCTTCCCTCCTCTTGCCGCTTTCGTAGCGCCCGAAGCCCATGGCCTCGTCGATCCCGTGGGCCAGTAGCGTGCGTTCCCATTTTTCGTCGGCTGACGTTGCCTCGTTGCGGCCTGTGGAGGTGAAGGTTCGGGATTTGGCGCCGTGGTAGGCTATCTTGCCGCCGCGTTTGTAGCCCTTTTGCGGGCGGCGGAGAGATGTGTTCGCCATGTCGTGTTGTCTATGTCTATGGGATCGGTTCGTCGGTTACTTCCTCCTTTTTCCCCCTCCGGGTCAAGAAGCCCCGTTCGAACCACGCCGCCGGAAGAACCCTAGAGAGTGGTGTGGGGAGGCAGGCTGGAAATTTCACCGAGGAGGATTCGTGAGATCGAAGGCATGCGAAGTGATGGAAGGTATTAATCGGTTCACGGGTATATATTCGTCGGTTGGTCGAACTCTACAAAAGAGAAATTGTAATGGTTCAAGGTTTGTCCTGGGGTATCGAGGGGTGCCGTATGAAAGTGCATTGCCTGGCAAGACTCCAATGTTGTATCGTTTAATGGAAATCCACCTCAGTCGCGGTCCAGACGCGCTTTCCTCGTCAAAAATCCAGGGACGCGACACACAATGCAGACACGCGTGGGGTCCAATTAACCAAAAAGAAAAGATACAAGATACTTCGTCCACTCACCACACCCAGTTGTGCACGGACCATATCGAATTCAATGTCATGCGAGAAAGTGCAACAGCCGACCAAAAAGAAGAGCTTCCCAAGATCGAAACGAAAGGTCCAACAACAATTGGAACATTCTCGCTGAAATAACAATGTCTTCCGACTCCACGGGCAGCGACCGAGAGCCCCAACCAAACCAGTCCGGCAAGCGGCTACACATATGGGGCCGGCCCATCGAGCCTCCGGCTCCAAGCACCACACCCACCACCCCCACGACAGAGGGGAAAGCGCTGTCGGGCGATGATTTCCAGAAGAATTTCCCCGAGACGCAGGGAATCTCGATTTCGGATGCCTTCAAGACGGTGAAGCCCGAGGATATGTTGCAGGTGCACAAGTCCGTGTGCGGTAGGCAAGGGCTTCTAACGGGTATTGCGGCGGGTGCGATAATAGGTGGCCTGCGATTCGTGTGGAGGGGTGAGTATCCAATGAATAAGTTACGGGATTGCTATGGGGCTCCTGTGCTAAACATTCCTTCTGTCCTGTTGTAGGAACGCCCATCAAAGCGGCGAACTGGGCCGTCGGCGGTTTCCTCGCCGGCGCGACGGTGGGGTTCGAACGGTGTCAATACCTGAGGAGACTCGAGCGGATATCGATGAAGCGCATTGTCGAGGTACACCAGGCCGATGTGGCGGAGAAGAAGCGATTAAAAGAGGAGGAGGACAGGCAGAAACAACTACAAGAAGAAGCGGCCAAGAAGAAGTGGTACAAGTTTTGGTAACGCCGCTTCGCTTCACAACGTCGCAAGACTTTTCGAGATGTACTACTAGGGGGAAAGGAGAGACAGCTGAGAGAGATATTATCGTCACCTAGGCTTGTTTAACGCAACTAGCCGGACATTCTCTTGTATAGACCTTGCGTGTACACTAGATATATATATTTATACACACCTCATTGCAAGCCCAAGAACCCGGGATCTACTATTCCCTTGTCATCCAAAGTCATAAAATAACGCCATCCAGAACCATACCGAGGAATCCAAGTATCATATCCGCTGCAAAACAGTTCCTCTCCATAGCCATTGTCATCGCCATTGCCATTTCAAACAACCGTTAGTGCCTACAATCGTGAAAACAAGAAAAAACGAACAGTCCGTTACAGTCATTATTCAGGGGGAACACCCCCCATCATCAGGCGACAAAAACCTCACTCTCCTCCTCCGCGGCGACTCCTTAGCAACAGCGGCCGTCGGAGTCCCCTTCCTCCGCTCGTTCCTCCTCGCCCGCGCATCGCCCTCGACCATCTTCTTGTACGCCAACAGCTGCTGCCTCTTCTTCAGGGCAATCGCATGCGCCAGCTCGGGCGTGGGCTGGAAACCGACGCCGTTGATACCAGTCCCGTCGTCGTCCTTGTCCTCGGGGTCGTAGACGGTTATTTCCTCCTCGCGCCAGGTTAACGCCGCTCTGATAGGCTCGACAATCTCAGGCTCCTCTTCTTTCTCTTCTTCTGCTTCTCTTGCCTTTACTTCGTTTGCTTTTAGTTCCTTCTTCTTCTTCTTATCGGGCGCTCCTTTCTTCCGGCGCTGTTTCCTGGAGGCTGCTCTCTTTGATTCATCTGAGTTGGTGTTCCGCGCGGCTGCTGGGGGCTCTGTTGGTTGGACCGGCGAGACGACCTGCGCAGGCTCCGGGGCAATTGTTTTCGAGGATTTGTTCGGGTCGTCGGGATTGGGTACGAACATGGAATGTCCTCCCTGTATCGTAGTCGTGACTTCGCCCATTATGGGCGGCGACACCTGGTCAAGCTTTTGCCGTTTTCGCCCAGCCAAGGTATCCTCGCTGTCCTCGTGCTCAACCTCGCGCAGGTCGTCCTCACCGCACTCTTCCTCCCCCTCGGAAAATTTCCCGTCCACCGTCTCACCTTTCGTCTCCACAGCGGATTTGTCTCGCCTTGACAGATCAGACCCTTGTCCTTGTCCCTGCGGTCGAGGTGGCTGGTCTTTGGTTTTTCTCGCCTGTCTCGTTGGTTCCCGTGGTCGCCCGGCTATTACCCCGCCCCCGCACTTCGCACTACCACTGCCTCTACTTTTACTGCTGCTGTCAATGCCCCTGCTGCTGCTGCTACTGCTACTACCGCTAGTTTTGTCCAGCACAACCGAGCCGCGAAAGTGATGCACAACGTGGCTCGCAGCGGTCTGGCTGGCCGGCGGTGCGTCTTCCGTCTCGTCGGAATTGGCAGGGGCGGGGCGTTGGAGCGATCGGGTGGGGAGCTCAAATGTGAAGGTGGAGTCGGCGCTGGCGTTGGCGCTGGCGTTGAGGCAGGGAGCCGAGTTGGGCAGTGGGTTGCGTTTCCTTTTGGGGGTCGTTTGCGGCTGGAACAAGTCGGTCATGGTTGGTTTGCTTATGCAGGAGGAGAGGGGAAGAAGGGGGGTAACTTGCGTAAGGGGATACAGGAATAGAGAATGTCGATCAACTATTGGATGTCATTAAATGGATCGAGATTGGAAGGGAACTAGAATGAGGAGAGGGGATGTGGATGGAAAATTAGAGCATTGTCGGTGTGATTGTGTGTTCGGAGAGAAATATACTGGATGAGGGGGGAGTCGTCCTGTGGTAGCCTCGGTCAGGGGCATCGAGTCGTGGGGATGGATCGGTGAGCGCGAAACGGAGCTGAGGTCTGAGGTCTGAGGTCTGAGGTCTGTGGTATTGTCGACAATAATAGCAAGGGATAGATGTTGAGATGGGAGCGATCTTGATAGGCTCAAGTCGGTGTTGGCAGCGGCCAGGCAGGTTGAGGGACAAGGGATTGGGCACTGGATATCAGAGCAGCCACTGATCATTGGATAAGCACAAGTACTTCGTACATTAACTTGGAAACCAGCAGCCAGTCATCATCACGAGGACAGCCCAGCACACAACAATGAGTAGTTTATCAGTTCGGTCCATCGCTGAGCGACCGCCTGCTCATCAGCCTGGAACTGGCCGATCCAAGACCTAAACGCTATTTGTTTTATCATTTCCTTCGCGCCCTGAGAGGAGCCGGCGAAGCCAATTGATGTCCAACGACACTAATAACTTGACTTTGGTTCCATAAGGCCTTCCGAGCCAATCGGTCCAGCATCCCTTCTTCAGGGTGCTACTACTGGGCTACTGCCAGCCTGCGACTAAGGAGCTGAGGATTGATGAAGCGAAATGAAACTCGAGCTACGAAGTACTTTGTATCAAATGGATTAATTGATCAATTGATGGATCAAATGGTGGCGGTTTGTTGCCGTCACTGGATTCGGTACATGTACATGGATACTTCAGACATCAAGATGTGTTGGCCTCGATTCCATCGATCAGAGATTGATTTTGTTGTGAAAGATGCCTCGAGAATGAGCACCTGGAAGCACGACCCTGCGAGGCTATCGTCGATGAGGATGCATTGAGGACTCTCCGTTCATCTTTGACTGCTCTAGACCGCTCCAGACCGCCAAGCTCAACTGCTGGTCGTGCAGACTGCAGAGCGCAGAGTGCAGAGTGCAGGCTTTAGAAACAACCCTTGACTGTTTTGACACCAAAACACAACTTTAAACAGAATGATATCTCAGGTCTGAGATGCTGCCAGTGGCCCGCCCCAATCCTTCGTTGCAAGAAGTATAATCAATCTCAACTAACATGAAGTTTATGCTCCTCTTGGATCCATCTTCGGAGTCAACGGGGAATCGACCTCATCAGCCATCCCGCTCCACCGAAGAAACCAAACTCAGCGTCACCCTTTTCTCCGAATCAAACATCCTTCCTGTATCTTTCAATTTCATTTTCATTTTTCCCCACTTGTTCTTGCTCTTCTTTCCCTTCCCATCCCGTCCCGTCCGCCGCGCCGCATCTAACAACAAGGGTATCGCACGCTATTACTCTGTACGGAGTTCTCCTAGCCCCATCGTCAATGAAGAATAAAAAATGGTTCCCAGTTCTACACAAATTCTACAGCAGATATCAGACAACGACGGCATTGTCCATTCCGAGCGTCCATTCCCATGTCCCATCAAACCCCGATGTCCGCTCATTCCGGTCTCCCCCAGATCCCGTTCTGTTCCGTGCCGCGTGACCTTCTGTGACGTCTTTCATCCAGGCATTATTGCTCGAGCTTTGAGAAATCACGCCTCAACTCACCCCATTTACTCACTCGGCAGTTCCGTGGCTACGGGAATAGCTTCCAATTCCATATCCCATGATCCGACGAGACTGGGATATGGACACCACTTGAGAGCTTTTTTTCACTTCGTACCTTGAGGCTTGAGCTAGTTTATATCGGTCACCGCAGATGGAATCCTGGGCCCCTCTCCCGCCCCTCCCGCCAAGGTAAAGGTGGCACAGGATCCCCATGCAAAGATGCTCGCACATTGGGCGGTGACGAACATGGCGGACCGCACCCTATGCTTCGTACACTAGTCTAGTGCAGTGGACGGAGTATGCGTAGTGTACACTCGCCTCGCGAATCGCACTTGCGCCTGCATCAGCTGTTTCCCGTTAGAGGAGTAGTTTGATCAGGTCCGGCGCCAGCAATAATTCCACTCTTCGCCACTTCGCATCTCGGATTTTGCAGACCCAACTTCTCTCCCAAAAGGCCAAAGCTCGATGCAGTGGAGGCTTATCATTGGGCAATTGTAAAGTGGTACGCATCAATTTCGAGGCTACTCCGTACGCATACGTGACAAGGGCACAGAGATCGAGATGAGTCCCATCCATCACAGTCGCAATGCTGCCATGGATGTTTCTTTTCCTTTCCTTTCCTCTCCGACCCGACTTCATCCCACGACCTCGTAGTCCAAGTTTTGTGTCCGGACAAAACCCACAACATTAAAACGAAAACGATTAATCAATACGTAACATCAAACTGGATCCTCTCGTACACTAGGATATAAGAAGGGGAAGAGGAAAGGAAGTAGAAGAAAGAGCTAAATCCCCGTTTTAGCTCCGACTAGCTGCTGGCCCAAGTGGAAACCTGAACATCCAAACTGTCCAACTGTCCTACCCTAACCAACAAGTATCCAACAAGGGGGCAGAAGGAGAAGCAGAAAAAAATTGATATCAACCTTGAACTATTTATGCATGATCGAGAGTTTGATCCCCCCTCCCGGTCTCCCCCCAGCACCAGCACCAGCAGCAGCTCCCCTAGACTTGTACATCAAGTATCAAGTCTAAGGGTGTATGTATGATCTAGGTCTATTTGATGTCCCCCACTCGTTTTCCCGCTCTCGATGATTGCACTTTTTTAGTGCTGTTGGATTCATTGATTCCCTTCAATCTCTCCAGCCGCTTCACCAAGCTCCACCGACTCAAGATTAAGGAATCCATCGACGAAGGAGGAGTAGACTAGAGACATCCTTGACTCGTTTAGCGGCTCGGCCGTTTTTCTTCTCAAGCTATCAGTACTTTTGTTTATTTTTCTTTCGACACTACGCTACATTACTCTCTATTCTGTTCTACTCTACCCTACTCTACTCTACTCTACTCTACTTCGTACTCTACTTCGTCCTCTACTCTGCTCTACTCTGCTTCTACACCGCGCTACCTTTTTTTCCCGCTGCCTCGGGTCCGATCTCCAATCAACCCCCATCATTCATCCATTCATCAATTGAACCATTGCATACTTTGCACTCTGCTCTGGTCAAAGTTGCTGTTACCCCACACCTGGGCTCAATCAACTCAACTCTCGAGATCCCTCCACTTTCCGCTAAAACTCTCTCCAACTCTTCTCTCTCTCCCTTGCCTTATCCTTTTTCGCTCGGGGATTCTCACCCCCTTTCAATAACCCTTTCCCCCCTTCCCCAATCCTTCGAACAACCCCAAACCCCCCCCCCAAAAATCCGAACTCCATCCCGCCCACAATGGCCAGAGACCTCCTCTTCCCTCCACCCAAAAGCCCCAACACCATCTTCCTCGTCACCGGCGTAAACGGTCTCATAGCCAGCCATGTAGCCGACCAGCTCCTAGCGGCGGGCTACCGAGTCCGCGGCACCGTCCGCGACATTTCGCGCTGCGAATGGCTCGCCCAGCACTTTGCCAACCGATATGGCGCCAACCGCTTCGGGCTCGTGCAGCTCAACGATTTCAGCGCCGAGGGCGCGTGGGAAGTCACTCTCCAGGGCGTATCGGGCGTAGCCTCCGTGGCGGGGCCCAGCTATCTCGATGTGGACGACGTCGACTGCATCGTAGCTTCGGAGCTCAAATGGTTCTTCGCCCTCCTGTCGGCCGCGAAAAAGACGTCGTCGGTCAAATCGTTTTCGTTTACGAGTTCCATCTGGGCCGCCTACACGCCGACGAACCCCTCTTCCTCTTCCTTCCTTCCACCTCGCAACGTGACGGAAAGTACGTGGAACGACGAGGCCGTGCTCAAAGCCGCCGACCCGACTCTTTCGAAGGAGGAAAGGGGCCTCGCGCCGTTCGCGGCCGTGAAAGTCAAGGTCGAGAGGGCGTGCTGGGAGTGGGTCGAGAGGGAGAAGCCTAGATTTACCTTTAATACCGTCCTCGCCGATACAGTGCTAGGTCCCATCCTCGCGCCGGACTTCCAGCGCGGCAGCACGGCGGGGATGCTCCTGCGGCTGTTCGAGGGTAAGGATTACGAGATGGTGCGCAAGACTCTACCGCAGTGGTTCGTCGACTCGCGAGACGCGGGGAGGCTGCACCTCGTGGCTCTGACGGACCCGACCATCAATAGGCGGAGGATCTTTGCCTGTGCTGAGAGGTACAGCTGGTACCGCATTGTTCAGATCTTGAGGCGGCTGTATCCCAATCACATCTTTGCGGACTTGGACGACCAGGGGTGGAATCAAACTGAGCTGCCCAATGCCTTGGCTGGGGAGATGCTGAAGAGCATAGGTAGGCCTGGATGGGTGCCTTTAGAGGAGAGTGTGAAGGCGAATATCGAGTGCTATTACCAGTTAGCATAATGGAGAGAGCGAGGAGAGCGTTTATATATATAATGATGCCGCAGGAGTGTGCAGCACATGCGGTGGGAGTGTGTGTGTGCGTGTGTCGACGATTTTCGGTCTTTTTCTTTTGTTCCTTTTCCCAACTTTTTGCTCGGGTTGGTTTGCGCTGGTGGAGGATAATAGGAAGCGAACGGGACTATCATGAATCAACCCAGAACCAGGTCAAGACTGCAGACTCGGAAGAAAGTAGAGAGAAATTTGAGAGAATGGCGAAACGAGCAAGAGAGAAACCAAAAATAGAAAAATAAAAAAAATAGTGAGAGAAAGAAAGAGAGAGGGAATAAAACAAAAACCGAGAAAGTCGAGTTGTAGAATTAGCAGTTAGCAGCCATCTCTATTCAGCACTAGGGGCCCCAGAAGCGGTCGGCTCCGCCAAATATGAATCGATCTATGACGAGAAATGAGACCACCTTCACTGCCAGACGACAGGGGAATGCTACCCCATGGGCGTCGATCTCCAATCCACGCCCAAGGGAAGGGTCTGGAATCAATTCATCTCTTTCTGTCTTTCTGGTTTCTCTCTAATAATATCTCGATGACGTCCGAGGTACCTGTGAAATGATTTCCTCTTTTGATCTGGTCCGTCTGGTCCGTCTGGTCTGGCTGGTCTGTCACTCGCTCTGAAACCAACTCTTCATTCTTGTCTTGGTGATGCTTCAATTGATCGAGACTCGCCTTCACCTCCCGCCAGAAGGAAATATACTTCGTACTTCATAGATGCATCGATCAATCAATTGAATCGATAAGACCGAAGTTTGCATGCAACGAGTACTCAACCTTAATCAATTTGATGGTTCCGACCTTGGCTCCCCTTCAAAGTTGCCTTTCTTGCGTACCGTAGCTATTGAGCGGTGTACTGTGATTTCGTGGCCCTTCCCCGAGAGACCGGCTAGTTCGCAATACTCGCTTCGGAGTCCTATGCTCAGTGCTCCCATTGTCACTACCTCCCCCCGCTCTCGCCCCCTCATTTCTCCCCCCACATCAATTGATCCAAGTGATTAAGTCCTTTTCATTTCTCCTCAATTGATCAATTCAAAAGGGCACCAGAGTTAAGTAACAACAACCAACAATCAATACCCACTAAGCTCAGGTGGTTCAGGGGTAGAATATTTGCCTTCCATCCGGGGGTAGCAAATGATCCGAGTTCGAGTCTCGGCCTGAGCATTTCTTTTTGTCCTTCTCCCCGGCGAGATCTTGCAATTCACAACATTGATCTTAAAATCCTACCTCCCATCTCCCAAGCACTTACAGCAACCGGTAATAAACCCTGTCCATATGCCGATGGCTCTCCAACTGCGCCTGGTATTTTCTTTTTTCCGTCCCCCACGATCCACGATTCCCGTCCACTCCGGGGAGATTTCCCAAGGATCTCCGCACGCAATTTATCCCGTTCTCCGGTAGCCCTTTGTTTCCTTTTTCCCTCCCGCCTCCGAGTACTAAAAGACAAGGTTCAAGCTGTTTCACTGATGCTTACGTCGTTGACGAGGTTATCAATTGCTCTTCAGATGGGGTCAATTCTAGTCCCGAGCTGTCGCCGGGTGCAAAGGATTGATGTACTCTGCCAAACTCTGTGACCGGCATCGTGGTGACTCCGCCCCTTCTTGGTCATATAGCCTGAAGTCAAAAAGAGGGTCCGCTACGACTGTCTAAGAGTAAAAAGGAAGAAACCCAAAAAGTGCCGTAATTCGGTGTAATTGACGTAGATATAAAAGCATCAAATCCCTCTTCTTCCAGTATCTCGTAAAACAGGATCGCACTATCTTCCACAGCAAATCCAAGCTCCATCACTGTGTATACAGCATCAGATATCTCCTACACCACGTATCAAGCTTTGCTTCCACAACACCCTTCTCCCCCAACCATGTCCGACGCCCCCATCTCCCTCCTCCCCCTCGGCGCAATCCTCCAATCCCTCACTGTCGCCTCCCACAACATCGTCCAAGGCTTCCCCACCCAATCCGACTACGAAGCCCACAACGCCCCCTTCTTCGGCGAGACCATCGGCCGCGTCGCCAACCGCATCTCCAACGCCCGCCTCGACTCCCTCAACGCCGGCAAGTCCTACGCCCTCGCTGCGAACAACGGGCCTAATAACCTCCACGGCGGCGTTGTGGGCTGGGGGAAGCGCGTTTGGGAGGGTCCGAAGCCTGTGGGAATTCGTAAGATTGTTGGAGTGAAGCATGATGATGGGGAGAATGGTGATGTGGAGGGTGAGGCTGTCAAGTTTACGCTTGTGAGTGAGGATGGGGACGAGGGTTTTCCGGGGACTGTTGAGGCTAGTGCTGTTTACACGGGCGCTGTGCAGAGGGTTGGTGGGAGGGAGGTGACGGTTGTGGAAATTGAGTATTCGGCTGTTTTGGTGGGTGATGCGGACGAGACTGTCATTAACATGACGAATCACTCGTAAGTTCATTGACATCCATCTTATACTCTCTCACTCTCTCTAACTTCTTCTAGCTACTTCAACCTCTCCGGCGACCCAACCATCGAAGGCACAATCGTAACCCTCACCTCAAACACCTACCTCCCCGTCGATGCCGGCGGCATCCCAACCTCCGGCCCCGCCCCCTTCGCCTCCATCACCCCCAACGAACCCTTCCCCCTCGGCCCCGTCGACCCCGACATCGACGACTGCTTCATCTCCAACCTCGACCCAGCTTCCGTGCCCCTCGACACCCGCGCCGCATGCCCTCTCGCCCTTCATGTCTCGGCTCACCACCCCAAGACGGGAATTCACCTCGAGGTCCTCTCCACTGAGCCCGCTTTCCAGTTTTATACGGGGAAGTATATTGAGGTGCCTGCTGTTGAGGGCGCGCCCGCTAGGGGGAAGAGGAGTGGGTTTTGCGTTGAGCCGAGTCGCTGGGTTAATGCTTGTAATGTGCCTGAGTGGAAGGGTATGGTTCTGTTGAAGAAGGGGGAGACGTACGGGTGTAGGATCGTGTATAGGGCTTGGAAGGAGTAGGGGATGGGCAAGGATGGAAAAGGGCCCGCTGGGTGGAAAGCCGTATTTTTGAAATATCTTTTGATGGTCACGATTTTTTTCGTTTAATAAAAAAAAAAGAACTTTGAACTCCTCAATGTTGATATGCTTGTCTAGCCTCTTTCGACGAGGTGATGATACGTACTCCGCACATATTGTGCAAAAACGACAGAGATATGCCACCCAAACAGTAATCTAAATAATCTACCAAGTTTCAAGCACTCAAATCCAACAATTAAAACTCCGCCAAAGAAGTGGTGGGTATATGCCAAACAAACAAATTCTCCGAGTACGCCGAGTTTTCTTTTTCTTTTCTTTTTTTTTTTTTTTTTCCCTGGTTGCGTACATCGACGAGTTGATAGGACCGAGCGCATTTCCCTTCGGGTAGCTGCTCAACCGGCGCCACTAGTTCTCATCCTGATCGGGCCAGAGCCCTGATATAAGGTGGCAACGGAACAGGCGTCTGTTTTATAGGACCTCCCTTAGAAGCAGCAGCGGGAATTGTCTTAGATGGTGCCGCGGAACGTATCCGAGCGGGGGGAGGCATGGTGGTGGAGGACGGTGAGGCGGCGGCACCTGCGGTGGTAGTGGTCTTAGTAGTGGGAGTGGTATTCTGAGCCCTCTGCGCCGCGAGCCAGGGTTTCGGCACCGGCACGGGTGTACACGAAATCGGCCCTGATCGTGAGCTTGTCGGCTTCTTCGAAGAGTCGCCACCCGTAGACGGAGGAAGACCCTCCAGCGATCTCCGGGTCGTCACGGCCGGCTTGGTCTGACGGAGAGGTTCCGGCGTAGCAGCAGCGGCGTTTACGACAGGCGCGGGTGTTTCCTCGACAGACCGACTTTGAGGTCCCGGAGTAGTGGTACTCATTCCGTGCACATCTGCTTTCAGATTAGGAACCGGACGAGGTAGTGGCGGAAGCTCCGGCGACGGCTCCTCATTCTCGACATCGCTGCCGCGCACTGGCGTCCTATCGAATTCACCCAGCCACGTAGCATCCGGACCCGTGGACGTCTTGAGCACACCCACGACCTTTCCTCTACTACTCGCACGAGTCGATTTCCGAGTATACGTAATAATTTTCGGCTTCTTCGTCATCTCAGGCTTCCTCGAAATCAGGCCCGCCCTCGGCGTCGTCTTAATAAACGGCGTCTCCCTCCCATAATCCTTCGACGGGGTCGACATTAACCCCACAAGACTATTATCGTCCGACAAATACTCCTCGTCATTCCGTCTCGGCGTTTTGAACGTCAGTATCTTCTTCGTCTTGTCCAGAGGAAGACCCGGAGTCATTTGGACGGGAGGAAAGCTGTCCTTCCGAGGGGTTGGCTCCAAGAACTCGTCGAAATCAATCTCTCCGTCCGAGAATATCGAGGCTAGTTCTTCCTCACTGACGACGGGCAGCCCCTTAACTTCTGAGCAAATTGTAACCCGTGTCTTGGAAGCCGCCGCAGAGGGCGTCATCACCTCTTTCTTTTCTTGCCCCTTTGCGCTGCTGCCAGCTTGGCCGGAACCAGAACCCGGCGGCTGGATTTTCCTGGCGGTACTTCTCCTCGATGAGGGCGTCGGTCGCCGCGGCGTGGAGAAATCAAGTTCGTACGGATCGCGGGGACGGCGCGGTGGCGAAGCACAAACTTCTTCTGTCTCCGACCGCGTGGATTCGGGCGCCGGTGTGGGTAGCTGCGACGTCTGGGACCGGTCGAAATGGATGCTCGAGTCATACTCTCGCGAAAGCTGTAGCTTGGGTTCGACGGCTGTCGGGACCTTCCCTCCGCTCTTGCTCGGGAACACCTCACTGACGGGGTCCGAGTACTCCCCGAGCACGGGACTTGGGCGGGAATCAAAAAGGTTGATTGGTAGCCCATGGGTAGTGACGACCTTCGCGTCGCGTTCGGCGTCTTTCGGGTCGACGAGGTAACGATAGTCGATGGGGTCGGGAAGTGAGCTCATGGAGGATTGGGAGTCGGCGATCTCGACGTATCTGGGCACGGGCTGCTTTCGAGCTGCTACCGCTGCTTGTGCCCCTAAAAGCAGGCTTAGTTGTGTTTCTTGGACTACCTCCAGTGGTGGAGACGAAGGCCCGGTTGTGAGGGATGGAGGCTCGGATGGGAGATCGGCAGAAGGTAGGTCAGCTGGGCTTGGACCTAGGTCTAGTTCTCTGGATGGAGCTGGTAATTCGAGTTCGGATTGGGCGGTGATCCGTTCTGGGGTCTCATCCTTTTCGGGCGTCGCTTGGCTTCTCTTGCGTCGTTTCCTCCGCTTAACAACCCTTGTCAGCAAATTCATCCATTGAATTTTTACACGGGTCGGGCCCGCATCACAACGCGGAAACTAGCTCACCTTGTGATGACCCTCTTCCTCGTCTGTCCTCTCAACCACAGACCCCTCAATTTCCGACTGCGGTGGCCTTTTCAATAGGATCTTCCTCTCCACGCCGCTCTCTACAAGGTTAACCGTGACCTGTGCGACTCCGGGCCTCGAAAGTATGTCTTGTATCCGACCTCTAACTAGCTCCTCGAGGTTCTCGGGTTCCTTGTGATCCTCAGCCACCACATCCACAACCGGCCTCGCCTCGCCATCTTTACCCTGTGATGATTTGGGGTTGGCCCCGTCGATTTTCGCGCCCTCCTTCGGCTCACCGCGATCCTTCTTCCTCTTTTTCGAAGGCTCACTGCCGTTGTTCATGACGCGGTGTCCATCTCGCGACATGTTCTTCGCATCTCGTCTGTCCTCGCTCCGAGATTCGTGATTTGCCCTCCATATCCCCGCGACGCGAAGGAGATGGTCCTTCCTCGTCTTCCACAATTTTCTAGCCCTACTCATCTTGAATTCGTATCTGTATCTCTCTCAACTCCAAGGCGGTGCGACATTGAGGAGAGGCTGTGTGATATTGTGGAGTCACAATGGTGATCCAGGACCGTGATACAGACCCAGTCTCGAGATTGATGCAGGATGGCAGCATGCAACCACTATACCAGGAAGTTCCGCATAATGAGAAAAGGAAGAAAAGAGAAAGGGAAGAAAGATCTAGCAATTAGTGAAGAAAGCTCTGGGTCGCGAGACTCGTGTCAACGCGTCGAGTGGAAGCTAGCTTCGATCAAGACGCGTCAAGTTCCAAGTTCTGGGGTCCAGAAGGTCCCCACTTTCAGTGCCTCTTACAGGGGGAAGGCGCATCGTACAATTGTAATTGGCTCGCCCTGGCGAACTCAAGTGCCGACAGTTGTGCAGCGTACATAACTCAACATCCGTGCTTGAAGATCCTGGTCGTCGATCTAGACAGGCATTAAAATTCCCAGGGACCAGCGTCCCGTTTTGGTGCTTCCACGGTTAAGGCATGTGCAGATTCCATTGCCACGCTAACGTTTTTATGAAAGGGCTCTGGCCTGCCATGTGTGACAGCTTTCCACTGTGCATTTTCCCGAGGAGAACAGCAGTGATTGGGATTGGAGAATGGCGAGTCATACGTCGTGTTCCATCAGGCATCGGATCGCTTAGAGCATGTCAAATAATAAGGCCCCCCATTATCAAGCCAAGGGACGGGGATGTGAGTAACTACAATTATGGTCGAGAGGAATCCGGGCGCGCAGATGGCCAGGGAGGCGGCAATTGGTTCGAGTGGAAGCGTAAATAGTGGGACAAAGGCTCTATGATGGGAGACTTGATGCCGTAGGTCTGAGGAGAGTGGTTGGTGGTAGGGTCTATACATTACTCTGCAGCGCGTAGACATTCGCAGGACATCAGGATGACGTGCCACCGTCACTGATTGTGGTTCAGATTCAGACCTAAAATTATTATTACACGATGAAGGATTCTTCGGGAACTTGCAAGTAATTAATATAAGTACATCAGCTAATTATCTCTTGATAAGCGAGGCACCGAAGAGCTTTCCTCCACCTCTTCTACTTGCCCTCTGCAGTGAGTGAGGGTGAGGGGCAAAAAGTTTGCAACCCCTTTGCAACATTTCGAAAGGCTGAAGGAAGGGCGCAACCGGGCTAACCAGCAAAAGCCGAGACCGACCTGGGCAGGGGTTGCAAACTTTTTGCCGCATAGGGAGCATTTCTGTTTCTGCCACGTCCCACCGCCTCCGGCCTTATAAAGGTTGGCCTATGACTACACTTGACATAGACTTCCTTCTATTAAGCGTTAACCCGCTGTTTATTATCATTGGTTAATTTTATCTTATTCCTATTTTATAAGCCGAATTCCGATCATCTCCCTCTCGGTGTCCAGATCTTCTGCAATCCTACTTTCCAAGAACGACATAATTCCCCCCAAGCCTTACCTTGTGACGATTCTAACACTTAGCCACGATATGCCGGCTGAAGGTTGCTAAGGTTAGGGTCGTAAGGTGCCTGTTCTAAAATGAGCGAGACAGTAAAGCAGTATTCACAATACATGGTGAGAAGTGCGTATTCAAGTGTAGGGGGTAGTTATACTTGAATTGACTGATAAAGAGTCTTCAAAGACAAACTAGATACATAATAGAAGCCGTAATTTATATCGACGTTTCCTTCCAGACTCTTCGGGATCACTTTGGCTTACTGTGATCTGGCTCGATTTAAATCACTCGTAGATCCCCGCCCGTCTGGGTGATCCGTCTCCCATGATTCTTCCCTTTTCTGCGGGCATGACTGCCTGTCCCTAGTTCTGGGCTCTGTGACCGTGACATCACTCTAACTAACGAGCCGAGTGTGAGGGTGGCTGTGCCTTGCGGAAGCTTCCGGCCTCCTCCATTAACATCACTGCTTCTACAATCAATAATGGGAAAGAAAATGCTTACCCTTTGAAATTGTCTCAGCACATGCACCAGGGTGCCGGGTCACCAGCTGGCCACGCACAATAACACTTACCACAGTCGGCAGAGAGGACCCAGTGACGACCGTTACAAACCGCAATCTTGTGCCATTGCTGATCAACGCAGTCGTAGCCCGATCCTTTGCAGGACGCCCCTAACGTCACGTACGCGGAAACAGTCGCAACAAGAGCGCTAAGAGCGGACAGTTCAGAGAGAAACTTCATGGTGGTTTCAGTTGATAGACGGTGGGGAATTTTGAGTTGCCAGATGTCTTTCTTAATGAGAGGGGAAGATGGGGAATAAAGCCGTGGTATTAGAGGAACATCCGAGAATATTTATAATTTTCTTTGTGCCTCTGCATTCGACTTCAAATTAGCTTCGGGCCTTGATGAGAATAGCTGGCGGTATCGTATGATCCCGAGTAATGCTCGAAAGAGGGAAAACAACAGTTGTAAGGAAGGATTCCATCTCTGCCCGAGATATCTGTAGGTAGCTGAAGACGCGAACGAATGAGAACGAGTGCTTTGGACAGATGTCGTATACGAAGTAATCCTGATATCTTCTGCAGCTGGGTTGCTAAATTCATACAGCTACTTAAGAAAGAAAGTGCATACATGCAGCCAACCAGGCCAGCACGTTGGACGGCCACGCCATTCCTATAACGACGGTGGGGCGATGTATCCGCTGCGGTTGCCTTGGCCTGGGCGTTGAGGGAGGGATCTTTTGTTCAGCCTTCCGTGTAACGTGATCTGGGCGGGATCCTTCCGACTGGGATCTTTTGTTTACTAAACTACACTCACGGGGCACGGGGAATATCCCAGCCTTGAGCGGGAACCCGCATGGGACAGGCGCCTTGGTCCTGCGAGACTAACCATCAAGGGAGGACGGGATCATACATATCTTAGATGCAGGAGTCTCAATATTCCCGGTTTATCTGCATCCCATCCTAACCAGCATGCCAATGTAAGGAATTTGACACCAACACTAAGCTATAGAGAGTGACTAGATAATCTCACTAGTGGAACCAATGTCGGGGGGAAAAACAACTGGATTCTGCATGAATTGTGCAAGCTGTCTCCTAGGCCGGCTGCCACCCACGCAGGTCTCTAGTAGGAATGTGCTGTCTGCGGGAATTATGCTGGCGGAGCCCCGTCTTTTGGCAGTGTACGAAGTATAGTGAAAATGTGGGCTGAACAGGGGTGAGGGGGGAGCGGAGAGCGGTGCACGTTTGCGGTGATGATGAGGTGAGACAGAGTGGCATCGGTTATTGCCGCCCCACCTTGGCGCAGCCTCGCCAGCACATTCCATCAACGCCTCAAATTTCACTCCGCTTCGTATGAAAAACACACCAACCGTGACAAACGACTCGGGACGGATCGCAACCCCCGCATCGCCAGGATCTCTTTTGTGGGGTTGGCCTGGCTCTAGGGCCCCATTCAGTCACTCCTACATCTTTCGGCCCGAAGTGATTTCTTTTCTTCCCCCGTTTCTACTCCGGTGCTGACCTTCATTCAACCCACTGCGACTTGCTTTCCCTCTTTCTACTCTCTTTTCTTTTCGGAATTTTTTTCTGTTTTCTTTTTGTACAGGAGGGTTGAAGGGGACTGCAACTAGTTTATATATCCTCGACGTCTTGCCTCTCGATTTTTAGCACCTTCTAGTTATTACGAATGTACAATCCTACTTGATGGAGCAGTGATGTATTGAAGGTGGGGCATTTTGTCGTCCATGTCGGTCCGTTGTTTCTGCATGAACCCTACGGATTAGTCGTGTTCTCTGAAGTTCTTCTATATACTAAAAAGTACATTGTTAAAGGGACGCGGTCGGCATTGTTGGGGCGTATACTGTTGAGGCATATGCGGTACTGCCAAGTGACCTCAGGTATTTCTAATCCCGTGCTTAACATCGAGAGAGAGGGGGAGGACACCGATTTCGCTCCAGGTATCATGAAATCAGAATGCTGTTTGCAACTATATAGATTAATATTACGTAGGGGACGCAGCTGGACGTTTGTGCCCAGAATAAACAAGACCTCAAACTGGTTCTGGGACCAAGAGTCAAAGACAGCGCGGGGTTTCAAGCTCAAAATCTCTAGATAATACGTTAACCACCAGAAATTGATCCGATGAGATCTCCAGGATTCATTCTATTGTGTCGCTATCTAAACTACCTCGGTACAAGTGCGGCTCTCTTAGGCCAGTCGGTCTCCCAGGCTCTTAGAAACTGGAAAGTCGAGGGAGGGCAAAGTCGAAAAAGAAAGTAAAGCATGAAGGATAATACGGATAACCCAGCCGGCTTATCGCACTTCCCATTCTACTCACAGTCACCACCCAACCAAAGGAAAAGAAAAACAAAAAAGGAGAAAGACCCAGGGTCATCTGGAATAGCTGTGTGGTGATAAACTACTGAGAATAGAAGAATAAAACTTAGAATCTCTGTAAAGGGCCAACCCCCAAAAGCGCGTCTTGCGAGCACGAAAAGCATCAACTCAAACTCCTTGGGTAACATGAGAACCATCCATCTCCCGAACAAAGCAAATCAAAACTCTCGGAAGTAAGTAATTAAACGCTGGGGCAAAAAGAAGAAGAAAAAGCGAGAAAAGGAGGAAAGGGAGGAGACAAACGCCCATTCATACACCCTCTTCCCTTCTCTCCACTTTAATAAGGCGAATCCACCACATCCTCCCGGTCGAGCCTAAACCTCGCACTTCCACGAACCCCGGTGCTCCGCCGCGGCGTACCCAACCGCTGGAATCCACCGGCAATGCTCTCCCGCGTCGGCTTCTTCAAGCTCTGCTTGCCCACCATGTTCACCTCGTTGGGCAGCGCCACGATGACGTTCTTATCCGTGCCGAACTTGAAATCGTCGGCCTTGACGTCCTCGGTATACCGCTTGATCATGTAGGGAGCCTTGGCGCCTCGAAGGATCTTCTTGAGGTTCCACTCGATAATGTACGGCCCCGTGGCCGTGATGACGCTCGTCTCCTCTGAGTTGGTCCCCGCATTGAACTTGGCCGGCGTGAAGGACACGCCCTGTCCTGTCTCGTAGGCGAACTGCGCCACATGCTCGGGTGTCAGCGCCAACCGGCGGGGCTGGGGCTTGGCGTCGGCGGCGAACGACTTCTCGAAGCCGAGCTTGCCCTCGTTCTTACCCGACTTTTGCAGCGCATCGACCAGGAGGAGGTAGGTCCTGCACGTGGCCAGAACCCATCGACCGTCGGCTGACACGTCGAGGCCGATGATTGCCTCACCCAGAGCGGGAATGTGCGTCTTGGCGTTGATGCCTAGCCGATCGAACAGGCGGATATCTCCCTTGTTGCTGGCGACGGCAATGTGGCCCTTCTCCGTGGCAGCCAGCGCCGAGAAGTCGTTCTTGGAAGCGTACTGCTTGAGCTGGGTGTCGACTAGCTTGGAGCCTGCAAGACGAGGATCGATTCGGTAGAGAGCATTGTGCGAGATACCGAGGAACGTGGGTTCGCTCGTCATTTGAGAGAACTTCTTGTCCGGCGCGAAAGCGGAGACAGGGATGTCATCGTGGACATTCCACTCGTCAACCACCTTGCCATACTCCAGGTCCATACGGTAAAGTTTGTTGGGTTCGCCGCTATGCTGCAGGATCATATCTTGATCCTCGTTGTGAAGCATAACCTTCTTGGGACTAAAGAGTTTGCCCTTGGGGGTTTCGACCTTTGAAATATTCGTCGAGAACTCGAGGTTGTTGTTAGGCGTGTGCTTGAAAACACCAATCTTGGATCCGCGAACGACAAACGACCTGTCGTGCTTGTAACCGACGGCGAGCTGGGAGTTGATGTTGCCATCATCCTCGGCCGTCTCGGTATCGTCTTGCTCTTCGTCGCTGTCATAGTGCTCGCTTCGAGGCCTCGTATCCTCTTCGGGCTCGGATTCCTCCTCCTCCTCCTCTTCTTCTTCTTCCTCCTCCGCCTCCTCCGCCTCGGCATCCTCCATGGCGAGGTCGGCAAAAGCCTCAGCAACGTACTCCCGGTCCTTCTCCTTGACTTTCTCCCATTTCATCTGGTTCAGTTGCTCCCATAGGCAGCGGAGAACCGCCTCCTGGAATCGCTCCAGCGTGGCTTGATCCTTGAAGCGGAGAAGCCACGAGAAGGCCTGGCCATCAGGCGTGAACTGGTTGAAGATGAAGGAGAGGTATTCAAAATTGAACACCGGATTGACATCGGCGGTAATCGGGATGCCGAGCCAGGACTTATCCTTGCCATCTACCTGCATCCAGTACTCCCACCGGCCGGTTTCAATGACGGTGCAAGTCACAGACTCATCCTGGCTAACAAACGATCCGGACGGGAAATCGTAAAAGTGCAGCTCGGCGTTCTCCACGGCATATGTCTCGAGAGCTTTGGGTGGCCCCGCAGACCTGGGAGGGGTCTCCACGTCGCGCTTCTCCGGGGTGGCGATAACGGGAGTGGCGTCTCTCTTCGCACTGGTATTAGCGCTAACTACCCGCTTCGGTGTAGCCATGGCGTCAAATGAATCGATCGATCTCGTCAAGACGGGACTATGAATAGGGCTCGCAGGGGGTATCGGTTGCTCGTCTTCGAAGATGAATTGCTCGAAGTCGTCGTCGGACGCCGTGGTGTGAGGCTTTCGGTACTTGCGCTCGTACTGGCACTGCTGTGCAATGAGGAGGAAGTCGTCGGCTTGGGACGAAGAAACCGAGCGGTCGCAGACGAATTCGTAGACGTCACCAGTGTCACCACTCAGATCTCTCCAGGCAAGAACCTTTTCGGAACCTTCACGGCTCTCGACCCGAAAGTGTAGGGCTTCGTCAAGGAGGAAAGTCTTTTCGTCTCCTTCTGCGGCGAGGGCGTCGATTTCCGCGTCGTCACCTTCCTCTTCGGCCAAGAGCTCGGCTTCGCCTTCCTCGTAAACACGCTGGACGACGAGCTGGTACTGGAAATCTTGGGCGGTCCTTCGGATACGGACGGCCGAGTCCTTGAAGATGAGCTCGGAGTATCCCTTGGGCGAGTTGGGTCTAACGAGGTAAAGCTGGCCTTGAGGGAGTTCGATAAGAACCTCCTGGCTACTGCTAGAGCCGAAAATGAACTTGCCGACTAGAAATCACGAGGGGTAAAATGTTAGTTTTCGAGGAAGTCGCAAAGGAGCGAGAACCAAATGTATGGAAAGTGAGGGCGAGGCTGCAGGGTGGCATCATGAACAGGACGCAGCTTAAATTTGCCCCGCGCCAACCACCTGGAATTGAGACGCTCAAAAAAACAAGGGTGACAGGAAGAGCGATCGCCAGCGTCACTTACCGTTCTTAAGCACAAACATAGCCCCGATTCTTTCGCAGGCGTATCGAAAAAATGTTTTTCTCTTGGCCCTCTCGGGTCTGGGTTTGCGCCGTTGGTGATGAATGGAGGCTCAAATTGTGTTGTTTGCGTGCTGGTGGTGGGATGAAGTGGGTCAGGTTGCGAGGAGGCACAAGATAACTCGCCCCATTTATAGTGTGGGAAATGTCCAGGCAGAAAGACGTCAGGCAGAGGCTCGACTCGGAAGAGAGCTTTCAGATTCCGGTGGGAGCGGTGGCGCCTTTCACCTTTTTATTCTGCAAGAACGAAAAAGAATAGAAAAGAAAATAAAAAGGAATGGAGAATATCAGTGTTCTTGCTTCCAACTTCGAACTTGTTGGATGGTAGCAGCGAGTTGTGCCTTTGGACAAAAAAGAAGGGATCAATGCACGTCATAACAAGGAGGGGCAGCTGAGGCTGGTGCCTTGTCACATTGCACAAATACTCGAGTTGTGTCCAGCACTAGCCACAATATACCTTATCCAGCCACATTTGGAACCGTGGCAACGGGAAGAGGTTGTTTACACGAACGCTACTACAATTAAAACTTGGAATTTCAGGCTGAGCACAAAACTGGAAGTCATAATAACATCGATAACATTGCATTCTCTGATGAATCGTCGCCCTGAAAGAGACGAAACAAAACGAAATATCTGAACAATCGCAAGCGGGTGCCTAAAAAGAAGAAGAAAAAAATAAAAGAAAGCAGAAAAATAAAAATAAAACAGAGAAAAAGAAAACAAAATCGAGATCGATGCGATCGACATCTGGTAGCTTCACCTGCGGTTATATGCCGCCCAATATGCAACCTATCATTTGCAGCTTCATACTCCTGTAACAGGTTAAATATCTTCTCCTGTCCTCCCGCATGTTAGTGACGTCGCGGTGAACCCGGGACACCTCACACTCAGAGCTCATCTGCCTTGGGTGCAGCGTCGAATCGTGGCGATCCCGGTTCTGTCGTCGTGTGCTTCGCCTCTTGCGGGGCTTTGGGCGCCGCTAGCTCATCCACAATAAGCTTGGCAACATTCTTGCCCATCAGCGCACTTGTTTCCATGGTAGAGATGAAGCTCTCGATACCAGACGTATAGTATAGACCACCACCCAGAACAGGGTCCTGGAATGTTACGCGAGGGAATTCGATGGGATAAGAGTTGAAGACGTGGGGGTAATACCACGAAATAGGTTCAAAGTTGTCCGCGTTGACCGCTCCCGTAAAGGTGTCGGGAATATCAACACCCAGGAGCCTTGAAAGAAACGAAACGTCCAAGACTTTGGGCGAGAAGATCTTGTACAAGTATTCCTCCTGGTCCGTCTTGGGATTCAAGACTATCTGAAGAGTGCTGATTGAAAAGACTCCAGCCTTGCCAGCAGCTCCGGAACCAGGTTCAGCCTTGTCGTCAGCGTGCAGTGTAGTCAGCACGGTTACAGGTGCTTTGGATTCGGGCGTAAGGTTAAAGAAGCCGGGAGAGAGTTTCAGGGGCGACGTAAAAAGAGTGACGTGGAGTTGGACGTAAGGGATTTCATCGATGGCAGGTTGAATTAGATCCTCGGGAGCTTCGATACCGGCATACTGCCAGGGCGCTGCGACCACGATCTTGTCGAACGTGATAGGGTATGCCTCACCGGGGCGTGAGGACCTCGTCTTCTTCGTCGAGATGATGAACTTCGAGGCGCCGTCACCAGTAGTCGCCGACTTTTCTCGTTGCAGCGACGTGACAGTCACTTTCGGCAGAAAACCTGCGGAGCTGGCTTTAACCATGTTAGCAAAGATCAGCCAGTTTCCTCCCCAAACCTGCATAGCGCCCTCAGGAGCCATCGAGACTGCAGCCTCAAGACCGTGAATGTGGGCCAGGTTGGTAGCGTAGTTGACCCTCGTAGCGGCCTGGATGATATCTTGAGCAAATAACGAGGCGATCTGCTCAGGACTGTGGCGTTAGCACATTGCCTAGAAGGATCAGGTAAAAGGGAATGAACCTACACCACTGTCCTCATAGAATTGATCTCCAGTCACGCCGGTCAACTTGACCAAGTCAAGGTCGATGGCGGCCTGTGTGAGCGACTTGAATGGGAAGTGCGGTGCATCGTAAATTTTGAGGAATCGCGCAACCGTCGAGTCGACGAGCTTCTTCGTTTTGTACGGTGCCAGGCCGTACTTCCAGAAGAGCTTCACAAAGCTCCACCACGAGTTATCACTCTGCTCAAAGCGAAACGATTCTCCATCCCAGACCACCAGATTGCCCTCGACATCTCTAGTGCCAATGACATTGAGGCCGAACTCGGAGACGGCATCATACAGAATAGCATTGGCACGGATAAAGATGGATGCTCCGAGCTCAACAGGCTGCAGAGGGTCATCAAATGCATCCACAGTGAGCGATCGTCCTCCAGCGCGTTTGTTGCTCTCAAAAATCGTAATGTTGATCGAGACACCCTCCTCATCAGCAAACTGTCGCAAATGGTATGCAGCTGATGATCCAGCTGCTCCGGCTCCTAGAAAGAAGAGGTTAGATGATGCCTTATTAATGCCTGTGTCTGGGGTGTCTGGTGATATCTACAAAATGCCCCCTTGCATTCATTTCGTCTTCATTGGGTCCGAACAATCAAAGCATATGCATCCCCCCAAGTTCTTTACATCCATCTCAAGAGAAAGGGAGAAGAAAACTACTCTATATTAAATTGTACAGATAGAAATAATGAAATAATGGTGGTGAGAAAGCAATGCCAACTTACCGATAATGGCAACATTCTGCACGCCGGCTCCCGAATCACCCGCCGCAGTAGAAGCCCAGCTAAGGCTGGCGATCCCAGCCAAAGCGAGCACGCCAAGCCTGCCCAAGCTTCGAACCATGTTGGATTTGAGGTTTTGTCGACAGTGTGATAGTGTGGGTGTTTGTTTGTTTGTTTGTTTGTTTGTCTGTTACTGAACCAGTGGCTGAGAAATGAGGATGAAGATCAATTACGAGATGGACGAGGGAATTTCATGATTTGAAGAGAAGCCTCGCGTCGGATCGACAGAACAGTGAGCGCGACAGTTGAGCGCGACTATTGCCGTCTTCAAGCTGCGGGCAGGTGCAATCAGTGGGCGTAAGCACGTAAGGGTCACAAAGGTCGCAGCTGCCTCAGTCGTTCGACTCTGGTATTACCAAATTCCTGATAATGCAGAAGGTGCAATTGTGCGTCTACTTCTAGCTATTGGGTGAAATGCAGCAAACCTATCACGACTTCCCTGCAAATGGTGGCAGATGATCCTCATGGACTCATGAACTCATGAATAGATGAGTGGTGATTGTAGAAACTTGTGATCGGGCGTAAAATATTTATATCTATCGACTTTACACACATTCTTCGAGAACAGGCATCGGGTGCTTGGGGGTGGCTCACCGAGACTTGAGAAAGTTCCTCCACTTCTAGACGATAGTCCTGACCCCCTCATCAGTCAAATATTCGCACAAACTTAATTCGGGCGTCGAAGGTGAGACTGAATCTGGATCCGATACCACGGTGCGTGTCTCAAGGTGCTCGCAGGGGTTGAAACCTATCGGATTAATATATCTATCCGGGAAAGTTTGAGAGCCGCTTCACACATCTCGAAGTGCAACAGGCAATGGTCTCTAAAGCAACGAGCGCACAATTGTAAGACAAAGGGAGTGATAGTGATGCGTACGAAACGCGCTTGGTTTTCAGGGTGCTCACTGCTCACTGCTCAGTTTCTTCGGGCACTGGCGCGCTCCCATCCAGCGCGCACCCTGACTTCTAAGGGATGGTGATAGGTTGCACGACAGCTCCAGCTGTTGAGTTGGGTCGAATTGGCACGCACGCCTTACTTCGTGCCGGTCCTTAAAGAGCACGGCCGGCCCTATACTTCGTGTAATACTCTCAGATTGGTTTGGGCCGATGAGCAAGACGCCACCGACTCTAGGCGAGAGTGGAGCGTGTGTTTACTCTCGATACTGAGCTGATCTGGGCGGTCAAGGTGCATGCAGACTATCCGAAAGGATTGCCTCCGTTTGCCGGTAATATTCGTACGGAGTACATGTATTTCTGCTTTCAAGGAAGCTCTCGGCCGATCGAGTTGTAAGGTGATTCAGATGGACTTCGTACGAGGAAGGCATGGTTACTCTATTGGGAGACCTAAGGCTGTCGTCTCACATCGAGCTGCCGAAGCCGACTTTGAAGAAAAAAGTCAGGATGCCGCCGAAGCCGTACCCGAATCCAAAAACTGGAGCTTGCGAGTTATGATCTAGCGCAGGTACTAGTCGTCAAAGTCCAATGCAGGGGCAACGAAGCCCACTCACTAATGGGACCTGTCTAAGCAATTTCTAAGCTCGTCTCTCAGCTGAGGTTATTGGACCTGTTCACGGCAGCTTCGAACCTCAGATGCCTCTTCTCCAGAGATTCGGAAAACTAAAAGCATCAGCCAAGGATCTTAGGCCCGTCTTAATACGAAATATTGGGAGAAAGAATGACGAACAGAACGTGCGCGTTGGATAAACAAAGAGCTGCACAGCCTCGACATGGGTCTGGCATTTGAGTTGTATTATTGCCCGTTCCAAAATCAATCTGATCAGATCCACAACCTTTTTTCTTGTTCTTTTCTTGTAGGGTTGAATGAATTGAGACTTGATGGAAGACATTGGTGCAGACTGTTCCTAATTATAGATGGCTCCACGTTTCTTCTCACACCTTTCCATAGCATCCTCTCCGTTCGAACATTGAGTTTTCTGTCTAATTCGGAAAGATCGGAAAATACCCCGTGCTCATGGTGTCAGGAACCAGGAACCAGCAGAGCTACAGCGTCTTCGCGCTCTTCGTCTTCCATACTTTCTTCTACGAAATACGAAGTAATTCTTAATGCCGCTTACTTCCTACCTGCTCCAACTGCATTGTCAGGACAATCTTCAACATGACGAACATGCAGGAACCGACCCGATGAAAGATGCTGCCAAGGACAGTGGTACCCGGGTCAGCTCTGTCGATCCCTGACCGCGAGCTGAGAGAGAGACCGCCTCACAATTGCTCGCCCCACCACTGGGCTCAGACAAAATACTACTGTGTTCCTGGAATGACCGACCTGGCAGTTGGCGGGCCACGGAATGGAGGATACGAGGTTCGAACGGGCATAATATTACGAGGTCTTGGACAACATTCCACATTCTGGGGTGGTAAAAGAAGGGATTTGGTCGAATTGAGAACTTGCCGTCAGAGGCGTGACAAGCATCCCCATGAGAGTGTGGCCCATGCGGAGTACACGTCAGTCCCCACGCGAAGGAATTCTTATGGAAAGGTACTGAGATCTCTTCGAATGCGGGTCCAGAGACTATTGATTGCCTTATAATCACCCTGTCTAGGTACTCGATACGAGTTCACTCCAAAGAAAGAGAGGGAATATTGTTGCGTTTGACTCGCACGAAGTACTTCGTACACGAATAGCAATCGATGCAAGTTATGTAACCCCAAATGAGGCAGTGCTGAGGTAAGGCACCGAAACGGGATCGCAAGATTGCAGAGAGCAAGGAACGAAGTTTCACGTCGTCCCACTTGGCCCAGGGCCAAGGCTATTATCTGGGGGGTGTATCTTTCAAGTTGAAGTCCTCAAGACACTGGACAATGGAGGGTGAAAGGGGGTGATTTATTACTCAGCAAACTCGAACAAGTTGTTTGGAGCTGCAATTGTGCACTTGTGCACAACACACACAAGGACCCTTGTCGCACCAGAGTCGGCCTCGGCGAGAAACAGCTCGAAGGAAGGATGGCGGAATGGGAAATCGACAGTTTGGTAGGTCCCATGTGAACAGGTGATGACGGCTTTTGTGTTTCCTAGGCCAGCCTAGCAGCTTCGAGTTTGAAGGCGTGACCCTGTGCAGTTGTACTTACTTATTGTGCACAAGGTTGATCTCAGTCTCGACATTTACAGATTCTCAACTTGCACTCCCAATTCCCTTCATCTCGAGGAAGATCTCCTTCGCGGGACCCTTGATAGCAGTTAATCTGGAATGGGGAACCGGATATCTGGCACCGTTGGTTGAACCAAGAGTGCGGAATGGGCATGGACCATTAAAACGATGGCGAGTACACAGGTCTCTTGGATCGGCCGTCATTGTTGAAAAAGGGAGGGGGAATGCCACGCCAGGTGGTATGGAGATACTTCGCAATTAGGCAAGGTAATTCTCCCGGTGTTAGCACCGAGGCAAAAACTGAGGGCTGTTGAAGTCGACATCTGATAGCAGCCGTTGGAGGTGACTCTCCATGACAAAGGCCGAAAGGCTAACTCGCCCGCCCTTCTCTCTAACATCTTGCGGCTTATATCCTCAATATCGTATCTGGCTCAAAGCGAAGGAAGCCGCAGATGCAATGCACACTAAAAAGATCAGCTGGGACGGACTCACCTCGCGAACACGTCGGTAAGTCTCAAGCTATATACTTCGTAGTATGCTAGTATACGAACTTGCATCACCATCCACAAGTTTGCACTCGTATTCTTGTTGGGTAGGTGGAGTACGAACGGCACAGAATACCTTCGTCTGCTGTCGATTTATCAGAAATTTGTGCGAGTCGCTTTTGGAAATTATGGTGGGGTTCGTAGCGGAGTCTTGCGGCTGGCTTGGACCAACTGTACAAATTAGTGTACGAACTTGTACAAAGGTACTTCGTACTTGGGCACGAAATAGTGCAGTGTGATGGAAGATGGCGGGAAAGCCGCTCATTCGTTCCATCAATGATGCTGGACATTTTTACACCAACTGCACCGCAAAAACGCCATGAATGCGCTGCTCACCTTGACAGTTTCCCTTAATCCACCATTTTGTGTACAACTCTGTCGCCTTGAAGCACACCTCTCCCAATGTCAAAGTCTTGAAATATGTACATATTGTAAGCCCCGTCTGCTTCCACTCTTCGTTAAGATTTAGCCAGGTCTTGAACAGGAAAGGGAAGCGATCGAAGAGAGCATCATTCCGATTAAACTGCTTGGACCAAGTAAAAATGGGCTCCTCTGTGGAACAATCAAGCAATCCGCCACTTTGGCTGAAGATACCTTCCACTGCCCTATGGAAAGACTCTGGATGAAGTATACTTCTTCCACACGTTTCCTTCTTGGTGAGGACTTCGTATGATGGCCTCAATGGAGTTATCATCACAGTGCAAATACAGTGTTAGTTGCCTACACCATAATTATGCGCTCAGGTTGTTGATTGACAAGGGATCGGCGCCATAATCTCGCACCCCCTTGCCCCCTAATCTTGAGTTCCTGGTTATTCCCCTGTTTCCTAGCTCGGAAGGTGCAGATTGAACTTGGTACTTCAAAGTACGAAGTACTCTGTCACCGTCGGCTCTCTGTACTTCATAAGAGTGAATTCAATCATCGCCCAGCGAGTCCTTACAAACATGTAAAACTATTTCCTCAGAGGAGTATGATTTATATGGCCATTAACAGAAACTCTCAACTGCACATGATGAAGTCGATTAAGGGGACCTTGAAGACAGAGAAGTGCTAAATAAACTAACTCGCATTCGACAATTAATCCCGTAGTGTCTCCATGCTTTCTCGTGGCAAAGACTTCGTACCTAACGTTCAATTCTCGAGCAGAAACGAGTACCTGGATGTACATCATAAAGGACGGCGCCCTGCTTCGCACAGTGCATACTAATATAGACACTAGTTACAACAGTTTGCACGACGTTTTCTTGCGTGCCCAGATGACACCCTCGCGGTTGATTGACAGAGGGGTTAGATTTGATTGGCCAAAACTTTGGAATGTCGAGCCAAGACTGACCAGACTTGGACAGTATGAATAAAACTATTCACTCCTGGGCCAAACAGCGATTGAAGCACAAATTCCACGCATATTTCTTGCCCGAACAGTACCTCAGTACTTCAGCGTCACATACTTCATTGTTGTATCGACTTGTACTTCATTCAAGTCCCAGAGAGACGACCTTGGTCGATGTCCCGAGACACACACCCCCCTCCCCCCTGCGCGTGTCTGCATGCTGGACCCGATACTCCCGTACTTTTTCGTACTCCTCGGGGGTCTAATCTCATTTTCTGGTCCTCTCTTCTCCTCTTTCCCACTCCTCTCGCTTTCCCCTTTCCAACAAAACAACCCACACTCCTTCACCCTGTGACTCTTTCAAGTCCTCGCTCTCATTTCTTCGCTCGTTAAACCCCGATTCCATCGCGAAAATAGGTCCGCATTCGCTCTATCGTCCTTCGAATCGACTGCTTTATTTCTGTTCTTTCGCCGCAACCGACGACCTGCCGCCTCTGGTCTTTGTCAAATGTCAACATAGCGGTAACTCAGTCTCTGGACCCAGCCGGGAGACTGAATGATCACGAACTCGTCGTTGTCCATCCCCCAGCACCGAAGGACGGAACCTGTCTACTATCGTCCCTAAGGGAGCAACTCGGGCACTCTTGAATCGATCTGCCTTTCACATCTCGACCTTGACCATTCTTTCGTAACGACCGCCGATTAAGACATCATTGTCCTTTTTTTTTTGCTCTTTATTTATTGTTCTCCTTTTTTATTTGAATTTGTCACTGTTTTTACGCCTGGTCGACTTGGTCTCTGGAAGAATCCCGTCGTCCATTCCAAATCGGCACTTTCTGTGTGATCCATTCTTTATTAGAGCATTATCAACCTGTTGAGTCGAATCGTCCTCTCGATCTCGAAATCCTGCCCCATCGATAACTCGTAACCATATACGACTCACTTAAGCGATTACCCAACATTTCCGGTCCCAGAAACCTCCACGATGAAGAACCTATCTGTCATCCTTGTGACCGCCATTGCTTCTGTTGCTGTCCAGGGCGCAAATCTTCAAAAGCCAATCGAGCCGCCACTCCCCAATGCCCTAAGAAGTCAAGGATGTTTCAAATCTGTCGGTGAACTAGTGGATCCCAAGGGATACCCAGCCACGAGGACGACGAGTGGATATTGCAATGACAACGTTTGCAACAAGCTCAATGCGACTGTGTTGGCTCTGAAGGGAGCGGTTTGCTATTGCGGCTTCACATACCCCCCTCTCAACACTCGCGTGGATGACAGCAACTGCAACTATGCGTGCCCCGGATTCGGCGACGAGGCCTGTAGGTTTTTCAGAGACGGGAACCATGGCCATTACCGCATCTGCTAATGTTAATTCTTAGGCGGCGGCATCGAAGCAGGCTCTTATTACTCCGTTTTCAACAGGGGGATTGAAATGGATGTCCCCTTTTACAACCCGCCTTCCTCGACGAGCTCGACATCGAGCTCAGCTCCAACTGGTATTATTTGAATCGGTGACCACTTCTCCATTGATTCGAATGCTAACCGCCTTTAGGTCCCACCCAATCCCAAACCCCGACCGATAAGGCAGATGAAAAGAAGGCGAATATTGGCGGGATCGTGGGCGGCGTCGTGGTGGCGGTTGTTGCCGTTGCTGGTGCCATTGGAGGTGTTTTCTTCTATCTCCGCCGAAAGAGGAATAAGGAGATCGAGGAGGAACACCGTCGTAACGCCGCCGTCAACTCTTTCATCGGCCATAAGCCCCCCGGCAGCAGTGGCGGTCTCTCGATTACCGACGCACGCCTCGATCCTGTCATGGCCCAGCGCCGGCTCTCTGACGGAAGCATTGCTGACAACCACGACTACTCGAGAAAGATTCTTCGTGTACGCCCCGAACACGTCCGATGTTAATACTCAAGGCTTCGATTAGTCGCTGACATATATGCAGGTTACCAACGCGTAATGATGGCCTCAACGCAATGAATCTAGAACTGAAAGTCACCGGAGCTTCTCGACCACCCAACCGATTACGGGCACCTCTTTGCATTTACGGCGTTATCACGGTCACGTTTTTTCTTTCAACACCGTATCATTTCCTTTTTTTTTTTTTGGTTTTTGGATGCGTCCGAAATGACTCGTCTCCCGGCGTTCTTTTTGTGTATACCTTTTTTCTTCGGTGTTGGGAATCGTTCTGGGTCATGAATGCCGCCTCTTCCCCCTAGATTTTTGGCGACGTATGCTATATACCTCAGCCCTCCATACTCTTGTCTCCCTGCGCCGCCCGCCAACGCCACCCCAGTGACCTAGCCCGCTTGTGATAAACCCCGATTTCGTTCTGCTTGATCAACTACTTCGACAATCATGGACGAACAGAATTAATCAACCGATTTTTGCTTGATGACCTGGGGCAGTCTTTTCCCCGCACCTCGCACCATCCAGAAGCTCCTGTCGGATTGTTGGGGACCTGCTGCGGCTTTTAATTCTCGCTCGAAGATGGTGACCGTATCAGGTAACGAAGCGACCTCGGAGCTCGCTATCATACGGGTTGAGGGCTTGTGGATATTCCGTGTACAATCACAGCAGCTATTGTATCTTTTTGTGTGGAGAAGATGGGGGAACCTAGACGGAAAAGCGGTATCTTGCGAGAGTCGGTTGTATCGCTCTATTTTTCTGGGATGTATCTACGCCGCCTGGCTTTGGTGTTAGACAAGCAATGGTCATGCACAATGTATCTACGCTTTTGGGTTCGCATAAACACAGATGGGATATTCTCCAAACCAGCTTTGTCAACTTGCCCGTGCCACAGTCCTGTGGGAAGAGTTCTTTCTCTGCCTGGTTTCTTATCTTACCAGTCGTTTCGACAAACGAGTGTTCCGCTAGTGATAAGTGGGATACGGGAGACCTCTTTCCCACTGCAGCTATGCAGGAACTCAAGCACAGACGGGTGGCGCAGTGAGCAGACAGCGCTCTGAACACTCAGTGGTTTAAAGCAACCCATTAAGCTAACCCAACGAATGACGTCGCGGATAACGGGTGATGTCCCTTCCCCCCTAAAGCCGTTGATCGCCTTGAGTGGTTATTTCCTTGTTTCTTCCTTCTTTTCCTGGTTCAGGAGCGTGGCGGGGCGAGTTCTGAAACACGGGATTTGCCCGTCTTATTGGAGTTGGGCAGGGATAGTGTCTTTATGATTTCTCTCCCCATCTGATTTTTTTGCTGGGATCTGCGAGGGGGGTGTGGAGTGCGGATGATCGTTGTGGGGGGAAACGGCTTTCTCTTGTTGCTTGAGGGTTAATTTTGCGAAATAGTGTACGGGCAACGGGTGATGGGTTGTTTAGACGATATTTTGTTAGGAGAAATTCTTGGTAGTTTGACCCTCGGGATCTATCGATTAATTGTTTGCATAGCGAGAAGAAGGGAATGTGACGCAGATTGAAACGCTATGTTTTGAGTCGAGTCTTCAGCTGAACGGCATCGTGACAGGCTGAGTGCTGTCTCCTCCAACCCCCTCAACCCTTCCCCCCTTCTCTCTTTCGTCTCAAGGGAACACAATTTTGTCTTGCTTTTCGGGCGTCTTTCCATCTCGATGATATTGTAGAACTTGTGATGCCGTCGACCGGCATCACCTGCCAGCCGGTGAGCCGAGAGACGATGCTTCTGTCTGAGGTCAAACGAATCGGATTTATGTCCATGGTTACGGAGTCTGTGTTTCAAGACAATTGGTATCGGTTTGGGAGCGGCATTGTTGGGAAGTACTTTGTTTGTGGCGGGAGAGAGCTTGTTTAGGCGAAACGAGAGCACAAGTTTGGCCTTGCCGTGCTTTTATATGGATCAATCACTCTTTCTGATCGGGCTTAAAGGAGCAACTCGCGCCATAGAGACTAGTTGATGTCAAGAATGCGAAGAGAAGGTGTTAGGTGCCTATTCTTGTTGATGGTCTACCGCTGAAGATCTTCAATTTTGGCCTTTCCTTTTAGCCATCTTGTTGTATGAGTATGTCAAGGACGGACAAGCTCACCGAGTGTGCGAGAACACCGAGGTCTCCTCAAGGCAGCACCGAGTAGGCAGCTTCTCTTTTGCATCTAGATTTATGCATCTTTGAGAAGATACAGATCACAGAGGGGCCGAAGATACAAGAAAGCCTGACCATCCATTCCTTTAGATATAGATATATTCCCTCCAGGCCATCGCTGATATTAAAGTCATTCCGAGTGAAAGAGCATCCAGTACTTTCGGCCCTTCCCGCTCGAATTGACTTCACCGATCGATATCGACGGAGTGGCAACGAGCGCCCTAGGTGAAAATCTACCGACATGCCATAAATTGCCGAAGCCTAGACACCTTGCAGCCATCGCCCACCACTCTTCAGTCAGAACCCGAAAAGTCTTGAATCTGTTATTCTCTTCCCACACATCCCCCTCCTCCCTCTAGGATTTATATCCGTCGGGCGATCGGCTCCTGGGAGCCAATGTCATTTACCTCCTTATCCTCTGTGGCAGTTTGTTCGGCTAGGAACCGTCCCGGTAGCTGTCAGGATGTGTGCTCTCGTAGTATTGTATACCCTTCGTGTGGCCCCTAGAAAACTTCAATCACGCATGAATTTAAAATATTACATTATACACATAATATTTTATTATGAGCCGTCCGAATGTAGAGAGGTGGGTGGCGATACGACGGTCGGTCGAGACGCTTCACTCGAGAATAATCCGGGCGCTCCCAACATCCCGGGACGTGTTCCACGGCCAGCCTTGAGCGGATTCTCCTCCAAACATCAAGGTATTCACCTAAAGTCTATGAGTCTGAGCATGGTTGCGATAGACGCGTTGGATGATGCGAGTGTCTGCTGTCGACGACATCCAACTCCCTTGCCAAGCAAGAGAGGTGCGATATTCCAAGTTTGACCGCACTTAAAATCGGTAAATTCCTCCGTAGAGAGGAGGAAAAGGGAAGAGAAAAATGATTGGGATAATTAAGAATTGATATTCTTCATTGTAACATCGTGGGTGGCTGGTTTCTGGCATTCCTAAGTTCAAGTGCGGCGTGGCGATGCGGATATTTTTAGCCACGATGAAACCGTAAACGGACATCACTCACAACCCACAGCCAGTAAAGCTGCACGCTCGTCAGCCCGACTTTGGCGGCTCTACGGTGGATCAGCAAAGGGAATTTTACAATCGGTGGTTTTCAGTCTCTTTCCATCGCTTGTACCTTAAGCGTTATGCAGTCGAGACTGTGAGGCGTGGTCCTTCTGGAACTCTTGATAATATGTTGCATCGCGGTGGCGCGGTCAAAACAGGCTTCCTATTTTGGGCGTCGATCGCTAGGTGACCAGCCGCTGTTCTCATCGCTGCCGGCCGAAACCCAAGTCCGGCTTATGGAAATAGAGGTCTTGGCGAATGAGGCTCCCGTCCCATTTTTAACTTCTCCCATGAAAGAGCCTCTGCAACGTTTACTCCTGGTGATATTTCTGGCAGCGGGATGGCTGTGTCACTCACTCTTATTGCTCCTTCGGAGTCTCTGAATAGGCTTGCTGGCATGAATTACTGAGATCGTGATTACAACGATGGATGTAACCAGGAGATGTAAATCTAGATTTAGGTACTTTCTAAAACTGGGTTCCCGGATGGAACTAGAATAGCAGGAAGATATGAGGTCCTAAAAAAAGCTCTCCCTTGGTCGAGTTCAGTTCTACTGCAAGGGAGCTTGCAGCCGCAGAGAGATTCAACGAAGCCGAAGATCACATCGCGTGCAAGTCTACTCTAGGAAATCTTGACTATTTAAGCTGTGAGGTTCTCCTCGCTGAGAAGCCAGTTTGAATCATCACGGACTCATCACAGGCTCAACCCAATCTCTGTGCTCCTTCTCTACCTAGTACCGTCTCCTCAGTAGCATATCCTCTGGCTTTCCATTCTTCACTTACATCCCTTTTCCCTTCTCTCTCCCGGCCTCTAGCTCGCCTGCCCCTTTCCTTTCCTTTTTTGAAAGCAGTCATGAAGCTCGTCAAGGTTCTTTCAGTGGCTGTCAGCCTCCTCTTACGCGAGGCCTTTGCTCTCGAGACCCCCGACCTGTCCCCCCGCGGCCTCGAAGCCCGCGACTATCAAATCCAGGAGTTCGAGAAACGCTTCCTCGACACTATCGACTGGGAGCACGATAACCACACCGTCAAGCTAGTCGGTTACAAGAAAATCATCATGACCGACGCCCAACTCGGCGACCTCGAGCACCGCATCAAGACCTACCCTCAAGAGTGGCATGATTTCTCCGCCGCCTTTTACGATCCACACGAGCGCACCATGCGCGTCTACTTCCCCGTCGAGAATGCCCTTGTCTATCACGGCAAGGACCTAGTCGAGGCCACCCACATGGGCGAATTCCCCCTCCATGACAAGCTTCATAGCAACTGCCAGGTCGTGGGACGGTACCAGACGGAGCAGGTCCACGGGACGAGCGGAAACCGTATCGAGAATGGCATCGTGTATCTCCATGAGCCTGCGGCGCCCGTGCGGGTTTACGGCGACAAGCAGAATATTCTCATGTATGATTTCGGATGGCGTGAAGGGCAGCACGCCCATGGTGACGATGGCCATTCGCATGGCCGTAGCGTGAAGCGTGACAAAGGGGAGAAGAAGGGCGGGTCTTGCAGGCAGAACCACGGGGGCAAGACGTGCTCGCAGGTTTATAAGATTAACCATGGTCGGTGTCCTCGGGACTATTCCAGCTGCATCGACTACAATGGATGGAGGCCGAACTGCAAGAACAAGAGCTCGAAGTGGGCGTTTCCTGGTAGTGACTGCTACACTGCTGTTGCTAGGGGCCACTGCTGGAACGAGATTCCTCACTAGATTACATGGGATGTTTAGAGTTGGCGTTGGAGCGTGGATAGGAGCATCTGGGATGAACGGGATATTTGGACATGGCTCATATGGTGCATGGTGCGAAGTTGAGGAGGTGATTTTCATAGGCGTTTAGGTGTTGATGTATATAATGGAATAGCAGGAGTCATCACTCTCTTTTCAGACAAAGCATTTCTTGAGACAGACGAGGAATTTCCGTCGTACTGTACTTGCATGCATTACGTAGGAATCCGTTTCTTTTGGAATCGTTCGAGATGAAGAGTGATATCAAAAGAGCTCGAGTCATGCTGTCCAGACTCGTACTTACCAACTACAACTGAACCTGGGACTTAACAAAACGCAATATGATACTAACCTATATTATGCTACCTGAAATTATCTTCTGCGCATCCAATGTGGCCGCGGACGGGCTCCCCTCATCCCGACACTCACCGCATATTGACAAAGAAAACCTATTTCTTGCACTTCTTCCGCGCAGGCTTCTCAGCCTCCTGCTCGTGTGCTTCCTCGAGGATATCGGACAAAGGAAATGCGGTAACACCCGCCTAGTTCGTCGGCTCGGGCATCCCTTCTTTTCCTCTCACTTCACCACTTACATCTCCCCGGAAGTAATGTAAACTAGCGATTTGATGAAGATTTGTTCAAAATGCAATTATTTTTTGCTATATGCTAGAAGTCATCATTTCTCATATCCCAAGATGCTCACAGCTTGGGGGGCTCCTGGGGGTTCTTAATCTCGACAATCAACTTCCCTACACCGACCGGATTAGCTTACTTTTATTCTCCAGATGAGTTTAGCATGAGGTAGCCGCAACCTACCAGTATTGATTCCCTTGAACAGGCCTACTAGCGCCTGCTCGGCGTTCTTGAGTCCACCCTTGATGATGGTCTCCTTCCTCTTAATCTTGCCTGCATCAAGCCACTCGGTGAGCTCTTGCCTGGCCTGGGCGTACTCCTTGATGAAATCGAAGACGATGAAACCCTGCATCTTGATTCTCATGGAGATGACGCTCATTATGTTCTAGAGGTTATACGGTCAGAAATACTCTGCCGTCATAATTATTGAGCGGTAGACTGTAAGACGGAATGCGCACCTTGGGACCCCGGACATCGGTGGTGTTGTACTGGCTGATGCTGCCGCACATTACAAACCTAGCAAAAGGCTTGGCCTGGAGGAGTGCTAGATCGAGAATCTCTCCACCGACTAGTTTGGTCATTCGTTAGTCCTGAAGGCAGCACTTCGAAAAAGAGGGAGAAGAACTCACCATTGTCAAAGTACACATCGATATGATCTTTGGTAAGCTCCTTAAATTTCTCCTTAAAATCGGGTGCCTTGTAATTCAGAGCAGCATCAAAACCAAGCTCATCAACCAGCCACTTGACCTTATCCTCACCGCCAGCGATACCAATGACCCTCGCGCCCTTAAGCTTAGCAATCTGGCCCGCCACGGAACCAGTAGCGCCAGCAGCGCCGCTCACTACGACGAGGTCGCCGGGCTTGGGTTCTCCGATGCGGAGCATGCCGAAATAGGCAGTCAACCCCGTGAGGCCAAGAACCGAGAGGTGGTCGGGAAGGTGAGAGGAGCCGGTGGCCACCTCGAAGCCACCGGGGGTGTTGGGACCGACGATGGCGTATTCTTGCCAGCCGGGCATGGCGCGGACGATGTCGCCCGGCTTGACGGAGTCATTCTTGGAGGCGAGGACGCGGGAGACGGTGGCGCCGCGCATTACACCGCCGATAGGGACGGGGGGAATGTAGGAACGCCTATCTGTTGCGAGGGAGACGAAGGGAAAAGCACAGGTAGGTTAGGGTTCGTTGTCCGGTAGCCACCCTCAGGAAAAGGCAGAGATGGTGAGAAAGTTCCACTCACCGTTCAACCATCCTCGCATGGCGGGGTCGAGGCCTAGGTAGATGTTCTCAATGAGGATCTCGCCATCCTTCAGGTCTTCGGCCGTAGGGGCCTTGGCTACCTTTTGGTTGAAGGTTTGGCCAGGGATGATGTCCCCGCGAGGTCTCTCGGCCAAGATAATTTGAAGGTTGTCTTGGGCCATGATAGTGTGTGTGATGAGGAGGAGCTCTGGTGAGATTTTGCTAGGCTCGGTTTCTTGGATTATAGAGGAAGGGATTTACACTGATGTTATTGTACTCCGGAGCAACGGAACAGGATGAGCCTTAAAAACAGCCTTGAAATGGAAAAGGGGGGTATGAGAAGAAGTATCAGTTTAAAAAGAATCAAGCACTCTGAAGAAATGCTGTGATAGCTGGCATCATCCCCACTTCTTTCCTTTTTCCTGCATCAAGATGGCGCAGGACCCAGGTTCAGATCTCGAAATCCTCTCCGCTCCGATGTCCCCCGCAATGCCCTAGTCCCAAACAATGAACATTTCCCGAGGCAGATTTACGGAGAAGGCAACGATTATGGTAAGCAATGCCGTCATGGCCTCTATCGTCATCGTCTCTAATACTCCCGGTTAAACCCAAATGACGCACTGACATACTTTATTTCGTGTTGTGTTCTGGTACGCCCGCTGGAACCTGTGTGTGGACGACGTCTTAGCGACAATTGCATTGTGGCGGGTTTGACAGCCCCGCCGACGTCTCCGGCCGGAGCAAGGACCCGAAAACAGATGTGACGTCCGAGATAATGGACTGACTGAGTCGACGATCGGTCGTCAACGAATCAGGGCCAAGGGTTGCCGGTTGGGGTCCAGCTACTTTGTAGTTTACTCTAGCGTCGTTTTTTCCAAGCTTCGTTGAGGAGATTAGAAATCGGGACCGCTATGCCGAGGAACTGTCAGTGTCTCCTTTTAAAGTTCGGTGTTCGGAGCCAGCTGTTTCATGAAGCTTGAAGAGATTCGAGAGATTTTGGTAACATGTCCGACGACGCGGCTTAATAGAATGTCCGCTCACCGAGTTGCAAGTGATACCAACTGGTCCAGGCCGGTATGTCATCGGCTCTGGGAAGGAAGGGGTCATCGGGCTGAATGGACTGCTCAGGTAAGTCACATGACTCGAGAGACAGGATGAACCAGCTTTGCTTGCTACATTTATTTACAATATGGAGCACGAGTTGCTTTCGATTCCCAAGGGCCGCATTTTCTTTCCATCAATGACGGGGCCTTCTGCTACGATGCGGAGAACGGTTCTGAACCCTAGAGTGCGATCACGACGGCCTTCCTGTGGACATCCAAGGGCAGCTGTCTGCACAGTTGATGGCGACGCAAAGGACGAATCGCAGAGATATAAGGTCGGTGGTCCAGGGGAGCCATCGGCACGTTATCTTCGTTCCATGGGATCCAAGATTCGTCGCTTTTTGGGCCGTAGCCCATCGCGCTTCGATTTTTGATCTCGATCCGGATGCGGAGCCTGAGACGAGGCTTTGATTCCCGGAGCTTTGCGCCCATCAACTAGTTTAATTGGGCGCTGATTCCAGTATCTAAGTATGAGCCGGTATTGTCGGATGAGAATGCTAGGGAAGTGACTGAATACATACGGGATACATCAAGTGTGCCCCTCGCACAAGGCAAAGCCAATCTTCAGCACCAAAACACCTACAGCCACCAGACACAAGAACAAGAACACGGCGACCAATCCCGATGATGGCAACGACAGAGAACCACACGCCCATAGAAGCAAACGCCCACCACCGCTGGTACTCGCCCTGTGCCGCCACGCGACCTGCATCGCGGACAGCACCAGCAACAGCATCGCGAAGACGAAGAGCAGCGCTGCGCCGAACTCCCGCACGAACTGGCTCGTCTGCTGGTAAGGTTCCACGTAGAACAGCCCGCCTCCGCGTAGCCGCTTTCGGCCGGAAGATCCTGACGGCCCAGTCGAGCCACGAGAGGCGGAGCTAGCCAAATTGCCACCACGAAGACACCTGCGCGTCGTGTATCTCGCGGAAGTGCCATGTGAAGTGCTCAAAGTCGCCGTGTAGTTTGTCCGAGGGAACGAGGCGTCCTCAGTCATCTGGATCTTACTCCGCTTGCGGAGGTGCACATGAAGGGCATCGACGTGCGCGCTCGACTTGGTGGCGAAGAGGTAGAGGTGCGGGTATAAGTCCTCGAGGACGTCACAGGATAGCCCGTCTGTGAGTTGGGCTGCATCGGCTGGTAGGGCTTTGTCAAGTAACTTTCCGAAGATGGAGTCGTCTGGAGAAAAAGGCACCATCTCGAGAGCCTGGGGTCCGTCTCGGAGAATCGAGGGCGAATTTCGTTTCATCTGGGTCGATTCCTTATCACCGTGATTGTCTGTCCTGCGTCTTCACATGAAGAGATTGGGCGAGCAGGCTTGGGGAATCTTGCGGGTCAGTTAGCCCCCGTCAGAGGTGTAATGCCAATTGGAGGACGCCGTGCTATGGCCGCCATGGTTCAGATGACGCCCCAAACTCATGCACATCGTTTATATCGATGCTGATTGGGAGATTTATCCCCAGACGCAGGGCAAGCCCACATAACAAGAGGTGTAGCTTATCAGCTTCTCTTGGGCAGCGGGTGTTAGGCTCTCCCAAGAAACCTTCTCTGGGAAATAGTACACCGACAGGTATTCAATATCGCCCACTAGGTTATTCCCCCACATAACGAGAGGTAGACAGCCCTCGAGCTTTAAAAACTGTATTTTCGTAGACTCAGCCGTATTGAACCCCTCACTCCTCTTCGTTCCTGTTCTCCCTTCTCCTCATTGTACAAACGTAATAAGGCAGAATAGCGCGATGACTCTAAACCGACGTAGGCGCGAGCTACTCGACGAGAACCTCGCAGTCAGCAGCGGCTCTTATTGGTGGCTCACCACGATTTTTCTGCTGGTGGCCGTCGCTTTCTGCTGGAGACTGACGGTCATCAGCTTTCTGTCCACATACCACTACGCCAGCTTTGTGCTCCGATTCCTCCCACAGCCTCCTCCGTCACCCCCCGATATCTCCATCCGGACCGTCGAGGAACCCTAGGAACCGGCAGCAGACTATCCGGATATCCTAGGATTTGCCTCTTATAGGATGTTGTGGGCGACTAGGAACCGGCTCGTCGGGGCTCTCCTTGCGGGGCTGCAGGAACTGGCAGCGTCATGGATCGCGAATGATCGCAGGCGACGAGGGAGCTACTTCACCAGGCGCATCGCGAAGACGGCATTTTACGCCAGCATCTTCGGCATGTCGATCTTCCAGGCCACTACGTGGGCGGTATCCAAGATCTTTAGCCTCTTCGCGCCGAGTTTAGGGATGGAAATAGCCCAGCTAGTAATTTCCAACATTACGGTATTGTTATAAGAGCAACCCTTGTCTTTCCGTCTCCCCCTATCTTTCTCGTTGGAGCATGACACTCTGGCACACCGACGGACCTATCCTTTCATTTCTCAGCTGACCATCTGTTTACTTGCAAACAAAAATATAGATTGTTCGTTCCAAGCTATAATTGACGCAGTGGCGCTATCCCTCATCGCCGGGGCCAGGACAAACCGCCAGGTCAGAGCGACCGTCCGTGTCACCGTGGCGCACTACATAAAACTCTCATGGATCTCGACCATAGCCTGCGCCATTCTCGCCCGCATTTTCCTACCCCCTGGATGGTGGCCGATGTGTTTCGGCTTCGGCGGCTTCCTCGTGCGCGTCGTCTCAGATGCCCGGACGAAGAAGCTGCGGATCAACGCCCGGCGGAAGAAGAGGCTTCGGGAGCTGTCTCCGGAGTACGTGGAAAACCGGGGGACGGAGAAACTCGCCGAGAGTGTTGCCGGATCTTCGCGTCGGCCTGCGCACGGAGAAGGCGAACTTTTCGGAACGGGGGAGGAGCGGCCGGATGTGGTTCGTCTCTCCGGAAAGGAGAAAGGGGAAGAGAATCGGCCGTCTGACAGTGGCTAGGCAGACGCTCGAGAGCCTCAGGTTAAGGAGATGAAGACTTCTATGATTTTGTACCGAATTTTTACAGCCAGTTCAGGGCTGACAGCTCTGAACCATGAGGGAGAATTGATCAAACCTAAAGGTATCGGGGAGAATGCTGCCGCTAAAAGTTTGGATAGAAGCTAAGAAGCTAAGACTCGCCGCGGTGTTTCTGATTGACAAAAAATTGCCTGTGATTCAACATCGCTGAATTGATCCGGTTCGTAGAACTCACCAAGACATGAACCGAATGGTCGCCAGAGCATCTAAGTCCGCTTAGCTCGATTACAGCTTCGTCCCGGTCGGTCAAATTAACTCGCAAAATGCCTTGTGTCAATGATGCATTATTGGTGCGACTCAAGCACGCGTTCAATCCGCAGAGCTGGCGTCACGTCCCACCACAGCGCCGGAGACTTCCAGTGCCGGCTCGCCGCTTTGACTCCGGGATCGACTCGGAGCCGATATCATATCCAACATATCGCGTAGCCCGGAGCGGGCGGCCATTTTGCTTTCCATCAATCATAGCTCAGTTGTTTATGCCCCTAAATTCCGACACCTCCACTACATGGTCACTGTTTTCGCAAAGTTCTTACGAATGGATCCTGCGCTAAGCGGATCAAGTTTCAGTCGATACACAGATCTCTTGATAGATGAAGCATACGAACGAAACACCGCTTCACGGACTGGAAGCATGCTCCAATAAATCTAGTTTTAGGTGCATGATGGAAGAGATAGGAATGACAGAGTTGAAATTGCTTGAATCTTAAGTCAAACTTGAAGACTCCATTGCCTAGTTTCTCCTATTGGAGCTATTCAACACGAACATGGTCGGATCTCTAGATTCTCATATCTCAGCCTTCAACAGCAAATACGCATCCTCGTAGCAACAAACGCCTACCGGGAGCCCGTTCGTGTTTATATCATTCTTCACAACTCAGACACGCCCCGAGTCGACCGCCTCGTATACAAAACATACACCACCAACGCCAACAAACTCACCGTCTGGGCCCAACCCAACAACCTCTTAAACACCCTAGAGTGCATCTGCCTCATCTTAATCTGCGCAGCAGCCCTCATCGACGCACCATCATTCAACCGTGGAAACGGAGCCTCGACGACCTGGCCATTCGGTCCCAGAACGGTTGGAACGGGCACGCCGAGATGTCGACAAAGCGGACCCCAACCATCCTGGACGCGATACTCCAGCACACGTTCCTTCGGGATCTCGGACCTCCATTCGGCGTAATATCCGTCGAAGAAGGTCAGAGCCTTTTCCCTCTCCGGCCACTGGAACCCTTGGATCTGGGTGTTGATCTTGTTCATGAACATGCCGAACTCGCGAAAGGTGGGATCGAACAGTACGATGAGGATTTTGTTGAAGATCGAAAGGCTGCTGAAAGCGGCGTGGATGCTCGCCATGCAGGAATCGTACCATTTCTCTCTCTCGCGGTTGAGGATGATGACTTTGGCTTCTGGGTATGCCTTTGCGAGTTCGGTTCCGAAGAAGGAGGCGGGGACGTCTGTAGTGGCCTGTTTGCAGCGTTTCATAAAAGAGTTGTGAGTATTTTCTTCTGGTATAAAACTCGGACTATCCTCCTTCTTTTCGTTTTCTTCTCATACCTGATGTGTGCCAAGAAGCTTGTCCCAGTCTTCACGACCAAAGCGCCCGATTCCGTTATATTTGGCGTCGATTGCTCGCATCCACAAAGGAATGTCTTGGGGATTTGTGCCGGTTGTTTGCATATGGTAAACATCGTGGATACCAAGTTGTCTTAGGGCAGCTCTCATGCCTACACAAACGAGAAAAGGGAAAAGAATCAGTCAGGAGGCATGATGATTGGAAATAAAACCCTAGTGGAAGGAGGAAGTTATTCGGCATCCAACATGTTTGGGGAAAGAACAAATTCACGAACTCAAAGTGCCTGTCCTCATAAGGCCGCAGACGATGACCTTCATGGGTACAATTCTCGGATTAGAATCGCACTCGGCCAGATTCCCGTTTGACATCTTTGTCGACATGATGCTATTTAAGGGGCCTTGATATTTTAGTGAATCGAATACAGCTCGCTTGATCAGGGAGACTTCTATGGAGAGGACAAGTGAGAAGGAGTAAGTCAACGATCGATGAGTGTCAAACAGGGTTGTAAGAAATATAAGAAATATAGAGAAAAATATCCTGGGAAATGGAACTTGGCAAGCATATATAAATAATCAAGCATGGATAATCGGCATCCTCCCTTTGCTTTTTTGCCATCTCGCCTCTTTAAGGGTCTCATCTGGTTTGCGCGGGTGCCTCCTCATCCCAGACCAAGACCCAGAAACCAAACTACGCACTTCTCTATACCTCTCTTGCAGTTTCATGCTCTCCTATTTCGAGGGTATTTCGTCGCGCCTAGCGGGAACTAGCCATGAACACTCTCGATACAGCAACCCATACTTCTCGTATTTGAAGGACTGGCTTCTCGAAAAAGTACCACCCAGCTCAGTGCCCAAGAGCTTCATCTGACTAGGAAGAGAGCCATCCGGACCGGAGCCTGGCTGGCAAATTTTAACGTAGCGTCCAGGCTCTAGCTCCCGGAAGCGCGATATGCACTTGGCGACACTGCACGAGACCTTGACCCTATATATGGAAAAGAATATAAAGTTGAGATTGGGGTAGGACATACCGCCCATCAGGTTTCGGAACGCCTACTGTTAGGATACTCTTCCCAAGAAGAGGATCAGTAATCGATACGAGCCCTTCAGAAGCTTGCTTTTTCTTGGATTGTGTGATGTAGGAGCCCAGAGCCTGCATATCTCTTTCAGGATTAGTGATCGGGGCTTCCTGCAAAGATTATCTAGTCCCCGAAGCAGGCTACACTCTTAGTTCGTTCGGTTCTCCAGGGTGTTGAGAGGCTGGGGTTGAGACAGCAGCAATAATGGCATTGCCGAGCGGATCCGGATGACTTCAATCTCAAGTCTGTTTGAAAACTGTAAGCTTTTCACAAATTTGAACCCCGGCAATGGAAAAACACACCGCATTTCTGCTAAGCTTACCTCAAGCCCTTTAGTCCCCCAGCCTTCTTGGCCCTTCGGCCGCTTCGCAAGTCGCCATGCTAGCTCATGCTTCTCGGACTTCCCTGCAGGAGTCCGGATGAGGCGTAAATAAGTCTATCAAACTCCTCCTTTCGCATCGAATTCCCATTTCACGAAGGGATTCTGACATTGAGATGAGGGGATATGATACGAGGTCCTCAATATTATCCCTTCTCATAGAGAAGCCCTCCAAGACGGTTCCGAGGACTGGTCGAGGCCCCGGTGATAAAGACCAGTGGTTCGATCAAATATCGTGAAGCCCGCATAATTCATTTCTGGTATCAGAAAATCCAAGGTAAGAATAGAGACAGAGAGGATAGAAATGACGAGGAATAGAGAGAGGCTTGGGAGCCCGGTGCTAGTCTGGACAAACTAGGGCTCTTTTGAGGACAAGTCTCAGACAAACTTCATTGATATGTTCCAAAAGCCCCTACCACATCTCAGGATTCCCGCTGGGTAAATCTGATAATAATAAGCATGAACCACTCTGTCCTAGTAATGCCGTGGAGTGGGGGAAAAAGCAAAATCAACAATATAGTGCCAGTCAACACCACTCAGGGACTTGGCTTCCCTCCTTGTAGCACTGGTCTAAAGAAGGAATAAACGCCACACGCGAGTTTTTCTGCGGATACCCGACAATACAATGTCCGGTTCTTCCCAGGTGCTTTTAACGCATCAATGACCATACCTCATTCCCAACACTTGGTGGCTTGGTGATCGAACTCCACGGAAAGGAACGCTCTGGGCTAAGTATGCTCATTATTAACAGGGGAGGAGTGTACTGGATGTTTGAGACAACGACGCAGCGCTGGTTGGTTGATTGGCTCCCAGATGCCCGTTCTGTCTTGTTTTCATATCATGGAAAGAAGGATCAATGGTGATCAGAGGGAAATCAGGATGCCCCCGAGGAGATTGCTATCTGATTGTTGTGACTCGGAGTGGAAACCCTAAGCTGAAACTGAACTCCTGGATACCCATCAGGTCGGTGACTCGAGGCTCCTGGAATGGTTGGAGCAAGCGATCCTTTCCCAGATTCACTGATGACAGCCTATTTTAGTCGAAGACTGACTGCCTTGGAATTGTCTGAAGGCAGCAGATCCGCGTAGTCCGGGTGACGACTCACTTCGCAAAGACATCAACCTCTTTTCAAGGGTTTCTTCTATGATTTTCATTTCATTCATCCATCCATCCATCCTACCCTCCGACTAATATGTACCCCTTCCTGCCAGTAAAACTCTCTCCTCTGCTTCATATCCAACCGATCCGAATCATCAATCATGATGCCAAAAACCAACAAATCAACCCTCCCAACACGCTTCCAAAACCTCCTGTGGTAGTCACTCAACGTCATCTGCCTGCAAGACGACTCGTCTATAAACATGCGATTCAAAACAGTCACCTTGGTCGTGCGCAGGAACTGGCTGCACACGTGTTCCCAGAGCTCCCCCATCCTCAACCCGTCGGGAAACTCCAAAATCAATGGCTTCCACCCCAGGATGGTCGACCTGCGGATCTTGAGGGAATGGAGCCGGCGTGGCGGAGGTTGCGTCGGGAGCATCCGTCGCCAACTTGCTTCGCGGCGCGCGAATGCTGGGCTCCTTTCACCGCCGACATCGTCTCGTAGTCCGGCAAGGGTGTCGTAGTAGCCCTCGTCGACCTCGTCGAAGGAGGAAAACCTCCCTTCCCTGAAGCCTGGAAGCTCTGTCGGGTAAAATGGACGGAAGAATTTCACCAGTAGTGGGTTAGGTGTGGGATATCCGCTGTCGGAATCCCAGTCGGGGTCGGCGAGGAAGAAGAGGCGTTTTTGCAGGGATATCGTGTACGCTATCGCTTGACGCCACTCCCTACAGACCAGCTGGGCTTCTACCAAAAGCGTTTTCAAGTCCAGGTTCTCGAGGATAAGTAGGAGGAGCTCGGGCGTAGAGATAACGGCGCCTCGGGCGAGATACTCTGATGGGGAAAGGCTCGGGTCTGAGGAGCGGCGTGATTTGGCACCGCGGGTCATCCGGAAATGGAAGAAAGTGCTGTAGGTTGGTTTCCTCTCTGCTATAGGATTCCGACACTTTTCGAAAGTCCGAAAGAGGGAGTTAAGTGATGAGAGATGAGAGGTGAGAGCGGGACTCCGGGCTCGGAGTCACCCTCGATGAAACACGGGTGCCATGTGGTATGGGCAACCGTTGGGAAAACTTTCCCGGGTCTTTTAACGTTGATATACCCTCTTCTAAATCAGGCATCACTCGTCTCCACATATGAAGTGAGGTCGGCGTGTATGTGTGTGTGGCGTTGTGCCACATGAGTTTATGATTCTGAAGCGAGCGGGACAACTTCTCTAGGGCGCAACTTAATCTTTGTTTTAGACCAGTCAACCGTAGTATCCAAGCCCACGGGATTTATCTGCGTGGGGAATGCCACTGGTTTGATATAATGGAAAATTACACCATCTACTGTACAGTCATGAGGTTGTCCGATTGAGGTGATGTGAGTTGCAACCCGGGGGTGCCCGGCCTGTACTGCACGGTCTTCTGGTACCCCAACGATGCTCTTAATCTAGCAATAGACAGTAGTTATAGTCTTTTCAACTAGTATAACAGCGATGATAAAAAGAGCGAAATGAAGACACAGAAAATAAAATGTAAAAAGTGAGAAAAAAGAAAAAAAAAAAGGCAAAATGCTCGCTCGCGGGTCGCTCCCAGGATCGAATCCCGGTTGCTTCCCACGAACCACGAAAACCGTTGTTTTCTAACCTTCTGAGCGCTCCAATTGACCACTTGGCCATTTGGTCGCAGTGTTGCCACTTGAGCTGCTCGGTTGATAGTTCTTGCCACAGACTCGTATATAAAGGATATATATCCGCGGGGTGGGGGGGGAGGTATGTCGAGGAAGCCAGGAAGCTGCAGAGGTGCGGAAGGCGTCTTTCGCACTCCTTCCTTTGAACCTAGACGCTAGATTCACGATCCAAATAGATTTCTAGAATCGGAAATTATTCCTACTTATTTTAAACACTCAGCGCGGTGTGCAGTTTTTGCGGCAGGGTTCCCGGACATATCGGGGGCCGCCAACTTCATCTGCTGGGGTTCCCAGTTTCCGGCGGTGGTCAAAGCGGGGCCTCCTCCGTCTCCGTCCGGGCCCCGGCGACTCTCGATTTCCCCCCTCAGGGGGAAACTTCAGAAATTATGAATTGATTTGCGGCATCTACGGACCACTCGAAATAGTAAAACCGCGAACCAAATAGAACGAGGGCCATGTGGATAGATAACCGCGGATCAGGATGAAGGTAGGTCTTTTCACTGGCTTGCTCCTCCATTGCTTGATCATGAATGACATCCTGGACAAGCATCGCTAACAGTGGAGTATCGCTGCTAGAATTCCCTGACAAGATTAACGACACCTATGACACTTAGAAAGCCTGCCGTTCCTCGTTGGGCTCCTCGGAGCAGTTTGACTGGAATCGCAACAGGAATCCATCATCACGAAGCGACACAGCATATCTAAAACCAAATCTCTTATTCTCTACACCTAATTTACAGAAAGTTCCCATGCCAACGCCAGTCAAATTGTTTGTTTCCCGTAGTAATAAGCCCAAGGTATTTTGCGAAGAAGATAAAAACTCCCACAAATGTTCAATCCATAGATGAATATTGACAAAAAGGCTAGCCTTCCCCTAAGCCCGAATCGAATGATCTCAACGCCCAAACTCCATGCAGACAGATATCCCTCCCGCGTGCTAACTGCAGGCGAACCGCTTACGCACCGTGGGTCACGATTTTGCTCCTATGATTTTCTCCCCCTCTCTCTCTTAAACCCGTCAGGGCGCGCAGTTGATCAAACTTGGGTTAAGTTCTTGGCCGGCGGCAAAGATGGGCAAGCACTTGGTACTCTACAGCAAGAATCATGTTAGCAGATTGCCATGACTTGATATCAAATCACCCCGACGTACCTGTACGCAGTTTTGGAACTCGTTGCCAAGATCATCACCCTTGAACGGTGTGCCATTAGGATTGTCGCATCCTCCGATCTACAGAAGCGAAAGTCAGCAAAGTTACCACAGAGGGCGAGTGGAATCTATTGGCGAAGTGATAGAGGCGGCAGCCATACCTCACTGCAGGAGCTCTCGAGACATTTGCAGGCGCACTCGGTGAGGTTGAGCTCGATCAGCGAACCGTTGGGGCAAGCTCCGATAGTCACGGTACAGCCAGCCGTTTGTTCTGGCGGCTCTGCGATGGGAGAGGCGGCGGTTTGGGCGAGCATGGTAGCCAAGAGGCCGAGAAGACTAAGAGGGAGGTTCATTGTTGCGACAGTTTGGTTTCTTGTTTTCTCTTTTCCGTCTTTTCCCCCCCCTTTTTTTTTTTTTTTTCGTAGCCGAGATGAAGTAGAATGGAGTGAGTGACGAGGTGAAAAAGACGTTGGGAAATACGCGACAATCAATTTCCCTTTCAGGTGGGAACGCTTTAGCGCTTGCTGCCTTTTTTTTTCTCTTTCGATGGGGCTTTTCGTATCTGCTATTGAGTGGAGACGCCTCACAACATACGCGCGATTAAAAGACGCGCAACTTTTTCGTCGACTGGTTTCTGTTTTGCGATCGTTGGAAGTGACGATAGCGTGATGTTGAAGAAGTGCAGAAGAGACTGGCGGACAGACAGGAGAAAACCGGGACTTCCGGAAACTCGCGAGGGACTTCAAAACCATTTTATCCTTCGCAGGCTCAAATAATACTTCTTCGGCATCATCATGGGGGACAGCCAATATCAAGAATATTGGATATTGCCTTTTCATTAATGACGTAGATTAAAAAGGACGCGGAAACGAACAATGAGTGCTTTGCTGGGTTTCCTATTCCGGACGAATATATATGGCTCTGTGGAGTGCGCCAAATTATCCGTCTCTCGCCATATCGGCCCTGACAGTGGGAAACCTGAACGAACCCCATGATGAGCCTCCCCTGCTGGGAGAAAGCTGGAAAGAGTCACTTCATCTATCTACTTAATTTAACAGATCCGTGGTCCTTACGCGTAGGGTCGAGATATATCGGGTCTCTCTCCCTGGAGCTTTTTGGGTCTCTTTTTAGAGCCAGTTCGGGATCTTAGAATAGAAACAGACCCGGGAGATGAGATCAATTGAACTGGGTCGCTCTTATGCCGTCTCTCGGTTTAGAACCCAGACGGTTTCCCATGTCCTGGTTTGTCTGGCGGAGAATAGGTCGTTCATGGGTTCAGAGAAAAAGATGGGAACGTGTAGTTGATCAAGACAAAGTATCTACTCAAAGTGTGTTAGTGAACTCCTGTTTTAGCCTCACAAACTTGAAGAATATAATGGCGGCAGCGGCCCCATCGTTCCGACTCGTCGTTAACAACGCACCCTCACGGATGGTTGGAAGCCTCGCGATCGATGGCTGTGATTCCCACCACAATCCGGCCTTGATTCCGGTCTCTCCGACAGAAACCCCCATCGCCTACTCAAACGTTGCAAGGGCATGAAGAATTCCTGTGCTACCCAGGCTGTTTCAACTGAAATCCTCGCTGCCATCTGGCCTAACCAAGAAACCACCAAGCCGCTGTCTCGCGAATTTCTCGTGTAGGGGGGTTTGAGGAGGAAGAGTGGGTGAAAGCATGCGATTCCGGTGGGCAGATTGCAAAACCGGCCAATGAAGCTCGGGGTTAAGATACCCTTCACTTCAGGCTGAATGATGGGTCTCGCCATGAGTGTGGATGTGTGTGCGTATGTGAGAAGCGACGCCCGTCTGTTTTCGGGATGGGCATCCAGCGTCCACCGTGCCGTCTGCCACTTCCATATTAACGGTGCCACCTTGGGTTTTGGCGAGCCGTGGTGGCGCACTTTTCGAGATAGTAATCATCAACCATAGTAGGTCTCCCCAGAAAGCCAGCATCCGTGCAACCTGTCCCCATAGAGTCAACTTCGTAAGAGCCTCGTGCGGAGATTTCAAGCACTAGCACCATCAGTGAGCCCTCGCGGTTTGTAGGTGAGGGACTAACAACGCTCCTCCCAAGAGAACGTGGTTTTCTAGGCCCCGTAGGAACGAACACCATTCTTCATCTCGCGTAGTTTATCATTGCCGACTTAGGGAAAGAAGACATGTGCAGTGGGAATCTCCTCCGCCGGGAGAGACTTTCCGCTGGGAGAGGCTTCCCGCAAGAGAACAATACGCCAAACTTGACGGGCGGAGGGAAACCGAACCTAGTTTCTCTTTTCCCGAGCCTTCTATCCGATCTGCCAGTGTACTAAAAATAAATCAGTAAACTCCTCTAATTCCTAGTCTGGTACCCGGAAACCGACCGCGCCGTCAGTCTCATCCATGGGCCTTTCCCCTTGGTACTGTTCCTATTTCGAGAGTAGCTTAGAGGATTGGTTGAAGATTGCGAATGACACATTTATAAGATGGCATATGCGGATGGTACCCTTTCATGGGGGTGGTGAGCTGGTGCTATCATGTGGAGACCGACATTGTGTGAAGAACCAGACGAGGCCCGTTCCCCGAACAAATTCCCGAACAAGAATACCGAGAGGTATGCGTATCGATGAACAATGTCGAGATGCTTAACGAACGAGGGCGGGGGAGAGAGGCTCGGGTCCTCGAGTGGGTCTGGTGTGAAGAGAAACGCTCTCAATGGAGCTGACCTGGGAGCTACCGATTTGCAGTGATCGATAAACTAGAAAGTAAATATTGATATAGAGTCTTTCCTACATGGAAATAAACCTCTCATAATTAATATTCAAGCAGAAAATATGAAAATTTCGCGCGTAACGATAGATTTTAGCCCCGTATTATGGTGGTGCATTGGTGCTTAAAAGCCAAAATGCTGCGTGGACGCGGCGTTGGTTCTACATAGGCGATGAGGAGAGCCAAAACAAACCCCACATCGCACCTCCCTCACCTAAAGTTATCAACAACCTCACCTCAACAACACAACACAGCACGCGACAGACTCACGATGAACCTCCCAACCCTCTCCCTCCTTACAACCCTCCTCTCCCTCACCCACGCCCAGTCCCAAATCCCCCCAGGCCTCCCCTTCGTCATCAACACATGGGGCGGCCCCTTCACGGCCGCCACAACAGCCGCCTACACCTCCCTCCTCAGCCCCACCACCACGGCCCTCGACGCCGTCGAAATCGGCTGCTCCACGTGCGAGCGCAACCAATGCGATGGCACGGTAGGCTTCGGCGGATCTCCCGACGAATCCTGCGAAACGACCCTCGACGCCATGATCATGGATGGCGCAACGTTGAAGATCGGTGCCGTGGCGGGGTTGCGACGTATTAGGCATGCCGTGGCCGTCGCGAGGAGGGTGCTCGAGTATACGCAGCACACGATGTTGGCGGGTGATTTGGCGACGCGGTTTGCGGTGGAGAATGGGTTTGCGGAGGAGGATTTGGGGACGGAGGAGTCGAGGGCTTTGTGTGAGCAGTGGAGGGAGGGTGGGTGTAAGGGGAATTTTAGGATGAATGTTAGGCCAGATCCGAAGGGTTCTTGTGGGCCGTATGAACCGATTCCATTATCGGGAGGACAGGTTGAAGGAAGAGGACTGTGGGGATATAGCGAGGAAAGAGCGCCGAGGTCGACAAGGACGTCGCATGATACTATCTCGATGATTGCGATTGACAAGGCGGGTAGGATGGCGGCGGGGACTTCGACGAATGGCGCATCGCATAAGATCCCCGGACGCGTTGGCGACGGGCCCATTCCCGGGAGTGGATCCTACGTTGACAGCGAGGTGGGAGGGTGTGGTGCGACGGGAGATGGGGATATCATGATGCGGTTCTTGCCGTGTTATCAAGCTGTGGAGAACTTGAGGCACGGGATGACCCCTGCAGAGGCGGCTGAGGACGCGGTGAGGAGGATGGTGAAGAGGTATCCTGGGATCATGAGCGGCATTGTGGTGGTTGATAGGGAAGGGAGGCATGGAGGAGCCGCTTCGGGCTGGACGTTTACGTATGCATTTAGGGGTGGTGAGATGAATGATACGGAAGTGGTTACGGTGCCTCCGGTGGATGCGGCACTCATCAAGCAGTTTTAGGTTGGATCTTTTTCACTCTCTTATGACTTTAATGTTGGATAGTCGGTTAGGCGTTGGCGTTTGCTAAAGAGCGATGTTCGAATACAGAAAACGGTATTTGATATGATTTCAGCCTGATGCTCGTCATTGATCTGCTGGAGATGAGACTGCAAGGACCTGGAGGCTCGATTCATGTCACTCAGGAATTGATCAATTCGGTGTGGTTAATGGGGAAGAATTAAAGCCCGACAGTTCCCGGGTAGCTCTCATTACCAGGCCGTCCCTCTTTTTCATCTTATAAAACACTATGCTCAATCTGCAGTGAGGTTAAAGTTGTGCCTCGGATTCTGGGGTAAAAATGCGCTCGGTGAAGCTCGGTGAAGCTCGTCCCGATCAATGGCCGACACAAGCCGGAAGAAAAGCCGAGCCGACCAAAGCTCTGCAAAACGTCATTTCTTCCACGAAAGCTCCCCGGAAACCATTGAAACCCTCCTCCACCATCCCCATCCTCCCCATCAATTGACCATCAATTGATCCAACCTCAATCCCAACTCTCTTCCCTCTTCTCCCAATTCCACAACCGAAAAAAATGCCTACACGAACCCTCCTCCGCCTCGGCCAGCGCGCCCCCATGCGCATCACCTCCACCACAGCCCGCCGCTTCTACTCCGCCGAATCGACCGAGCCTCTCATCCGCGTGACGAATCTCCCCGCTCCCGGCTCGGGCCACATCCGTGTCCTCGAGCTCAATCGCCCCAAGGCGCGAAACGCCATCTCGCGCGCGCTGCTGACCTCGCTGCGGCAAGAGATCGACGCCGTGCACAGCCAGTACGGCGAGAACGGCGAGGAGCTACCTCCCAAGAAGATCTTTGGGGGCGCGGCGGGGGTTGATGAGAAGGGACCTACGAGGGCGGTGGTGTTGGCTAGCGCTGTCGAGTCGTGCTTTTGCGCCGGGGCCGATTTGAAGGAGAGGAAGGGATTCACTAGGGAAGAGTAAGGCTGGCCCCTCCGTTTCCCTTCATTTCACTGCTCCCTTGTCTACAGAGGAGGATGAATATCTAACGAAGAAATGACCTCATAGAACCGAAATCTTCCTCACGAACCTCCGAGGCACATTCTCCGCCCTATCCACAATCCCCGTCCCCACCATCAGCGCCATCTCCTCCCTCGCTCTCGGCGGCGGTCTCGAACTCGCCCTCTCGACCCACTTCCGCGTCCTCTCCTCCAACGCCGTAGTCGGTCTCCCCGAGACCCGCCTCGGCATCATCCCCGGCGCCGGCGGCACCTACCGCCTCACGGGCCTCGTCGGCCTCTCCCGCGCCCGAGACCTCATCCTCACGGGCCGTCGCGTGTCGGCGCCCGAGGCCTACTTCCTCGGTATCGCCGACAGGCTGGTTGAGGTGACGGAGAAGGAGGACGCGGCGGCCGGCGAGACCGGTAGCGTCCTGGAGAGGGCGCAGAAGGCGGCGCTGAGCGAGGCTGTGAGGTTTGCGATGGAGATTTGCGAGGGCGGACCGGTTGCTATTAGGGCTGGGTTGGAGGCCGTTGGGTGGGCGAGGGAGGAGATGGAGAACAAGATGTATGAGCGGGTTGTGGCGACGGAGGATAGGGATGAGGCGTTGAAGGCGTTTTCTGAGAAGAGGAAGCCTGTGTTTAAGGGCAGGTAAACAAGTGTTTTTCTAGGGATTTATAGAAGATCTAAGGAAATTCAATTGTTAGAGATGGGGAACTACGCTACGTCATTCTATCTATCCGTGATGGCATTCGTTTTACGACTGAGTGATTGATAGAGTGTGATTCGCAGTTCACAGCACGACCAATAATCAGTTATCCCAAGTGGCAATGGTTCGGGAGCCCATATTAGGTGTTCCAGTACTTGTTGGTGTTTTAGGATTCTCTGAGCCCGCGGAAAGGTACTTGGCGATTGTCTCTAAGAGGTTATCAGTCCGAATCCACCTTTTGTCAGATCGCGATCTCTTTGTCTCTTCATATCGTGTTCGATTCAGATTCCATTCCATCCAATCTACTGTCGACTTCTCCTGGTTCCCCATTGCCACACGTCTCTCTTCGTTCACCCGTACTCTAGCAACACTGTGTAGACCCTGATAATCCCACCATCCACCACCCTCAATCTCCTGAGCAGCGCCTCCCACGAACCCTCCTCACCCTCCCTCGCCCATCCATCCAACATCCATGACATCACCAAACGTCATCGATGAGCACTGTGGCCACGAGCCTGCTCTATATAAGATTCGATCAAATCACACAATCCCAACGGCACCGAAGTTCCCAATCACATCAGAAAATTTCAGGAAAGCCTGTTGACACATTCATCCTCCATCTCTCCCTCTTTATATCAAGTCCCAAAGATCCAAGAAGCAGCGCAAAATTCCCCATAAAAATGTCCGTCACAAAGATTCTCGCCGGACGAGCATCGATATCCCCCCGCGCTATAACTCCGCGGATCCTCCTCACCAACGCAGCCACTCGCCACTTCCCGCGGACCTTTTCCACGACGACGCCCGAGCAGAGGACTGTCACCGAGTCCGTCAAGGATAGCCTGAAAAAGGCAGACCGCGTCGTCAGTGACAAGATCGTCGGCGGGATTGACATCGGAGGTATAGTTTTCCCCATTCCTAGCCCTTCCTCTCCTTCAACATCCGCCACTCATCTAGTCTCCTATGAACAATAAGAAGCTAATAGAATCATCAAACATAAAGCCTCCGTCGCACACAAAGTCAAGGACGCAGGTGACGACGTCCTCCACGGCAGAATGCCTGGCCACCATGTGCCGGGATCAACTGCCAAGGCCAGCCAGGCAGCGGGAGAGGAGCCGGAATTAGACACTACTGAGCTGTTGGAAGAAGCAAGGAACGCGGCTAGGGAAGCTAGTGGTGAAGCCGGCGGAGCTGCGGGTAAGTCCAAGGAGAAGGCGTAGAATGGAGGAAGGGATCAGGGGATATCGCTCAGAGTGGGCTGGTAGGGCAGAAAAGGGGGCGTCTGGTGCTGCTTGGGAGTGCCGGGTGGCGAGGTCATCGCGGTCTCGAGGAGCTGGGAGTGGGGAGAGGGAGAGGGAAAAGAAAAAGAAAAAGATTGGAATAATGTAAAAGGGGTATTTGAACGCCATGTATGAAAACGGCTGTATGATTGATATGAGGTTACTGTTTCACAACTGATTCGCGAGATGGACTTACCTGGAACTTTGGTCCTTCCCGTACCCGTAATTAGACCGTTGGTGTTGCCTAACTTACAACAAGCGTAAATCAACTTATCCCCGACGAACTCCAAATAACACCATATAGTACATCATAGTGCATCATAGTACATTACAGTACATGTAGCGCCCATGTTCTATCACGCCGACTTCAACTCGCCCTCGAAGGCCACCTGTCCGTCTGTTGCTCTCCTTAAACATACCGAATTGGAAAGCAGCTTGACTCTCCGGCAGAGCTCCAGTAGGATTCCTGGATTAGTACCCAAACTCTACGTCAGGCTTCTTGCTCCGCCTAGTTCCTCTTCCGGGGATTTCTAGCGCTCAGCCTCAGCCTCTGCATATGGAAGCCGTCGTTGTCGTTCAGGCTACCTCTAAAGGCCCTCTGATGGCCAGTTTTCCGCCGACATGGCGGGCAAAGGCCGCTCTCCCGCCGGACGCCTTCTTTTCTGAGGCCGTAGCAGCCGCCTTGGCTGGCGCGGGGGCAGGGGGAGACCACTACGTACCCGAAGTAGTGGTAGCAGGATGTGTACTGGATGTGTTCTGCCACACACATGGTTTCCCCCAGTGGTTAGCCCAGGAATACTGGAGACTAGGGTATGAAGGGGGAAGAGAGGGGGGGCTTACCTTGATGGTAGGAAAGGCTCCCTCATCTACGGGTTTGTTCGTGGGACTTGACGGAACCCCAGAATTAATGGGAAAATCTGGAGGAGAGGAGGAGAAAGGAGGTTGGTATAAAAGAGAACTCGTTTCTGCAGCTTGTGTAGGCCGCTTGATGAGGCCAATGGAAAAGCTGATAGAGGTTTGCAATCGTGATATTATAAGCTTCCACAAGGCGCTATAGTCAAGGGTCAAAGGGGTAAGAGGTCTCTCAGATGCCTTCGCAGTTTGAGCACCTAGTAGCTTGCCACACTCGATAGCCAGCATCTTCAACACTCCTTGGCGTACTCGGGAATATATATATACTAAGCCAGACGTCTCATTGAATGATGGATCTAGATCAGGCACCTTGTTCACCTTGTCCAGCTTGAGTCAAAGCCGAAGACTCTTTCGAGACTCCACAGCATTGTTCGGGGCCTCTGCCAGCTCCACAACGTCAATGGCATTGAGAAGGTAACAAAGAGACATGGAGGTTGAACAACGCATTGTACAGCTAACAATGTCTCTTTCACGCTTGTGTTGATAATCCTCTCTAAGGAACTAGGCGGAAACCCTTTGTTACCAACTAGAAGAACTATGAGGTGGATGTTCAGCACTTGCAATGTCGGGCAAAGGTATGCTCCAGGTTCAAGGCTGCAGGGGAATTCGCCAAACAATATCTAGATGTGGCGGTATTTAGAGCGAGAACAACTCTTTAATATTATATCAAAGGAAGTAGGCAGAGACAGAAGATAACTCCTTACGGATCTTGATCACTCAATGCCCTAGACAGTCCACTCGAACCAGCCAACTAGGCATCCAGGGCCTAGATGCAACTTTATTATGATACCCTCCAACAACAACAGAACAGGAAAATCAACAATGAAATGTACCGACGCCACCACCTCCCAACAAGGTAGACACGGGCATCCCCCTCCCCTCCCATCCTTCTTACTCCCAAGAGAGTAAGACAGGAATGCCGGGGAAGATGACAGGACAAGCCCAGCCCAGTCGGAAGAGCAAATGGTCAAAGTCTGCGTGTAAATCCAAACCAGCCCAACGCCCCCACCCGAGGTATGAAAAAAGTAATCCGATCCCTTATCCTGTTTGCCTCCGAAGAGGTGTACTAGGGAAGCGGGAATGGGCTTTTTCCCACCTTTTTTCCCAACCTGTTAGGTAACGCCGGCTCTCTTTTGAAGATTGATGTACCGCTCGTAATACAAAGCTGAAAGGATTGATCTCTCCTTACGCTCCACCATACCGTGCGGAATGTTATAAAGAAGGCAAAGCGCCTCCGAAAGAAAGGGGGCAGAAAGGGGGAGATCACGGAAAACAGAGAGAAGAGGAGGAATACTGGCGCAAGGCCAGTTGGGAAGAAAATCATTGCCCTACGGGGCCTGTTTTATATCTCGTCGTTCTTTTTCTTTTTCGCCATATCCATCAAGGGGTATCGTACATCCATCTCCAAAGCTCTTCATGTATAATCCTCGAAAAACACCCTCTTCTGACCACTGCCTCTCAAGTCCTCCAACTCACTTAGCGTCCGGTCAATCTCCATGAGATCAAGCATCTCCACTTCGACGTCACGCTCCGCGGCGTCTTCTTGGACGTCAGCCGCCGCGCTAATGCTCTCGGCAAAGGCGAGTCCCGTCCTCGGTCGCGAAGGTAAGTTCAGGGTACCGCGATCAGCGTCGCCATCAACCGACTCCTCGTCGCCCGGTCGCGCAAACTTGGTGGTGCGCACGCTGCCGAATTTGCCACTGTTGAGGTTGAAGGACACCTTTTCGGTCGCATCGGGTCGAGGGTGAACGATTATGGCACTGGGGAGAGAGCTAGTCCTATCGCCCAAGAAGCGCCGCCTGCCAATAACTCCCCCAATCTTCCGGCCGGGACCCTCTTCCGACTCTCGAAGGACCACCAATCTCGACTCTCCACAAATTAGGACCTCGACGCCGAGGCCGCCGTCGCTCTTGGAATCGCCTTTCGCCTTGGCCAGATCTACTATCGCACTCACGCCACAACACCTCTCACCGAGTAAGCCGACTCCAAGGTCGTGAAGCTTGATCATCCTCGTGGGCTGCGCACCACTAAAGAGATTTACTCCGCCACCACTGCTCTTGCGAATCTGCGCGCTCCAAAAACTAGTAATTCCCGGAATGACGCAGACATGTTCGGCAGATCCTATCCACAGAACCACGCTCTCATCGGAACCCACGGCACCAGAGACGGGGTGAGCCACGACGGAGATACCGCCCCTTGTTGCCGCGAGGCGTCCGTGGGGAATCGCTCCGGAGCTTAGAGAGACTTGCGCATCCTTTCTTGTGTGCGGCGTCATGGGGACAAACTCACCAGATGCGCGGGGCTTGTCTTCGGGGGCACCTGCGCGCAGGGGACTAGTGCCCTCGATATAGCCTGAAACAGCAAAGGAAGTCGTGGCAGCGCCGATTATCCCGGAACTGCTCTTCCCCAACACAGTTGTTCCGGACGGTCTCACACCATCGATATCCCAAATACCCCAGGTTCCATCAGCTAATAAAACCAGGATAGCCCTACCATGCGAGATCCAGGCTGCGTCCACAACAGGCTTCCTGTGAGGTGAATTGCGGGAGAAGGGAGGATAAAGAGATAGGAGCCATGAGCCCTGCGAGGGAAATGGTCCGGTTGAAAGCTCGTCGGGAGAAATAGATGGGGTCGCGTAGTCGTATATCCGGACGGCGTGCGTCGTGGAGACGGCGAGGAGTTGAGTCATGTGAGATACGTTGAACGATATGGAGGAGAGTGGGGAAGGGAGAAACTCGGTTTGGAAAGGCTCGACGGGGCTTTGTGCCATTCCTACTTTGAGGTCTAGTGATATATCCCAGAGGCGGAGGGTACCGGAAGCTTCGAGGTTGTGAGCGGCCACAACAGCACGGGGCGTCGAAGGAGTCGGTCCTTCTTTCTGGCTAGGCCTCGATGTGGAGGGCGATGGTGACTTAGGCTTAATAAGTGTGATCGCGAGACCGCCGCTATGCTGCGTCTGGCCGCTAAGGAGGACCATGGATTCGCCCCAAACACCAGAGCCGGGTCTTCCTGCCAACAGCCCACTCCGCAGCTCGGGTCTCGCTTTGCTCTCTGGGGATGGCGGCGTGAGAGGTAGAGTAAGGAGGTAGACCTCGCTATTCGCGCACGAGACAGCGAAGACAAGCCTCTCCTTCAGCAAATCCGACCCGCCCCACGAGGCATCGTCGGCAGTGGTAGGAGGCAGAGGGAGAACTGCAATGTGGAGGCCGGCAGTGCCTAGCGCAAGGTCTAACTTCTGAACAATGTCGAGGTACGGCTCATTTGGTATCTCGTCTTCGAACTCGGGATTGTCAACAAACGGCAAATCCTCTTTCTTTGACGCAGGGGGCTCGTCTTCGTCCGAATCGATAATCATGACAGCATCTTCCGAAGTACCATTCTGTTTTTCGTTATTGACAGGAGGCGGCTGGGGCTTCGCAAACTTGAAGCGGCGACCGCCTCGCCAAAGAAGGGTGACACCGTTTTCATGCCCGTAGATGATGATGGTCGCGCCCTGGGGAGAAAGGCCGGGGTAGACTTTGACATCGTGGACGCGACGGGAGAGGTTATGTCTGCACACAAACAATTCATCGGTCAGCGAAGCGGGAACCGGAAAAAGAAGCTAAACATTCCACATACGTAAATTGGGTGTTCTGCGCCGTGCGGCGGATCCTAGGAGCTCCGAAGCTCGTCATGTTTGTGGTCGCTTGAGCTCAGCAGGGTGGGACGGGGAAAGATACAGTGCTAAGGATGGCATCAGTAAGAGGGTCTCCGGTTGAGGGAGGGGAGCCGCGAAATGGCCCTAGAGGTGATTCCCAACTAGAGGTTGTGGGTGGGTCTGCTTTTCCTGTTTTTGAGGAGGAATCAATTCTTCTCACAAGCTTCGTGGTAAGGGAAGCGCGTCATGTTGACTCGCAGACTCAAAATGCGATGAAGCTCAGATTTGGTAAAGACACGTGATTCACACTTGTCTACAGCTGTTACCGAGTGACATGTAATCCCTCACTCCTCGAGAGAGACGCTGACCTAACACCACTTTTCCAAATAATTCGTCGTAGAGGATCGCTTCGCAAAATTATTCCGATATTTCTAAAAAAAAAAAAAAAAAAAAAAAAAAAAAGGCCTCGAGAATATTTTCTACCATTTTTTTTATAACCCAGTCTGATGCTTAGCGTTTTCGAACGTGGCCAAGAGAGGCCGCCTTACGGACACCCAATGTCGAGGACTGGCCGCCACTTGGCGAAGGTGGAGGATCCGAAGAGCAAATGGACGGAGGAGGGTGTTTTTTCAAGGACTTATGTATAAAAAGTACAGAGAGTATGTGGATCTGGAAGTGTACGATGTACCTGTACTCCCAAGGTTCTATTTCATCTATAAAGGCTGCCACAATGCTGGGCATTGCGGATCTGGATCTGAAAATTACCATTACCGTAGGCAAAGTCAGACCCTTGCACCATTCCATCGTTCCTCGAACATCTATCCAGGATAAACCCAACGGCACGGGCAACGTCGTTACTAGAAGGCATCATAGTAAGCATTAGCCTTGTCTCAAGACTGGCAGGGCTTTGGCCAGGTTTACCAATTCGAAGTAGTATCTGACACACCGTTGCCGGCTCCCCCGAAAATCTTAGCGGTCCGGTGATCACACATGATGGTGTAAGTGTTAGCACGGCAGTTGATGCCTCTACGTCCCTTGTCGGCGAGGTAGTTGGCACATGTAACGGCATCATCTATCTAGGCTGGTTTTTAGCATGCTGTTGAGAAGAAACACTGCTGGATCAATTTTACCTTGGCTTCGCAATTAAGTAACTGGTTACACTGTGTTTCTCGTTTCTCCAGGCCGTCTCGGGCTAAAACTTTTTAGTATAAGTGTCGCTTCGAGAAAGCTGGTTAAAGAAGGGAAGGGGGGGGGGCTGCGTGTTGCAACGGCTTACGTCCAGATAGCTCGGTTTGGTTTACGGAGAGCTCCCACGCCGCGTAGGCTTCCTCAGGCGTCAGGTTGTCGCCGTCTGGGTTCTGGATGATTCCTTCGATCCATTCCGCAAAGGAGAAGACGCCTACAGATGGCGAGGACTCTAGAGCCACTTCGGCAGCGGACAAGGTTGCCAAAGTGGCGAGAAGGAGGTTGGTGAAGAGCATTTTGAACACTGACTGGAGCCAAGGAGTGTCAAGTACACAAGACCTAGAGCACAAATGGCTTGATGAGAGAAAAGAAGATTGAGAATGAAGGAGACGGTGGCGGGTAAGCCATGACTACTTATGAGTTATGGGTCTTTGAGAGAAGTATGGGGCGGCTCCGGGTCAACTCAACTTGAACGACACAGGAAATTGCTGTCACCTGCTGTTGGTTTCTTGGCCGTCCGTTTCCCCGTCCGAACAACAGCATGGCCAACCTTAGCCACTGGAAATTGGACTCTTGAGAGAGGGGCTTGCAGGGGAAGGAGGAAAGCGGACGCTACCTCGGGCAGGTGTATTATAATGTGATGGAGCCAATGAGATCCACCTGAGTCCCGCTTTGGTGGTTCCGCGCGGTCTGGGCATGCATATACGATCCCAATTGCTAAAGGAAATTGCATTGTCCAGGACACGGGCATAAACCATCTTTCTCTGTAGTGGTACGGTATTTTCATGATGCAACAGCTCCAAGATTTCAGGCTTGCGACGGTTCCTACCAAGTGAAGCATCATTACTTTGCCTTGCCCGTCAGAGCCGCTCCTGATATGACCCATTTCACCGCCACCCATTCTAAAGCGGAAGCACAGGCCCAAATCGTGAATATTGAGTGAGGGCATTCAAAATTACCCTTAGATAGATGACTCTACGAAGTAGCTGAGTTTATGTTAGTAGTGTGTTTGTTGGGGGGGCATCAATGCGGGCAGCATCAAATGTTACCTGGATGACCTCCTCTTCGCCGAACCCCACATCGAAAACGAACGTCTCGTGGAGACAAAGGGCCTTTTGCGTGATGCCTACTCATACAAGTGGATCCTCGACCATCCCGACTTCCCGCAGATGGCGCGATGACAAGCACGGCCGCCTGCTATGTATCAGGGGTGATGCTGGCAAGTGGTATTGTTGACGAAGTCTCGTGCAGCGCGAGACGGCCAATCCACGAGTCGAGAACCTTTAATCTCCCAAAGTCGCTGTGGACTTCCATATCCGGCCCGATTTCCGCGCGTCCCCACTGGCCGAACGGGTAGGACCGCCGGCCGCAAGCTAAATCGGGCGCCTACCGACCCGCTGTAGTTACAGGAAAGGCGAACATTCAAGGATAAAAATGTGTTCTCGATATCCTACATCTCTATGAGAAGGTTTCCCGTCGGATCATGTTTTTTTTTTCTTCCAGTAAAATATAACCGTTTATTTACTCAATTTCTTTGCTCTTTGTGCTACTTTGACCACAATCGCCTCCTAAGGCTACGCGAGACGATCATTGGGGAGTCCAGGAATAGGTCGCACGCATGATGTAGTTGTCTTGGCGCTTAAGTAAACCAGGGTTCTAGAAGGCTATGTGTAACCATCAGACTAGCTAAGTGCAACGGGTAGACTTAAGAGCAAGGAAGCGACAGCGATGTGACACCGAATCTCTTTCGCTCCCTTGCTAGCGTGTAGGCTGGTCTGAAGTCATGAATGTCCTGTAATCTGGCCTCATTAATCTTTCCATTGTTTGACGAAGAAGGGTTGAATCCCGTGCCGTTGGGGGCGTCGAAATGAGGGCTTGCCCTGGGCTGGCTGAGCGTTCGGGGTCTGGGTCTTACTGGGTTGGGGTGGTTAAACGTGGAATATCGCACCTCTCTTGCTGGGCAAGCGAGTCGACACCCTCGACAGCGAACTGGCATCCCCCAACTTGTCTAACGAGATCATGCTCAGATTTATAGACCTTAGGGGAATACCTTCATGCTGAGAGGTTTAAAAGCTGCCTAGGGGACAATTCTCCGGATATTGGGAACGCTTGGATTATTCTCGAACTCTACCTGAAGCGTCTTGACCGTTGTCGTTATCATATTACATCGATAGCTCATAACAAAATATACTATTCTTGATTTGCGCAACACTAAAGTGCTCTAGGAGACAGGTGAAGGGTACATAATACTACTAGAGGACACGCCTGACCGCAAGAGTAGGGTTTCGAGCTCGTCTGATAAAGAAAGGTATTGGGTATTGTGCGTTGCAATATGTAAGGTTACACGCGAGAGCGCATTGTGGCACGGGACTTGCCGTCAGAATGACTCAGCTGTGGAGACCGGTCGGAACACGGTCAGGGAAAAAAGGGGTCCTCACAGCATATACAAGTCAGTCTTAGGGCAAGTTGAAGTTTTGAGCATCAATTGACTTTTGGTTGAACCCGATTCTTAGTGACACTGGTCTTTCCTCGAGCTATACACAGGATATCCTTACAAAAAGAAACAAAATTATATTCTTTTAAGATTAACAAGAGAAGGGGGAAAGGGTTGAGGAGGTTGGCTGCGACAGAAAAGAGCACAGTCTGTCATGATGCTATTCAGATGAAGACTTGACTCAACACATCACGTTTCAATCTGCGTGACATTCCCTTCTGCTCACTATGCAAGCAAATAGTCGATCGATCCCGAAGACCAAACCCTTCAGAAAGTTCTCCTAACAAAACATCATCTAAACAACGCATCACTTCATCCGCTATTTCTTGCACTTCTTCGGCGCAGGCTTCTCAGCCTCCTTCTCCTTCTCCACCGCGGCCTTAGCATCTGCCAAAATCTCCTCCGTCGCCTTAGCGGAAAGCATAGCGGTAGGGAGAACCGGGAAGGCACCAGGCACGCGCGGGAACGAGCTAGCGTCAACGACCCTCAAATTCTTCACGCCCCTCACCCTAAACTTGGAGTCCAAAACAGCATTCTCATCATCGTCGGCACCGATGGCGCACGTCGACGTAGCGTGGTGCGAGTAGGCCTGGAGCTTGAAGCTTTCGGCCTGCTCTTCGACGGTACAGTTTCCAGCACCGGTCCCGGGACAAGGGTGCAGCTCGTCGTAAGGGAGGACCGTGTCGCCGGCGACCTGCCACGACTCTCGGAGCAAGTTCGCGGCCTCGACGAGCTCTTTAAGATCCTTGTCGCCCTCGTGCTCGAAGAAGCGGAAGTTGATGTCGGGGCTATCCTGGGGATCAGAACTGGCGAGACGGACGCTACCGGCCTGGGACTTGGGGTTCATGTGGACCATGGCACAGGTGTACTCGTCCGCGCCATAGTCCTCGGGGAAGCCGGGCCAGAAGCCCTCGAAAGCGAAAGCGCCGCACCAGGCAAAGATGTTCCTGTTCTCGGTGGGAGCCGAGGGTGTGCGGAAGAGTACCGTGATGCGCGACCCACCAGTGGGACCCTTTCCGATGGCGAGGACGCTTCCCTCGTAGTTATCGCCGAGATTCTCACCGACGCCAGGGAGGTCCACAACGACGGGGATCTCGAACTTTTCGAGCTCGTCCTTGGGTCCGATACCGCTGAGCTTGAGAATCTGGGGGCTGTTGAAAGCACCTCCGGAGACGATGACCTCCCTCTTCGCGTAGAAGCGCGTAAGCGTCTTGTTGCCCTCGGGGTCATGGCGGGGGTCAGCCCTGTAGACCGATTGGCCCTGGAGAGCCTCGACGCCAATGGCGGTCGGGGTCTCGGCTTCCTCGTCGAAGAGGACCTTGGTGACAAGCGTGTTGAGGGCTAGCTTGAGGGGGTACTTGACCTCATCGGCGAGGGTGGCTTTGATGTAGTCGTTGGGGCTCGAACGACGGCCCCGGCTGTCACCGTGCTGGGCCATGTTGTAGAAGCTCGAGAGGTGGTCTTCGCCGCCGGCGAGGATGTCCTTGTTGACGAGCTCGCCGACTTTTTCGGGATCCTGGTCGGTGAGCTCGGCGAGCTTGGTGAGGATCTTGTTGGCGGGCCAGTCGCCCTCGGTTGCCCACGAGGAGTCGCTGGTGGAGATGGACATCCATCCTATGAGATCCTAAGTCAGTTTTCTCGGATTCCGGCACTTTTCAGAGTTTATTCTTGGAGAAAACACTCACCATTGAAGCCGTGGCCCTCGGAACCCGCAGGCATGTACAAGTTCTTCTCCGTCTGAACCAAATACTTCCTCATATTCTCCGCCACCCACGTATCATCCCCCGTAATATTCGCAATCCAATTCCACTCATCCGCCGACGGCAACGAGCAAACACCCGCATTATGCATCGCGCACCCACCCAGCGTAGCAGCCCTAGGATAATAAATACCCAGCTGCTCCGCCCCCTCCGGCGGGTCCAACCCGACGTAGAACCCGCCGTCGGCGGTCCTCCACGTCAGGCGCTCGTACTTGAGCTCCCTTTCGGCGTCGTCCGAGTGCTTGACGAAGAAGTCCCATCGCGTGCGCTCGTCGTTGCCGGCGACGTTGAAGTTGGATAGCTCGCGGTACACGGATTGGTCGCCGTGGTCGTCGCCCGCCTCAACGAGGAGGGTCGAATAGCCCGCGCGGGCGAGGTTGGCAGCTAGGGGGCCGCCGCCTGGACCGCTGCCTACGACGATGTAGTCATAGGTTTCGTACTCGGGCTCGTCGGCGGCGAAGGACACCGCCGCGAGGATGGAGGCCAGAAGGAGACTCTTCATGGTTGGGACAGCCTTGGGGGCTACCTGGTTTGGCAAGGAGTTTGCTCAAGGTAACCAAAACTTGAATTGGGGTTACCTCAGTTCACGCCTCTTAGTACTAAGTGTATAAATACAACCAGAGTCCACAATGGGTAGAGAGGGTAGCAAACGAAGGGAGAAGGGAGGAGATCCACCGTTGACTTCATCCGCCGAACCTTGCGTGGGTATTCTCTTCCTTTTCAACCTCCGGAAGACCTCTCAATGACATAGAGGTTCGTCCGGGTCCTTCTTACGCCTGAGCTCTCGTCCTTTTCCCCTCTCCTTTTCTCTTCCTTTCTCTCATAAAATCTGAGCGGCCGCTCTGATTGTCCAATGCTGATTCGAACCACGAAGCACTGCCGGTTTTCCATCATTTCCCCGCTCCGTGTCCATGCTCTCCCGCAGCCGCATACTGGAGTGGTTTTTTCCCTTTGGGATGTCAGCTGCAGAGCCGTATTATCCCATATTTCATTTTGCGTATGGGAAAATATATTGTATACCCGATAGAGGATAGAGAGAATAGACCATAAGCTGACTGAGGTATGAGCGACCCTCTTGCACGAGCTCTCCTCCGAGCTCTCACCCGAGTTTCTCTTTTCTATCCTCCCAATTGATTCAATTGGGCATTGTATCATCTCTATTGCAGCGTCGTTTTCCCGTTCCTGCATTTGTTAGCTCGAATTGGAACCCCCAAGCTCCTCAGATAATCCCATTGTTTCTGCACAGAGGAGGGCGGGTATCGAATACAATTCCTCTGTCCCTGCAAGCCGAACAATGCTACTGGTGGCTAATAACACCGGGCGAGTCTAACTTAGCTTCATAAAACCTTCATTCTCGATTTCTTCAGGCGGTGGAAAAGTGATCAATGATATTTCTTTCTAATATACTTTCACTTGGATAAATGACATCTCCCCTTCCCCGGAGCCGCCTTTGATCTCGATTCTCCCCTCTTTGCATTTTTGTCGTTTTCGCGCAAAGCTTCCCCCCTTTTCCTTTTACTTTCCTCCCCGTTTCCCTTTCTACTTCTTCTTCTTCTTTCAATCTCCATGCCGAGGAATTGACTTGGTGTCTTGTTTCGGAACCAAGTTCTTTCCATAATCATTAAACCTTGTTCAAAGAATCGGAAGTTTCCACGGGTGACGGAAAATAGTGATCGGCAGACAAGCTCCGTTGGTAAATGGCGGAAATACACCGAGAGCCCTAAAGCCCAACCCTCCAGTTCCGGATCTTCGGCGAGGGCGGGATGGAGATCGTATAATAAGCGATCAGACCAGTTCCCCGACTCTTTATGCAAGGCCATATGAGAGCAAAGACGCGGCGCTCATGGTAGGCCACCATGTCTAAATTATTAGAAGTCGAGGTTCTTCAATGGCCTATCTAGTGGAGAGATTCGTGTTAGTCCCGGTGCGGAGGAGGAAACGTCAAAGGCTAAAAGACATGATTTGCTCAAGCTGGAAAAGGCGGCGGTGGAGCGAAATGTGTACTCTCTATTTTCAAAGTGAGACTCTGCTGGCGAGTTTCATTTTGAATAAGTGAGGTGATTTGACCAATTCATCCTTGTATCTTGGCCGCTGCCGCGTCGGTATGCCAATAATTTGGGAATCGAGGTGGGACGCTTGTGAGAGAAGCCTGAAGGCTCGTTCCCCCGGGCTTCACGACCAATCTCATCAAATACGACTGAAAGCAATGGAAAAATACAATTCATCGAACGCGATCAAGCGGATCGAACAAGGGAGAACGAAAAAAACCCATGCATTAAATTCGAGATATTGAACCATCATTGCGTATCCAAACATCCCGTCCCATTCAATATCAGCGTCGATCACTTCATCCATCCATCCCAGGTCTCAGGTTTAAGTGATATACTTGAAATCGGGGTGGCGGTAGCCGAGATCTCGGGCCTCATGTGCACTTAGTCCTTCGAGCCTGTGGTCTCTCTTACCAGACCTCCTCATCTTATTCTCCCACATGCAGTACAGAATGCCGAAGATGGAAAGGAAGAACACCGCAATTTGGCCTCCCAAGTTGATAGAGTGGCCAATGGGGTACGCTGGTCCGTCCGAAGCAACGTAGGTGAAACTATTAAGGTTGGTCAGCATACAAAGCTGGAAGTAGTTATCGGGGGAAGAGAAAGGCACGCACGTTGCTACAATACCACCAATAGTTCCAAGCGTCACAACATAAGCACTCGACACGGCTCGCACTGCAGGACCACCAGTATCTGTCAAAGGCGGGGAAGTTTGTTAGTGCAACCGCAATGCCAAGGCAAACGAGAAGGACTCGCGTCACACTTGAGAAAACATGAAGAGGCAGGCTTATACGTACTGTTGATTGCCCAACTCAAGAATGCCGGACCGCCGGGGAATGCGCCAATGGTAACGAAGAAGACGGCCATGTAGCGGACACTTGGTTTATCCGTGTACCACCGTAAAAGCGCAAAGCCAATAGTAGCAGGAATGGCGAAGACTGCCAGGTAGATACCGCGCCGCTTAGTCTTGTCGCTAATGTAGGCGATCAAAACGGCCACCAAGCATGCGGCTACGTAAGGAGGCACAGTCAAGAGCTGCGGGTTGACATCAATCTTCAAATCAGCAATGATGGTAGGCATGAAGACGGATAGACCCTGGACCGTGATGTTGATCAGGAAGAAGCCGAGAGCGCAAGTGTAATTGTGAAGGCAAAGGAAAGCTCGCTTGATGTGCCTTAGTTCGACCTTGGGTTCGGGATTTTCTCGGTGCTCTACGAGGAGGCGTTCGGCAGCGATGCGCTGCTCCCTTTCCGTGAGAAATTTAGCCTGGGAAGGAGAGGCGGGCAGGAAGAAAGGGGCTATGGAGCCGATGATGACGGTAATGATGCCTTCGAAAAAGAAAATATTCCGCCATTGGTGAAGCCTAGCCCCAGCAGCACCCCATTCGGGAACCTTTGAAAGAGCCGCAGCCAGGAGGCCGCCAAAAGCACCAGCAAGGGAGGCAGCCGACACGTAGATTCCGATGCGGAATAGAAGCTCCCTCCTCTTATAAAAGGAACTAAGGTAGAAGGCAATACCAGGGAACGTGCCTCCCTCGAAAATTCCGAGGATTGCTCTCGCGGCCAACAATCCCTCGTATGACTTGACAAATGCCATGCCAATTGTGACAATTCCGAACCCGACAACGAGGGCGGGAATCCAGAAACGGGGCCCGACACGTTTAAGAATAATATTGCTGGGTACTTCGACGGTAAGGTAGACGATGTAGAAGATTGCGAGCGCCCAGTTGATACGGAGGCCCTTTCCGAGGTCTAAATCTACTCGTAGACCTTGAATTAATGCATTCCCGATGTTGATGCGATCTAGGAACTAGGGGTGGAAGTATCAACAGTTAGCTGGTGGTGAAGCAAGATGCACCAACTGCCCGGACGTTAACTTACACAGAACATGTACAGTACGGTGACCCATGGCACGGTGTGCCAATCAATCTTGTGTCTGATCTTGGTCTCTTCCTCTTCGGTCCAGGTAAACTCGTCTCTCTCATCCTTGGAGGAAGGCGCGTCAGCGCCATCCAAATGCTGGACTACATGAACAGTTAGAAAACAGGTGAGAAAAGTAAACAAGAGAGAAGAGAGCTCATGCTCAGGGGTTTCGCACCGACAATTACTTACTGGCTTCCTTTTCAGAATCCATTCTTGAGCAGGTAGGAGAAGACGCCTGTTAGGAGGAAAAAAGAAAACTGCTTCACGGTCGATCGAAGAGTGGGGTTCTAGAAGTGGCGATGCGGGTTGGACGAGCGGCGAGTTGAGGTGTTGTGTCTCGGGTCGCGAGGGTGGTATCTTAATCTCTTATATGTCGCTTTCTTCCTCGACCACCCTGGTAGTACGAATTAAGGCCCAGGGTTTTCGTGCAGGGTAACAAAACAGAGGACCCTGGTTCTGTTCACTCCAGTTCCCAGCTTCTCCCAATTCTGTTTCTGTGCATGCAGGAAACACGATGAGACTGGTTTGCATCGAAATACTTACTCCGCTGCTTAGCTTCGAAGACCCGAGGGGATGGGCTCCTTGAAAATATTGGGGAGCGGGGGACCTAAGCTGTAGTATACGACGACTCGCGTGGAGGAGAGGAGAGAGCAGCTCCTTCGCATGCCCAGACGGGTCAGGGTTACAGTCCTCGGGCCTATCCAACTTTGAGTATAGGTATGGCACCCCAGGACAAAACGGCAAATACAAACATGCCCCCCATGGGACGGGATTTTGAAAGCACTCTAGAGCTAGAGTCGGCAAATAGATTGGCTCCTAACACCATCGTCGATGATACAGCTACCCATTGGCCAAAACATCCCCTTGGAGCCCATTCCCCGCAGGCTAATGGGCCGGTTGCGGGTTTTGGGGGGGAAAGGCGAGAGACTTTGGTTTTGGTTTAGCTAAACTCTAGCGCAATGTACCCAAACAGTCCGGGTACAGCTCGCGAGCGCACATCATGACGGGAGGAAGCTGTACAGGATGGGAGAATCCGCCCGTTAGTAACATGGGCAGGGATTGCAGAAGAAGTATTGAGCAAGATGGTAGTTGAGAGGATGTGAGCCAACTGGTAGAATACCCTGCGGGGTAATATGACTGCTTCGTAGTTAAAAGGCAATAATACCACCCTCCGCTCCTACGTATTAGTTTCTGGCAGTCGGTGATAGGTACAATTTTATTCCTTTTGAGACGGGAAACTAGGCAGGGTTTCGAACCGTGGGTGAGTGTAATTAGGTACATCGATTGTACCTTTCTGGAAGGTTTAAGAAGACGCAATGATTAATACTGGGGGCACCGGCTGTCCGCGATGCTTCCGTGGTATATCGATGGGTGAATGAATCAAATAGATGTTGGAAAGTCTAGCCGTTACACAGCATTTAGACGAGGCCTTTGACACGGGTGGGATGAGATGCTGGGGCCCAAGGATATGTCTTGTGGACTGATGCCCACATTTCGAGGGGACGTGGCTCGTACCCATGTCTTCCGAGTGTTGGAGTCAAGCCGGAGCTCTTGATGGATTAACTTCCAAGTAGGCTCCGGTGGAGGAAGGAAGTTCCGAGCCGCCTGTCATTTTAGTACTAGCAGCACGAGCTCAGTCTGCAGGAGGGTTCGGGACCTAGAACAACCTCCGAGCAACAGCACAGCGATAGCAATTGTGATGACATTCCCACGTGTCAATCCATGCTGCATTGTGGCTGTCAAAGCAATGTCCTCAATACCTTCTAACAATTGTATCCTGAAAAAGTCAGGAACCACAAATTTCGGTCAAGCTACTGTGTTCCAAGGCGTGCTCTTTCCGCGAAAAGCAAAGCTAAACCGCAAGCTCGCGTGCTCCTTCCCTTAGCCCACAGAGCCCTCTTTCCTCAAGGAGTCCCGGAGCACGGGTTATGTGGGCTCATCCTGAACCCATAAAACCAGTCTCGACTGTTTCCTCTTGCCAAAAAAAGAGGGAAAAAAAAATGGATTAGAATCGGAGTTGGATGGAGGGCCCCAGACCCCGGTTTCCTTTGCCTCCCTCCTCCTTCTCCTTCCTCGGCCGCCAGCTCTTCCACTTGCAACTGCCGTTGACTCCTGGCGCACTCGACTCCGCAACTCCACCTCAACTGGCAGGTCACGATGCATTCCTATTGTTTGTTTTGACCTGCCAAGCTATTTCTCCCCATCTCCAAGATTCGGGTCATTCGACAACAATACGATATGATCTCCACATTAGCTAGGCTGCAAGCAAAAGGAGTAAGATGCGCAGAAGACGCTTACTGGATTGAGCACAACTAGCTGATTTTCCCAGGTTCGCTTCCGTCATCACTGCCGTGTCCAGTGATTGACTATCACAGCACCGCCGAGCTTGTCCCAATTTTGGAGGTTAAGCTTAGTGCGTACCCCAAGACGCACAGACGAAACGCGGGGACACGGTCTCCCCTGCGATTCTCTTGCATCTCTATTGACAAGAGAGGAAAAAGGCATCTACGAAGCAGACTAACTACCCGCCCGTGAAAGCGTCGTATTTTTAGCATTTCTGTTGAAATTCGAGGTCCCATCTTCCCCGGATTTCGACACCGAACTCACTACCGGGTGGAGCTGGTAACCTTGAAACATCTTCCCTCCCAACTCGAGCAAGGGTAATGGGATTGGTTTGGTGAGAGATGATCCTGCAGGTCCCGCCTTCTGTCGAGTCTTATAACATAAACATGTGTCATCAATGTACTTTCCAAACTTCCATCATTGAAATTATTGATTTTACACTTCTTCTTCAAAATCTTCGTATACTGTCAACGCTTCGAAGCGATGCACCATCCTCATTTTGTTAGGTGCTTCGATGTCCGAGGACGTACAGTAGTATTTTGTTCGCTAACATCTACCCGACACCGTTCGATGCAGGGCCCTTGGGGAAGGGGATATCTGCGAGAGTCGACGTGATTGCGCCCCGTGGACCAGGTCTCCGGGGACCCCTGGCGATGATGCAGACGACATCCAGAACTATCAGAAGACATCTTCCCAGTCATGGATCCTACCTGCAGTCATGGGGGCTCTTCGCCTCACGTCGAATGTTAGCGACAGAACGATCAAGAGCCTTTGCCAGAAGCGAGACCCGGCAGGTTGAAATATAAATCAGGCCATTACCCGCAACATCTGGATCCTGGCGAGCCTCATCTTTACCTTCCGCGGCAGTTCGTGTCTCCCTCTGCTGACAACTTCTGAGATAGCGGCTATCACCCGTTTCTTTTTTAATTCTTTTATTCGTTTTCGCTTCTTCTTTTGTGTTATTTATTTATTTATTTATTTATCCATTTTCATTTTGCTTTTCCTCCGTGGACAAGGACAATCCCGCCCGATCTTACCTCATTTGCAAGTGTCGTGTCGTCGTCTTCGTGACCTTCCAGAACCGCTGGCGAACCCATTCCCCCTCCCAAAACTTGATGAGCAGAACTCTCCCGTGTTCAAACCCCGATAACCTTCGCTCATTCATCGACTGCGACCCTATCCGGAAGCTGCAGCATTAGCGTGGACTATTCCCCCGCCCGAGATCCCCGAAAACCTTCTTCCCCCACACTTTTGATAAGAGACCAATCCCCAGTCCCGATGTAGCCGGTGACAGAAAAATCCGTGCGGAAATGCAAGCCACTTTAACTCCACATGGGTCGAAGCGAGGACTTTGACACAAGCCACGAGAGGTATCGTGGTCCAATCATGGGGCGTCTTTTCTCGCATTTTCTGGTGGTCACTGTCGAGGAATCTATCGAAGGTCCGGGACGGGGACAAGGAAAATCAATATGTTCATCAATGAAAAGAAACATCGAATGATTGCCCCGTCTCATGCGCTCGTCTACTTCGCTTCCCGCCAGCTGCACGTAGGGTGGGGTGTGGTGTGGTGTGGCTTGTTCACCAGAAGAACATTAGGGGAAAACAGATATCTCAATATGGCATCCCTTCCGTTTCGCGAATAAAGTAAGAAAAATATAAGAAAAAAATACAAACTTTAATTTCTGATAACATCAATCCTTTCCATTATAAAAAAAAAGGCCCGTTGAGTTCCTCCTTATATTGCCCCCCTCTTCTATGCACCCCATCCCATCGGAATTTCGAGTGCAGCATGCCGACCGAGCCTCTTCTCTCGTCGCTTCTCTCAACAGCAGGTGTCCCTGACGTCCTGCTCTCCTATCCCTCCCTCATCAGTAATGTAATAATAGAGTGGTAACACAACAGAAGATCGCCCTTCCCTTCCCTTGACCTCGCCGAATTTTGGCCGTCGTAAAATGGAAGAAATGAAAAAGAAAGGGAGAAAAAAGAAAAAAAAAAAAAATCCTCCCTTTCTCAGGGAGGGCACACAGCATTCCCCAGGCTAAATGCAACATCACCGCCCTTTTCCCGCATCGATTCGATCCCAATAAAAAGGGTGAATAAAAACGGCGCGGTTTCCCCCGTGGGCACAAACCGGCCAACCAACAGTCCGTCTGGCCGTTTTTCCTCTTGCATGGCAGTCCCGGGACCGAGGAGCCGTTCGGAGAGGCAAGCTGAGAGCAGGGGAGATAATCAAAGTGTGCAACCCGTCTTTGGTATCTGTTGACAGCGCAAGCGCAACGTAAGCCCGATAATATAGAGCACACATATTAGAACTACCTCCCTGTGACAGCTTTGATAGCACACGCATTTGAATCCCAATTAATATCACTCACGATTGAAACGCAATAGCTCTGCGGCATCAACATAGGCATCAACATAACTGCGCTTCCGAACCATTACGTGCGTATCAAAAGAGAGGAGAATAAGAGACATGGTCGAAGAGTTCGAGATAGTTTATTAACAAACAAAAGGGGAATTATATAGAAACAGGTGAAAGAGGTTTCAATGAGAGGTAAGAACTTGTAGATGGACTGGTAACCGAAGAAGAGGAAAACACAAATGAAGCTGTCACCCGCCTCACAAAAAGAACCCTTTTGCAAAAAGAAAAGAAAGAAAAGAAAGAAAATGCCATCAACTCATCATCTCACAGTCATAACCTGGGGGTATAATGTAACAGGGCTCATGGGTAAAAACTAGACTGAGAAGGGTCCAGCTCCTTCACGGAACCCAGTTCGCATCTTGCTCCTAACCTCTACTTGCCCACATATATCTTTGGGCTTCATTTTCGCTTCGCTTCTTTATATGCATCATTTCGTAGGCATTTTAAACATGCTCCACGGTGCCCTTCTCCATATGCATGGTGGTCGCGAAAGTGGTCGTAGGTCGCCACTTCGCAGAGGTCCTAGGGGTGCTCTCCTCCAACATCTTGTCAACCTGCTCAAGGGTCAAGCCCTTGGTCTCAGGGACAAGGAAGTAGGTGTAGACAAAAGCGCATGTGCACAGACCACCCCAGACAAAGAAAACAGAAGACTTCATGTTGCCCCGCTTCTCGCCGACCATGTAGGGAGTAATGACAGCGATGATGGTGTTCCAGAGCCAGTTGGAGGCGGTAGAGAGACCAACACCGCGAGATCGGATGGGAAGAGGGAAAACTTCACCGATGACAATCCAGGCACCAGGACCCCAGGTAGAGGCGAAGAAGAAGATGAAGATGGCGATGAAGGCAATCTGGGCGTTGACAGCAGGAATGTTGTTCGCGATCGACTTAAATCCATCATCGGCGGTTGGGTCGGGAACTTTATGGGTGTGGTTGAAACCGGCAGTGACACCAACGATAGCGACGATGAACTGGCAGATGAGCATACCAAGGGCGCCATAGAGGAGAATAGTTCGGCGACCAAACCTCTCGACTGTCCAGAAGGAAAGAGGAGTGGAGCAGACGTTAACGAGAGTGAAAATGAGGGAGATGAAGAAGACGTTCTCGATGGCACCGGTCGACTGGAGGAAGGGAGTTGAGTAGTAGAAGATGAAGTTGACACCGGTCCTATGAAAGAAATTAGTTCGTCAGTCGAGAATACTTCGCCAATTGCAAAAAAAAAGGTATCGCGCCTCGGAGAGTAAGGGAGTAGAGAAAAGAACTTACCACTGCTGCATCATCTGGAGAGAGGTACCGAGGATTGTGCGGCGAAGGTTGGACTTGCCGTGGCTAAGACCACCCTTGAAGCAGTTCATCCAGCTGCCAATAAAGGTCGTATCGGGGATGAGAGCACGTTCGTACTCCTCGTTGGCGACAATCTCAGTAAGTTCGGCACGAATGTACTCGGATTCCTTGGGCTGGCCTCGAAGGCGGGAGAGAGCCTGGGCGGCATCTTCAATCCTGCCCTTCTTGACGAAGTAACGAGGAGAGTCGGGAAGGAGCATGAGACCACCACCGAGAATCAGAGCCCAGGGGAATTGGATGGCAATGGGGATGCGGTAGGCGCCAGTGTCATCGCGTTCCTTTGTGCCGTAGACGACACAGGCAGCTAGCAGAATGCCGATGGTGATGCAGAATTGATAGCCAGCTACGAGAGCGCCACGGACCTTGCGGGGGCACTATGAAAACCAAGAAACGTTAGCGACCGGAACGGGGGAACGATACCTGGCTCGCGGGTTGGGGCGCACTCACAATCTCGGACATGTACAGGATGACGATGGCGGACTCAAAACCGACACCAAGACCAGCAACCAGACGACCAACGACGATAGCGGCAAGGGCATCACCCTCACCAGTAATCATCTGGATAACAACACCAAGCATGTAGATAAAGCAGCCAGCAATGACGGTCCACTTTCGGCCAATTCGGTCGGCGACATCTCCAGCGATAATAGCGCCCAAGAAGGTACCCAGAGACAGAATAGACACGATGAGCGAGGTTCTGCTCTCCGAGACCTCTTTAGCACCCTCGAATTCGACTGCATCCTTGAAGATTTGAGAACCCAAGACACCATTGATGTATCCAGAGTCGTAACCGAAGAAGATACCGCCAAAGGAAGCAAAAGCGCAGATCATATACGCCTTCCACGTGACTGGGGCCTCGATCCTGTTGACATCGTCGGTGGGCTGGAGCACAACACCATCAGCGCCGTGCGCCGTCTCCTTGTCTACTGCCTTATCAGACATGTCGAATGATAGAACGGCGAGTGTGTTTTTGGATTGACAGATCCTCGACCGGTTTTGAGACGAAGTTGTGTTTGACGGTAGGGTAGATTAGGGGAGGTATTGAAGTTGAAGGTGGGAGGCGGGGAGAGGTAAAGGTAAATATAAAGTAAGCCAGGAGGCCCTTGGAGGAGTTGGAGGAAGGAATGATGGAGAGGTAAGCTTGTTTCGGAGCCGATATTGAAAGGAAAGAGCGATGGCGATCAGAGGGAGAGGGCCTTATTTAATATCATGCCGGGCTTCATGCATTATAGCACGGCAGTAAACGGAAGACGGAGGATGAATACTGTATCAATTGACAATTGAGAGGAACATTGAACCCTGGCGTGGTCAAGGCACGAGGAACCGACAAACTGGAGCAATCTTGTTTCTTTTCCCTGGACTTTCCTTTTCCCACCCCTTCACACCCCGTCCCGTTAGCTACACATTTCTATCGCTCTTTTTCGTTTTTTTCGTTTTCCACTTTTTTCTTTTCTTTTGTCGGGTTTCTTTTTCGCCGCCCGTATTGCACGCTAAGAGAACTACTACCATTCGCACAATACGTGGACTACTACCTCCCTCCAGCGTCGTCTCCGCATCTCCAGACTTCGGAACTGTACGATGATGTTTTAGGGGTAGATACGGACGTAGTAGGACCGAGAAGGGTACATGGTCCTCGAACGACAATGGCTGGAGCTCTACGGAGCTACACTAGAGTAGGATGACATATGCATTCCTCCGCTCTGAAGCTATGTAGCTTCCTCGGTGAGATGCGTGCTTGGTTCTTCCTGCTTTGGGGTAGGTTGAAATGTCTGCGCGTGGTTTCAACCCTTTGTAGAGAAGTTTAACGTTGTATCATCCCACACCACACTAAGACTATAACCAGAGATCGAAGTTGCGGGGCGGCGAGGAGGAGAGATTGGGACTGTGGAGGGGGCAGGGGACAACCATGAATGGAGGGGCGAGGGGGCGTGAGAAGGGGCGTTTACTTCGCATAAGGGGGTGTGGGAAGTGGAAGCCCTGACTGTCCCAGGATTCGTCCCTCTGTTTAACAGACCTTGAACGAGAAGCAAAGCCGACTGCGACACAAAAAGACGTAATGGCGCCAATCTGGAGGAGGACCCCGAAGAAGAGAGAGGAGTGACAAGTGGAGCTGGGCAGGATACACCCCTCAAAAGGAACAAGGATGAAGTTTTTTTCGTCTTCATTTTTTTTTTTTTTTTTTTTAGTTTTTCTCTAACTCCCTTGAGGGAGTGATATGGGGGGGGGGGGTGTCCGTCGAAAGTAGGTGGCAGTAGGGTTAGTTTGGGGTGGAGAGAAGCGCCGAGAAGGGATTGAGTCTAGACCTTGATTGGTTGGCTGAGACATGGCAGGCGGACGGGAGTGGCGCCAAATGGGTTAATACTCGGTGATATTTTGGCACGCGAGATGCACGGTCTGGATAAAACTGTCCGAGACCAGACCACTGCCGTCTGGACTCTTGCCGGCAGTATAAGCCCTGTAAGCGGACGCTGGTTTCGACGGCTAACCCACTGTAGGGCGCTGGAGTTGGTCAACTCAGTGCTCTAGACAGCCTGTGCTGCATTCAATAGTTGACATCAATCAAGAGTTGACATCAATCGATACAACACCAGGCGGGTCCTCAGATTGACTCAAGCTTCACCAATTCGTGGCTCAATAGCCTGGCCAGGTATGGTCGGATTACAGGGAATCTGCTGTGTACTCCAATTGATGCTTTTCTTTGGCCAGCTGACGTTGGAATCAAGGCCAAACCTTGTCCAATTGAACAATGGTACGACATGCTCGACCAAGAATCAGTGGATCTAGGTACCAAAACCACGCCTTCGTACCAGACTCATGACGACAAAACAGAAGCAGCGCATGCATGAGCCCTTCGATATCTCTGTTTTCTCAAGTCTTCTGCCAGGGATGAATCCTCACGTGGAACCAAATCTTGGCGGTCATGACTGGGAGGTTGGGCCGGAACCGAGCAGTGATCTCAACCAAGCTAACTCTCCCTTGACCTTCCCCATATCAGATCGGCACACGCTACGGAGGAATATTGCTCGCACGCCCCCATGGGAACAAGGTTTAGAATTGATTTATTCTTAGTTCTCTTCTATCCCTTGAAAACGCCATTGATGTGCGTGCGTTAGGTTGATCGTCCCTTCCTCTGCGCTGGAATTCCACCTACTTCAATCCTGTCTATCATTATGAGACTCTTCCCAGGAGCGCTTCCCTACACTCCAACGGGGATCGGCGCCGACTGGCCAGGATTAGGGAAGGTGTCAGGGAGTTCTAGTCGTGGAAGTGATTATTCTTCGGGTTCGCACTTTCAATTCCGCGGTCCACGTACGACCGACGTAACCTTGGGGAAATGTACTTCCGTCTCGCCTATGGCCAGACGACAGTAAGAGTAGCATTCGATGGAGCTTGCAAACATCAACACTGCATTCCACATTCCACACGGGCGACAATCTCCATACGAAGTAGAGAAGGTTTCCTAGGTACCGGCAATGTATATGAGTACTATGCTGTAATTCAACTCCTTAACACGTACTTTGGAACCTTGGAACCTCCTGCCGAATAACCGTCCTTGACAGAGGCTGCGCTTGCTGAACAGTTCAACAGGGAGCTATTCAGGCCCAGTGCTCAAGCTCGACTGATAATACGTCCGAGACCATGGTAGCGCCTGCTCAGACCGGATCAAATGTATCAAATGTATCAAATGGGCACGCCCAGGCCCCTTCCCCCAGCCATGTATATGCATACACGAAATACAAGTAAACACATCATATTGGCCTCGTGCAACCGTACGGGAGAAGGAGCACCCTTCGTGCTCGGACCTAGAGCATGCCGGATGGGAAGGAGCAGGTCTTCGGCCCCGGGTTACAGCGACAACGAGAAGGAGGTCATCTCGTAAGCATCAAGTGGCCCCGAATCGGCCCAAAATCTCACGCGTGATATTAGCGATACATGACTGGGAGAGGGGAGACAGAGAAAAAACCGAGTGCCTGGTCTTCTCCGGCCCCCATCGTCGAATCGGATATCACCACCGCCTCCAGCTAGTGGGAGCCTCTTCTCCGCCATTCACATTCAATCAGATCTTGCCGGGGTCCCTCCGCACCAACAGGGATGGAGATTTTGGTTTGTAAGTCTTCTTTCTTTTACCCCTCCATTTTTGCATTCTGCTTGGGAGGAAACTATTGGATGTCCGGGCTTTTTTTTCTTTCCTTGGTACAGACATCACCACCATCATGCTGTATTACCTGCAATACCCGCGCGGAGCTCTCCGGCACTACTACAGTAGCAGTCCCACCTCAACATGAAGGAGGGTTGGGTCATTCTCCCATCCTGCATCGAGAGCCAGCTCACAAGCTCACCTGTTTTTTTTTGTGCTTGGCCACGAGAGGATTCTCATCTCTGTTAACCGATGACGAAAATGTCGGAACCCGCATACAGCGAACTCTGGCTCCACGCAACAGCAGCAACTGACTACTAACTTGCCTGCTCGGGCAGGACGAGGCACCTACGGACCAGAAAGCGCTTCGGCCCTATATTGCCACTACTTCGTATGTATTACTTTCTCCAGCAGAAACATGCGTGTAGCACGACAAAGAAATTCCAGAGAGAAAATAGCCCCGAAAGAGAAGAGAGATGAAAGAAGGGGGGGGGGGGGTTCTCCAACAAGCTCGTCGCCGTCGCCGAATGCTGCCATGGCCATTCGATGTAACAATGCAATTGTCAAGAAGTCGTCCACACAAGCAGCCGGGTACTCCTGGTCAGCCACCTCCGCTTCATTACCCTAGTCAGTGCCCACATCAATCAATCGCTGTTAGTCAATTCCATGCACTTTTTTGCTTCTTCAACGTTGCCATCTCATGAGCGTATCCCCCCTTGCGCAGACGCTGATGCAGGGATTGACCGAGAAACATTGCAGTCAAGGGAGTCATCTGGCCTGGCCTGGCCTGGCAGACGTAGCATCATCATTACTAACAGCTTAGAATCTCCCCTGCCCGGCCGTGGCTTGACGGCCTCCCGACAACAAAGCCCCGCCTCGTCTCGGTCGTTCCTCCGAGCTCGTGATCACGATGTCGGAAGAAGGTTTTCGGTCTGAGTTGGCCTGCCTGATCTTCTTCTTCTGAGTTTGCAGAACACTAAACTGCTTGGTACTAGTTGTGCCAATAGAGGTTGCCCGGAAGTTGACAGTCTCGTCCACCAATAGCTCAGGTCTTTGACGCTAAATTAAGGTGAGAACCCCTGTGGCTGTTTCTATTAAAAAAGAAGAGAACGGGCAAAAGAAAAAAAAATCTACCCTTAATAAGATCGAAACTGCATCACATCTCGCACCCCTCCCCGGCACGGCACCACCAAGCCGGAGAAGACGGCTTTCGAGTTGTTCCGGCCTTGCTCGGCTTTTTTTTTTTACTTCAAGTTTGCCATGCTCTAGATGAAGTCCCCTTCGATCGGTAATGGTTTCCGAAAAGGGGACTAAGAGCGGCGCGACCACTCTATTCCGTAGGCTCGGTCCCAGAAGTACACCATCCCCCACATGCAATTAGCTTGGTTGGAGAAGTCTGGCCGAATAGCATACCCACATCCGATCCCGTCGATTTTGTTTCCAGAACAAAATGCTAAACGCATTACCTCCGGCCATTTTTTTCTAGTACAGGATTTTCTTAGCGGCTAGTGGCCCCAGTTCCGCACTTGGAAGGTTGGAGGGTTCGAAGCCCTTGCCCCCATTCTCAATGTGGTCGACGACACCACTCCTGGCCTCATGGACCCTCACGCCAAAAGCAATGACGCCGAGGACGCCGAGGGAGTGGAGGCGAAGTGCAGTACGTTCCAGCAAGCCGGGTTCATTAAGAAATCGCTGCCTATACCAAGGTAGGCTTACGCCCTAGCAGACCAAGCTTTGATTGCAGTAAGAGACTAACACATGAAATGGAAAGGAAACATTCCGCCTGTCTGCAGCGTGATGTCAGGCGTCCTCAGAATGGAAGGTGGGCAATGAGACAGACATTCGCCCACAAGTACTGTTCTCAACTGGCTGGACGCTTCATCTCTCACCCCCAGTGGCCCTGACAAATGCTGACAAGGGACATCACACGATAATGACAGGTCTTTTAGTCCGCGGCGATACTCTGAATTAAGTTCGCCGATTTATTGGTTCCCCCATAGGGGGTGTGTGAATACTGAACGACTCTCTGCTGCCCTAATACGGTGGCGGCGACTTTCGTGTGCCTTGAGGCTTGACAACTATCGTGAGAGTAACGCCGACAAACTGGCAGTTCTCACGTATGAGATGCACAGTCTCCTTGAGCGCCACCTCGAGGACAGCGCCACTATCGAGCACGAGACAGGCCCGATCAACAGGCGTGAGGTGTCCTTCCTTCTGCAATAGTGCGGATGGAGAAGTCTCTCGGACATTGTCAGCTCCGATCTTTTGCACCCGACAGCTGAATCTCCGCGAGAGCCCCTGATAGTAAGTTGAGAACACGACGAGGAAAGTTTCCTGTGCGGATTTTCTGGCCGGCAAATTCCCCGGATAGTAGCTGCACCGGAACTGGGCCTCTTGTGCTGAAGTCTGCTTGCTCTCGTCCGGGGACCTGCTGTGGGGGTCTGGGATTGGAATATACATGTAGTGGGTTCCATTCGTTATTTCGGCCATTCTCCATTCTGGGGGGCGGTGGGCATCCAGGGAGATGCGACTAGGACCACCAAGACGGACCACAAGGACATTACTGGTCAGGGATTCTGCGGAACTCGAGAGGAACCCAAGGGGCCGACGGTCGGGGAAACCATCGGCGGGGTAGTTGGTAGACCATTCGGTGCGGGGCAGGGTTGGGGTGGAGCCGTAGGAGAGGTATAATCTCTTCCAATTGAAGTGTTTGATGTCCCTCGGGAGGATACATATCACCCCCCGGACCATACCTGGGGCCGGGCGTGAGACCACGAGATAGTCCTCCCCATCGCGGTGGCGCCCCCCGGGCTTGCCATCCCCGGAAATTACTCGCAGTGTGATGCAGAGCCAGACGCCTTCGTCCGGGGAAACGCCGCTGCGAGCGTTGAGGAACGTCCACGCCAACAAGTCGTTGGGGTGGCTCGTAATTCCGAGCTTTGAAGGTTCCACGACCGGCACCGTTACCAAGATTCCGCGACTCGTCACTGTCGGTGGGGGCATTGGATCGTCGCCATATCGCAATGGAACAGTTAAGTGGTACCGGGCCTTTGGATCTGCTATGACATCCGGCGTAACTCTCTGCACGTCCTTCCAGGTCAGTCCCTGCTGCGGTCCTCCTCCACCTGAATCGCGCTGGGTCAGGGGCGCATTCGCCGTAAAGAGCACAGGAGTGAAGCCCGAGGGATCTGGGCCGAGCACGCTGGAATAGGAGCTAGGCAGTCGCGGGAGATGCCAGGCCAGTAATGAAAGGTCTTCGGACCTCCTCAGGATCTCCTCCTGGAGGCGGATGAAGGCATTCTGACCTTCGCCGTACAGCAGGGGCATGTTCACGTTGAATATGCCAAGCAGCGAGTATGCACGATCCTCTACCCGCTGGGTCTCCCGTTTGGATGCCCAGCTCATGCGCTCCGCTATGGTACAGATGCTACCGGGAGACACACCCTGCAGGACCTCGGCGCGAATACCAGTGATACGCTGCAGGTCCGAGACCAGACTGGCCTTGGTACCTATCTCGACCCAGTCTCTGTCGTAGAACTCGACCAGTCGCGGCGCAATCAGTTCCTGCAGAGTCCAGCCTCGCTTGAACCACCGACTTGCCACGAAGGTAGGCCCAAGGCGCCGCAAGTGTTTCCCTTCACGTAGGGTCTCGCCAGAGACTAGACTATTCAGGGAGGTTGGGACAGAAACATTGTCGGCGTCGGCGACCACGTCGGCCATATAGACGTAGCAGAGGGCGGAATGCTGGTACCAGCGGTACATGGAGTTGATGGCCTCGGAAAGCTCGGCGCTAGACTGCTTGTCGATGCAGCAGGTATCAACCCAGGCCCAGGCGTAACCGTCCCGCCTGGCCTGTCTGCAGCAGTCCTCGATCTTGGCGAACCCCGGGATGTGCGAGGCGAAATTGGGGCCCCTTTCCATGTCCTGGAAGGTCACTTCGTGGTCGCCCCACGTGTGGGATAGGATGGCGTAGGGCGGAACATCGCCGGCGAAGAAGTGTAACTGGAGAGTGTCTGTGTCGATGAGTCGCATAACTGTGGTTGAGTCGTAATAATACCCGCTCTCTTTCTTTCCCTCTCTCTCTCTGTCTCTCTCTCTCTCTTTCTCTCCCCTGTTCTCTATCCCTCACTTAGATCGGATGAGAAGTGAAAATGAAAGTGGGGCCTGGGGCTGAAGGATGCGAGAGGTAGGATGTCTGCTCAAGTTTCATTGCATGTCCTGCTTATGGATTCGCTGTTTCTTTTTGAATCATGTTTCTGCAGTTGCGTTCACGGCCTTGCTGTCAAATCATGCCAAAAAATTTCCCCTTTTTCTTTTTCTGGTATTGTTTTTTCCCACTTTGACACGTTTTATCCAGCGTGTCTTGGGAACCAGCGTTTTGGTCGATGCCTAAAAGTAATGTTGGGAGTCCTGAACGGCGGGGTTCTGCGCAGTTTGGTGTCATGCGGCGACCAACCTCGCTTGCCAGCTGATGGGCTCAGCCTCGACCTAGGCAGAGAGGATGGCTGTCCTGGCTGGCCAGAGGAACAAGGCGTTTGTGGAGGATAGGGGGCGTTCACCACTGGGTGCGCCTCACCCCAGATCTCCGTGCCAACGGTTCGGCGGATAAAAAGCCCCAAGATTCCAGGATTTCTCAGGATTGCTACTGTCACTCCTGCATGCCATGGCAACACAAAAACGAAAGAAAGAAAAGAGGGGAGGTTGGATGCGGCGCGCAGAGTGGTGAGACGAAGATGATTTGTCGCGATTTGGCTTAGCGCTGTTTGCTTCCTTTTTTTCTTCACGATTCTTCAATCCTGGTCGCTTTAAGCACTCGCATCACTACCATTATCACGGGGCGGGGGACAAATAGGATGGAAATCAGAGACAATCATCTTCATGGCACATGCTCTAATTCCCGATGAGGCTGAAACTTGAGACCTTGTGGCGTTCTTCCCGACGGGGGGAGTGTGAGACAAGGAGCCCGTCCTCCCGGTCGCGATGGACAGACGAAGATGGAGAACAACACCCCCTCTCATACCGAGATTGAAAAGATTTGCTTCCTCGCCCTGGCCTTTGCTTTTCCCGGTTCTCTTGGTGTTTTATTTTTCATACCCGCCATCTTCAAAGCCTACACACCCCCTCCTCAAGATGCCGGGGGAGAGCATGATGCGAGAAGCCTCGACGCCAAAATGATGATCATTGCCGCTTGCTGAGTTGGCATGTTCAGGGCAGGATCGTCAAGGGTTCACTTAACAAGTTAACATGACGTCTTACACGACAAGCTTGGGGAACGAGTAATGTTCCTTTTCAAACGCGGGAGAGTGGTGAGATGCAAACACTATATTTACGAGTACATCCCTGTTTCTTTTGCTTTTTTTATTTTTATTTTTATTTTTTAATTTTTTATGTGTTGTCCCCATTTGCTTGTTTGACCAGCCATGCATCGCTTAGATATTCTTGACCTTTGGGCTGGCAAAAAATTAAATACTCCGGTTTGGATTGGCTTTTGTCGGTTTTATGAGAAATCTATTTGTGGATTTTTGTTTTCTTCCTTTTTAGAGCCGAGTGGCTTCTTTAGTTCAACTTCTCTTCCTCGTTTCAGTCTTGTGTACCCAAGATGGAAAACAGGTCCACTGAGGCGTAACACTCATCTTGTCGCATAGGAGACCGTGGCCTCGATTCTCTCACGACGTCATCACGGCCATCCTAGTTGGAGTGGTCATCGATTACGACCGATATCGATTTCATCTTTATATTTCTTCGGGCGGCGATCGGTTGAGAACGGCGCCACAAGGGTTTCACTAATGGAATTAGCTTGAAGAAACATACAGGGTGTGTGTGATCAAGTCTGTCAAAAACAAAACTGCTTGATAGCAAGAGGAAGGTCTTCGAATTTGGATCATGAACAGTTGAGCAAACATTTGTAAGTCTAATTCTCCTAGTCAACGACACGAAAATACACACGGCCGCGACCAAAGTCCCCGCTATTGTTGAAGAAAAAAGAAAAGAGGTATTTCTATACACACCCCAAAAGGATCCCTCGAGATATCCATGGTCCCCCAGTGGAGATTAACAAAGGCTATCATTCCTTCACCACCACCGTTTCCAGAAAGAGAGGCCGTGGGAATCTCCTGAACGACGGTTCAGAGCTTCATCCGTTGGTTCTCCAGGCAACGGGCATTCAGACCCAATCGGCTGAGAAATAGTAACGGTGACCGTGACAGTGGTCGTTGTCGTGGCAAAGTTGGGGTCATGAGTCGGGACTGCGGTGGGGGCCTCCGGAAGCTCCGTTTCGAAGCCGGGGAAGTGTGACGTAAGGATCGTGGAGAGTTCGGGGTAATCGGACAAGATGTCGCTGATGTCCGGCTCCGTTGGTTCCGGAGGGATGCCGACCGTGACGGTGGGAGCGGGGTCACCGACCGGGATGGAGGGAAACATGGACAAGTGAGGGGGAAGCATTGTACCCCAACGGTTGTCGTCATCGCTACTATCCTCATCATCGTCCCCTTCTTCGCCGTCGCCTTCGCCGTCGCCCTCTCCTGGCGGTAATTTCCATCCCGGAGGTGGATGCTGCCACCAATACCAAGGCGTAATCGGCGGATTGAAATACGACGACAAAATTTTCCAGATAAGCCAATGCACGGCCTCTGGCACGCGTTTCGTATAATCGAGGTGAATGGGGAAAACGTATAACGTCCCCGTACAAATAATATCTCCCACATTGCAGATAATCAGTGTCTTATCGAGCGGGAAGCCGATGATACGCCCGCCATCCTGCAGAGTCTGGGTATCGCCGAACGTGACGACAGCAGTAATGCGATCCCGAATATCTTCGTCGAGATATTGAACGGCGCGGTGGACCACTGCGGCGCCCTGGCTGTAGCCGGCGGCGACGATCTTGGAGGTGGGACATTGCGTTACGGCTTTGGTGAGGAGGACCTGCATGAGGAAGATGCCGAAGGGGGAGGTGCCTCCTTTGTAGAAGTTGGTTTCCCTCCAGGCAAGATAGTCTACACCTTCTGTAGCGACGTTGTCGACGCCGAAGTAGAGCTTGAGTCTGTTTGATATCTCGGGACCTACCCAGAAGCCCTTTATGTCGAGGTATTAGTTATTGTGTAGTTTTTGATCCCCGAGGGTGGATATTGCATACCATGTTACCGGGAGCGATGGTCTCTCTGGCGTAGATGAAGATGATGGGACGGCATCCCTCTTCGGTGAATTCGCGGGAGGATAACCCCGTCCATGATCCCCTTGCTTCGAGGGACGACGCTGGCGCCGATGAAGATATTGTGAACAACGTGACTAGGAGAAGCGCGAGGTACCCCTTGAGGGTTCTATACGATCGTGCCATTGCTTCCAAAATGTGGTTCGTTTGCCTTCCTCAGCTCCCCGTCATATCTTCGGAAAGGCTATGTCATGGTCACCGGTTTTCACCTTTGCCAAATTCGCAACCCAAAGCGGTCAGGAAACCCCATTCGATTTGCCCAAAACCGTTTTCTTTCGGCGTCTTTATAGAGAGTATCTGCAAAAAAAGTGTTTCCGGGAATCAAGTTGACGCACGGCAAAGGAATTTATATGACCGCTTCGGCTCATGAAGCCGGGATCTAGAATCTATGGATGCCGTCATTTCCTCATACTGACGGGACATATTGTGATGGCGGAGAATATTCTAAATGTATATCACGAAAGGACTTTTAGATTCGATCAAATTTATATGATAAGCGTTCTATTTAACTCCTTGGCAGGGCGACGCAACTATGGAAACTGTCCGCAAGAGACACAGGGCCAGAATCTATTGCGTCCTTCAAATAATATTGGATATCGACTTGGCACTTACACGGCACTCAGAGGTCCCCCCCATGGCCACGCGGCATTGGAATGCAGCTGCGGTCCGGATTACTAGGCTCCCGCACTACAGAGCGCATGGGAACAAGGACGAGGCGTAGACTCGGCCATAACCGTTAATGCGATGATGTACACCCAGATACCCATCTTTTCGGGGGCTTGTGTGCCGAGCCAAGAGGGTTGTCGATATCAGTGGTCTGCTTTAACCACGAGAGCGAAGCGAGGAAAGACGCCATCTGGCATAAACGAGTTGGGCGTGGGGAAAGTTGGGGAATCAGTGATTTCATCCGTATTTAACCAAATGCGACGACCAAGATGCCAAGGAAGTGGTTTCGATGGAGGTTTCATGCGGGGTTGCATAATTTGGGGACGTGATATATACAAACATTTACTGGAAACTTGGAGAGTGAAAGGTTTGGTTTATGCTTGAAGTTAGCTTACGTACGGGCAGAGGATCTGGGCCGTAAAAAAAATCTCCGAACTGAGGATCGTTTACTTCGTACAGAAGGACTGTTTGAAACAGATTCTGAGGGCAAAGATTGGAGGTGTAAAGTTTGCGAGGTTGCCGGAAGGGATCTGCATGGATGTGCCGAGATCATGGAGGCGTGGAGGCATAGAGGCATGGAGACGAGGAGGGGTTAGTTCTTGATTGATATCTCAGAGATGAATTGGAATATTGATTGAGTTTTCTAGCAAGTAAGAATAGAATTTTCTTTCCAAGTCTTGGCTGCGTGACGGTGAGCTCAATTCCATGTTGAATATATTCGGAGATTTCATCTCGTTTGCCTAACCTCATCATAGCTATGTTGTTGATGGCGAGAATCTTCTCCGGTTATCGGCAGTGGTGATGCCGGACTGGAAAAAGTCTGGGGAAGTCGCAATCTGAACGACTCGACGGCCCAACTGACGTTGACATTGCGCATTGGGGATTGGGTCAAATTCACATCAATTTTGACCAACAATGTGAATTAGAGTCCCACAGCCCAGATGAGTCAGAATGTGGATGCGTGCGGGCTCAAATTGGAATCCCCTCCAAGCCATTGCAGCATCAACGAAGACGACCGCAGACATCCTTCTGTCCTCTTGAGTCGGCTGCTTAAACCCCGCTCCATCTTCCTCCCTGCATTGTGACACATCGTTCTCCGCATCACCCAAAATGTCCACCAGCGAGATCAAGCCTATCACCCCCGACGAGGTCGTCTTCACCGAAGCGACCCCTCACCAGCGGGAGCTTTCCTGGCGCATCAACAGCATTTCATGGTCTCACCCCTTAAGCCTCGAAGACCACCTTGAGAGGGGAGCCCTCCTCGGCCCCAGGGGCCCCGAACGCACATTCTACGTCGTGCACCGGCGCGGAGATCCAGAGGACATTATCTGCGCCGTCGATGCGGTCGGCAAGACGGCCCTTGTCAAGGCCCCCGATGCCGAAAGTCCTACCTCCGTGCAACGAGTCAAAGCCTACGGCGTCGCGGCCGTGCACACGAACCCAACGTACAGGAAGCAGGGCATGGCGGGCTGGATGCTCCAAAAACTGCAGGAGGCGATGGACAAGGATAGCGAATTCAGCGTTCTCTACAGCGGCATCGGACCCGACTTCTATGCCAGATACGGCTGGGACGCCTTTCCCGCTCTGCAGGTGTCCCTCTCCTTCCTAGGCGGTGAAGCCGCAGCGCAGCCCACGATGCCCGCGGGCGCCAAGTTCCTCTCGCGGGAGGACATCGCGCCGCTTTGCGACAAGGACATTGCGAAGCTCACCGTGAGGTTCGAAGAATTTCCCGGCGACGACGGGAGGACGAGAGTAGCTTTCTTACCTACCTTTAAGCAGATCGATTGGCAGTTTGAGAGGAACGCGTTCGTCGCGAGGAAACTACGCCATCGCGAGCCTGAGAACTACGGCGCCGTGACGACCGACGGCTCGAGCTGGATATACTGGGTTCACGAGGTGGGCAAAGACACGCTAGGCGTTCTACGGATCGTCGCGAATGGGCCGGCGGCGGTCGAGGATCTGTTGCGCGCCGCGCTTGTGGAGGCGAAGGATTGGGGGTTTGAGCGCGTGGTTGTGTGGAATCCTGAGGGCGATGTAGAGGACGCGGTGAGGACGATGGGTACCGAGGACGAGAAGGTGGTCAAGGTACGTTTTGAAGCTCGTGAAGGGAGACTTCCTTGTCTTCGTTGGAAGGGAGGGGACCACGTGGATGTTGTGTGGGAGGATAATTATTACTATGCGTGGTGCTAAGGGAACGGAGAAATAAACTACGAAGTAGTGTACGAGGAGGCGTTGGTCGACAGGAAACGTTCGGCAACAACGGGGTGAGACCAGCACACCACCCCGTGATTAGAAATTGAGAAGCTGCATGGCGAGTAGCCAGGCGAGGCTGGTCTGCAGGAAGACTGGGCATGGTCTGATGCGAGTTGCTAGGTAGTATACACAGCCGGCGGGATCGCTGCTCTCCTTTCCACCATCTCGATGTTACTTCCTCTCAGCTCTTAATCTGGACATCATTGCGGAAAGCATTCGGTCAACTACCGCGGCTGAGAATGACACCAGTTCACATTCATTCGTCTGAGATTATCTCCGAGTGCGTGCAGTTTTTAATCTGAGGGGATATTAGAGCTGAATGCAGGAGTGAGACCCGGAACCGAGATGGGCTAGATCCTTCAAGCAAACAAGGCATAGGAAAATGAGCAAGGAGGAGGGCAGATCCACATCGAGTGTGGCTCGAGATGTTCTACTTCGTACCGATCCCAGAACTCCCTCCAGTCATATCTCAAGGCTGGTCTGCTGTCAAGCCAACAAAAAAAAAGCTTGTCTGCTTCTTATCCACATGCATACTGTGACTTTGACTCAAGTTCCACTTCGCCTCTTTTTCATCCGAAAACGAGACAGAAGTGTGGCGATGCAGCTCTGACCCATGCAAACCAAGAAAATAGTTGGAAGCAAAGAATGGTTTTTTCATGGAACAGCCACACTTTCTTCCTCTCTTCTTCTTTCCTCGGCCCGCGTGTCTCGTTCATCCCGCGTTCATAGGGCCAGCAACCAAGGCATCAGCCTCTCTCTCTTGGCGATCCTACCTAAAATCTCGCTAGCTAGGCTGTTCTCAGTGTCGATCATCAACCCGGATCCACACAAATAAAGAGTCAAAGCTTCCAACCTGGTGGGCTGCGGAGGGTTACATTCTTCCCAACTCAATTGACACTACGAAGGACTCGGCAGAGTGCTGACAGGTCCACCGGCGGAATTCTAGTCCGAACTTCCTGCTTTGGGGTTGGACTGCGAGCGCCAAGACATTGTCTGTGGATCTGATTATTTTGGGATTCTGCGTTGGTTGGTGATATTTTTGGGACCGTTGCATGGATAACTTGTAAGGCGGTTCACATTCCACCTCACATTAGGCCTATCTGAGTTAGATTTGAAGTGGCGTGTGAGGCGAAGGGACAGGCCAGCAATGGAGAGAAGATCAAAATCACGGGGAGCACCGGGAGACGGGAAATGAAAGCGAATTGGAGTTTGTCTGCCTAACGGGGGAGCTGTGGGATCGATATATAGAGAAGCTGTGTTCCGACCAACTCCTTCTCGAGGCTCAGCTCCTTGAAAACTATTTCCAATTCCTATTTATCTGTGTAACAGACCTTTCTCCAACTTACACGGAACGTTTCTCTTCAGTCGGCTCCTTGGAACCCTCCCTCTACCCCGACCAATCCCCGTCTACCAGCTTCCTCTTCTTCCATCCCTTCACAACCTTGAAGACCGCCACCATGCACAAGTCTCTCGCTCTTCTTCTCCTCTCGGCCGCCACCGCGGTCCTCGGCGACAAAACCATCCTCTTCAAGCGCCAAAGCGACGATCTCTGCGGCATCACCCAAAAGGTCTGCGGCGACGGCTGCATTCCCATCTCATACACCTGCTGCCCCAGTGGCAAGGGCGGCTGCCCCCTCAGCTCGACATGCCAGCTCGGCGATAACGGAGAGTATGGATGCTGCCCCATCGGAAAGAGGTGCTCTGGCGACGGTGGCGTCACGACTCGCCCCGGCAGCGGTGGCAGCATCCCCGTTCCTACTGGTATTCCTAGCGATGACGATAGCGATGTTCTCCCTACTCGCACTACTTCTTCGAGGGTTACTATCCCTACCTTTGGGAGCGTTGGCGGAGATGATGGCGATGATGATGATTCGGGGAATAGCTCCAACTCCGGCTCCGGTTCGAACTCTGGGTCTGGTTCCGGTTCGGGTTCTAACTCTGGATCTGGTTCCGATTCTGGCTTTGGCTCTAGCTCCGGCTCCGGCTCCAACTCCGGGTCTGGATCTGGATCTGGGTCTGGCTCGGGTTCCAGCGGTGACGGTGCTAGCGGTGCTGGCAGGACACTCGTCTCTCTCGCCGGCGTCGTGGCAGCGCTCGTGGCCCTGTAAGCTGCCACTCACCAACACATGAGAAGAGGGATCGATTGATTGTCATGGGAACAGCGGAGGAAATAATGAGACTTCTTTCGAGGAGGACGGCTGCGGAATCGCGCTACTTTATTAGTAAACCTAATCTTTTTCTTGTACATAGACCCTGACAACATTTTGATACCACCGACCAGGTTCGAATAGAACTAGTGCCAAACACCGAAACTTGTCTTCAAATATTAGCTGTGACGCTGAGATGGATCAGTGCACCCCTGACCGAAACATCACACACAAGACACAAGTGAGTGGGTCGCTTCCTTCTCGGCGACTTAGAACAATGTATTGCCACATATTCCATCGCAAGAACTGTCAGCATTCGCTTTGCCCACCATGGGCACGTCCGGCATCATCACAACGCAATACGCAAACGAGTGTCTTCAAGGTTCTAGTTTCTCTTGTGGACGAAGGTCTTTGATGAATGTTTTGAGGGATGAATAACATTTCTGCTTATGCTTCCTTTTTGACAGCTGCTTATGCTTTATTTATCTTTTCTGCTCGCATTGAGTCTTCGTAGCCTCGAACCGACGTAGGCAATGCTTGTCGAACTTAAGAACGTCAAGTGTCGAAGTTGTCAAAAGAAACTTGCTCTTAGTGCCGGGCCAGACGTCAACCAACATGGGGAACTCTATCTCGGCGAACCACTCTGGAGAGGCCAAGATCCTCATCACGTATGCAACACATCATCAGGAAGACATCAAGTTGATCGAAGGACCACGATATCTCACTAGTCGGAACATCTGTTAGTTTCAACTCGGTCCGATATGTTGAGGGGAGAGCAACAATTACCAGTGGCATTTCCAGGTTCTGAGGCGATCAAAAAGAAGTCAGATTGCAGGAGAGGATCAAAGAAACATCGAGGAGGAGGAAAAAAAAGAAAGAAGAACGAAAAAGAAAAGAAAACAAAAGAAAGAAGAAGAAAAAGAAAAAAAAAGAAGGAAAAAAGAGGAAGGAAAAAAAGTTGGTGGTTCTAGTCCGCGATGCAAGTACTATTGGGGATCCCAGGAGTTCAAGCGTAGCTGTCGAGTGACTCCCGAAGACCTCCGCGGGCCCATAGCTTTTGAAAATTCCAACCCTGGATTTGGTATATAAAGGGTACTCTGGGTTCGAAGATTGAGTGGAGGAAGATAGGAAGGCCTGATGCGGCGATGTGAGTTATGAGGCCAACTCCGTTCCCATCTTCCTCTTCCACACCCACGCAGCCTTAGTGGTAGAATGCCCAACGCATACTTCATTCAGATGCAGCTTAAACCGTCGAGATAAACTCTAAAACCATCAAAGGAACGTCTAAATGTCTCGTCGCGGATGGAATATACAAACAACATTGAATGCGAAACCCATCTTGAATCAACCTTCCTCTTCCTCTCTCACCAACCTTCACAGCCTCACATCCACGTCCAGATCCGGGTCCCCATCCGCATCCACCTTCGACTTCATATCAACCAAGACTAAAACACGACAAAAAAGGTCAGTATAGATACTCAGACTCTCCAGGAGACACTTGAGATAACTTACGTGCATCCTCTCCAGTCGTCATCCCACTCCACATCCGTAATATTCATCGTAATCTGCTCAAACTCAAACTTCCCGCCCACACTATCATCCTGCACAATCTCCACCAAGATGCTCGTATCAAGTTCCACCGTCACATCCACGCCCTCCTGATTCTTCACCTCCATATTCCCATTAATCTTCGCCGAATGCAACCACACGATCCCGGGGTTTGTCAGCGACCAATGCCAATTCACCTCCGTCTCGCGGATCAAGTTTCCCCTCCTGCCCCCTGGGCTCACGTAGTCGATGTTCAGCAGGCCCTGCACCGTCTCGTCGCCGTCCATGAAGCCGCTGGCCGTGGCGGAGAGATTCGCCGTGGTGCACCCGGGCGGGTAGTTCATCTGCACGGAGAGCTTGCAGCCTCCCGATGTCGAGGGCTGGTCCGTGGCGACCCAGTTGTTAATGAAGCCCATCGTGAAGACGTCTTCGTCGGGGCTGATGTGGACGGTGTAGGTCGTGTCGTCGGGGCAGAGTGTGCCGTTTGCCGTGACGGAGCGGATTGTGGCTTTGGAGGCGGCGCGGGGTTGGATGGCGGGGGAGAGGACTCCTGCGGAGGCGAGCCCGCTGAAGAGAAGAGGTGAGGGGGCGCGCATGTTGAGATTTTGTTGTGAAGTTGATGGGCTGGCTGTAAGGAAGGGTGAGGAATTGGTACGAGGATGTTGCTGTCTCTGGTCTGAGGAGTTGTCAATTTCGATTCTTACTTCGAGAGTGATTCCACGGAGAGGTTATATAGACATTTGTAGATTGCCTAAAAGACGGGCTAGACGTTGTAGGAAGGTCTATTCTTGAGCTGCAATCTATTTTATCTATTTTCAATTACTAGAATCTGTGGGAGCTCTTCCAGGGATCACGGGTCTTGGTACGCGGGAAGATATGAGCTTGAAGCGGCATCACGACGAGAATAGCTTCCACAATAATGCCTCTCAAATGCCCGTGATGTAACTTTTCAAAGCTATGCATCTTTGCATGCCAAGGCATTTTTTGAATTTTGACCTCTACGAACGGCAACGGAACGGGGTGCGCAATCTTGGAGGGAAACGAGAATTGTCTCGGTGCCGAGACCAACTGGCTCTCCCGCTCCTCTTCAACTCGTTCCTATGTAGCTTATTTACGCACGATTCTTCTAGAAGCAAGTTGGCAAATTCGTCAAAGGGAGACGAATGCGATGTAGAAGCAGCAAAAACCCGCTCCGATCCTGTATTCCAGGAACGGGAAACCCTCCCGCGCGCCTCACCTCGGTGCCGAACCCATCACCAAGAGCCCCATCTCCCCCCAGGATCACCAGACGTGGCATGCAATCCCAAGATGGAATCCCCACATTCTCTCACTGCCACTCCCTTACGCACGAAAGGCAATCTTTGTGAGCGAATTTTGCATGGCGGAACCTAGATTGCCAGATGGGGAATGAAATGGATATTTCCCGGAGCCGAGGATAAAGTGACTTATATGCGAAAGCCGTTATAGTCCTGGGCGGTCTCTGGCTATCCTGGGCCCAAGTATACTTCATGTGGCCTATTTCTGTGCCAACTCCCTTTTATAAAATGTATTAAAATCCGAATTCTTCTTCCGCTTTGTGGAGAATTTGTAATTTGTGACTGAATCCTCCTGTGCTCCTCATCGTTTTTCTAATCGTACCTAGCGCTCTCGGGTTGTCGTAGGATTCATTGCGGATTTCATTTCTATAGTTAGCGATTAAATGATCATGCCGAAGAAATATTGAAACCCAGAAATAGCAGTTCTATTTGTATTCGAAAAGATGGACAGAACAAGAGGACCTAGGCCCTTTTTCTTCGAGAGAGAGAGAGAGCTTCCCTAGCACCCGGCAATAATCAGCCGGTATACCCGGGCCCCTCGTCTGAACAGCATAGCGGGCGAATGCATTATTTTTATCTAGAACTAGACTAGGCTTCTCATACTCGCTGGCACGGGGCATTGGCATTATCGGCCATTGATCGATTTGACATGACGTTGCCACCAATCTAGACCCGCAACCATCTGCAGGCTCCACGATAGGGACTGCCGGGTCGCTGCGAAGCAATTCGGACCCGGATAATGGCGCCAAGGATAGAAGTAAAATTAGACAGTCAAAGAGTCGGATGGGATCTCATCTTGTTAACGGTATCGAGGTTCTCACCTACCTCTACTGCTCAAAAGATTTGATGCAGCTTCCTTATGTTTCTCCGCATGCAGGCTTGAAAAGTCACATCGAAATCTCAAAGTAACAGAGATTGTTAACGAACATGAGGTTATATCTGCGCCGCAGAAGTGCCGCAGCTTATTACGCCGCCAACATCCCGTTCTTGAAACTTATTTCTGGGTGTAAATTTGATTGACCTGTTCAACAGTGACCTTATCCCCTGCGCCGCCGCATCAACCCCGCGAGGAAAAATCAGGACGTCCCAAGTCGATTCCAATCCTCAGACCATGTCTCTATAATCCGGACCTGAGAAGCCAAGCCACAAATCCCCCGATACGGCCTGGCCTCATCCCTGGGCGTAAATATTGCAACTCTAAACGGGCCAATCCCGTTCCAAGCATTGGCTCACCATAAGCGGCGCTTAACCATCTTGACTCATATTGACTCATCCGGCTCCATGCCGTCATCGTGCTCAGATTTCGCAGCTCCGAAGGCATGATTTCCCCACACCACCGATGCCGAGGACCCACTTCGGAGCTTGGCACCGAGCGATGCCGAGCGATCGAGCGGAGATAGCCGATTTAGGCAGGTTCGAGTTGCGCTCTTGCCCTCTCGGCCCAAGTTTGCCCTGATCTGATGGTGATGTCAGGAAGTATATAAACCGTCAGCCTCTCCGGCCGTTCCTGCTTCTTGCCCCTGGTTTCAATTCCATCCCAATTGGACATCCCGAATCGCGTTACAAGTTACTCCAACACCCTCCATTGAGAGACGAAATCAAAACTCACGTGTCATTCGTTCACTGAGCCAACAAGGGCTGCCGAAAAATATAATAAAAAAATGGCGACAGCCACACCAGACCGGGCGACCGCGACGTCGTCATCGCAGTTCCGCATGACATCGCATCGATGCGGGACATGCGAGGTTAGCTTCTCCAGTGTTCAGGAGATGAGGACCCATGCGAAGAGCCAATTGCAGTATGTTCCTACCATTTCCCTTTCTCCCCGGCTTTTTCCCCTGCATTCACTGCGCCCTATGCAGGAACTGAACTAACACTCCAATCCTAGTGTTGAGAACCTCCGCCGTCGCCTCATCGAGCAAGACCCCGTCGCCCACGAGCCTGAAAAGGACTACGGTGACTACCCAAGTGCATCTGAAGAAGACGAAGAGGAGGAAGGCGCCAACTCAGACGCCTCCATCCACTCAGACTCCGACACCCAGTCCCACGCACTGCATCCTCCATCTATACCACCATTCGACCCCGACACCTGTCTCTTCTGCCGAGAGACCACCTCCGACTTCGACTCTAATCTCACGCACATGTCCAAATCCCACGGCTTCACCATCCCCTCCCCGGAATCCCTCCTCGTAGACCCGGATACTCTCCTCTCCTACCTCTACCTCGTCATCGAGGGGTACCGCGAGTGCATCCTCTGCGGCACCCAACGAAACAATCCCCACGCCATCCGCCGCCACATGCTCGACAAGAGCCACTGCCGCTTCGACATCTCCCCGTCCACCGAATATTCAGACTTTTACTCCAAGCAAGATGCCGAAAGTCAAAACTATCAACTCACGATAGCAACCACCCGCCTTCACGTTCGTTCCGATGAGGGAACGCTCATTCTCGCCTCGGGCAAGATCCTTGCCAGTCGATCCGCGCCTGCGCCCCGCCCTCCTCGCCTCTCAAAGGACAAAGGCAACAATTATACTACGCCTACGGAAAAGACGGCAGTAGACGGTGCGACCTGTACGGAACTAACGCCCAGGTCCTCGGGTGCGTTGACAAAGGCCGAGAAGAGAGACGTCACGCTGGCGAGTAAAATGACCTCGCTGAGCATCTCTGACCAAAAGGCCATTGCACATTTGTCCCCCTCGGAGCAGAGGGCTACGATTGAGAGGCGGGATAGGGAAATGCAGAGGGAGAGGAGGGCGGATAGGAGGATGATGAGTCGGGTGGAGGCTTTGAGTAATAAGACAAAGATGCACCATTACCGCCCTGCTGGGAATGAGCGGCCAAATGGTTAAGCGGGTGTGTGTGGTGGAGATTTTGTCGCGGTGAAGTTGTGGCTGATTTCCTTTCTTCTTCTTTTCTTTGCGTAGCTACGATACGATAGGTCCATTACATGAAAAATACACTCGATAATACAACTGGAGATCTAATGTGATCAAAACTGTGTTGTTATTGAACCCCCATAATATGCGGGCGTCGTCTGTCCAACTTTGTTGATGTACATCAATGTTGTGCCGAATTTTTTTTCAGCTGCGGTATTTTTCAGGGTGGGATGACGATCGGCACACTCAGCAGGATGGGGGGTGATTCACGAGTAAAATGTGACATGTCGAGATTCCTACTGCGGCCCAGCCTTACTCCGTTAGGCTGGAACGACGGGGAGCTCGCAAAGTGTCCCAAGAATAGAAAAAGGACCATGCCCAGCTCAGCAGAGAACCAACCAAACGTGCGGGATGCCCGGATGCGTTAAAGTGCGAACCTGACAATTAGGAAGGTGAAGGGAAGTGCAGAAGAATTAGAACGTGTTGGCTCTCTTCCCGTCCTGTAGTCTGGCCGTTATAGCAAACACGAAGCCTTGGGTATTGGCGAACCCAGGTTCCCGCAGGCACGGCTCGTCCAAAAAGGGCCCGACGGCTGCATGTGTGATACATGATGCAGCACGGATACAGCACGGATACGGGATAGATCCTTCATGTTCTCTCGAGTGCGAGCCAGGGTCTAGTCGGGCCTCGAAAGAACGTGAAAAGCTTCCTCTTTCCTAACTCACTCTAACTCACAACCAATGATGCCCTATTCCAGAATGATCTATCAAGGTGCCCCCGCCCAGGTCCGGCTCCGCGCGGATTCTATCCGCCGTGCATCATGCCCTGTTCCCTGCTAGTTCAAGGCGTGTAAGGCCCGTGAAAAGAAACCCACAGCAGAGATTTAAGCACATCAAGGGTGTAGTTCCATCACAAGCGTCCCATCAAGGAAAAAGATCAAGAGGAGAAAGGAAGCAAAACATCCATAGCCGCCCAAGCCGCGCATGTAAGTGCCAACCTCACCCCCGATACAGATTGTGATGTGACATCGATCCTAACTCCATCCCACTCGGATAGATTTTCCTCCTCAAGATAGTGTGCAATACTCATCCCGAAGTTACAATCAGGTCACAATTACTTTTGGTTTGTAGTGGAAGAATAAGAAATATTAGAAAAAACTACATATTTCACATTGCTGCCCCAAGTTGGGCGTCAATCTCCCCGCTCCCCGGCGCTGTGCCCTCCTCTCCCCTTCGACCTAAAATCTCTCTCTTTATTTTTCACTTTATTTATATCCAAAAAAAAAAAAAAAAAAAAAATTACAAATTGTCCTCTAAATAGGTAAAATTACAATGTTAATCAATCCCCAAGAGAGAGAAAGGAAAATCCATCTACCCCGTTGGCTTTTCTCTTTCTCTTCCCTAAATGCAACGGGCCAGCCGTGAAGGTGAAGAAGCATCTCGGGAAGAACGGTCTCGACCAGCTCTCATGTCGTATGCGTGTGATATTGGCCTCTCCCCCTCCATCTTCCTTCCCACGAGCAGGAGGAGCGGCGCGGTGACTGAGAATCAGTTGAGTTGACCAAGGAATAGTAAATATAAGAAGAAAAAAGAAAAGAAAAAAGAGGGAAAAAAAAAGGAGACGAATTAAGGAAAAGAGAAGAGAAGAGAAGGAAGGGATGCCCGATGCAGTCCAATTTCTAATGCCAGTGTGATGAAAATGACAAACTTTTTTGGTTCCTCTGCTATGCATATCGATTCTCCTTGATTCCAAGGTTTGTCGATACTTTCTTTCATCGATGGTGCTTCACACAAACAAATGTCCAATTCTCTCTCGCATCGAGTGGCGTCCTTTTCTCCATTCCCCCTCCTCCCTTCTCTCCTCTCCGTACAGGCAATGGAATCCACTCTTTCCAGCATTCGTCCCCCCCTCCGGCCCAATCCCCCCTCATCCGCCTCAACTGAGAATCATCTTCGAGGCGAGTTGGGTTTAAGATTGGGCTTTTTCGACCATTTCTACCTCGGCGGAGGGGACGGCGGTCTAGTCACAGGCGTATTATTCCTATCCCCTGCAGCTGGAGGGTGCCAATGATCACTCCTCTCCGGAGTGGGCATCTGCGCCCCGAGAGGCGACGCCCTCTGCCCAGTGTCGTGCGTTGCCCGCCTCGAAAGCCTAAGCGGGGCAAGCTCATCAGAACCGCCCAGGGCGAAGGCAGTCTGATGCGCGAGGTTCAGGCTTCCGTGACCGCGGTGGCTGGCTGCTATCGGGGGTAGTGGGCGCGGGGAAGGACGTAGGATGTGCGTATCGGGAGGGGCGCTGGCCGCCGGTCGTGGGAGCGAAGACGACGAGGGCGAGCCTTCTTCTCCGGCGCGGCTCTTGTACCACCGATCGTAGACCTCCTGGAATCCAGAGGATAGATCCGACCTTAGAGTGTCGGCGTTGATGCCCTGGAGACTGTCCCGGGACACGAGATCGGAAAACTTGATCCTCTCAAGGATGATGTCGGGTCCGTTCGTAGTCAGGTAGCTCACGAATTCGTCGAGATCCTGCGAGAGCTCGGGATCCAGATGCACCGAGGCGGGCCTCTGCGCGTTCGGGAAGATGATATCGTAGACCTCGTACCACTGGCCCTCGAGAGAATTCTTCTGATTCACCCGGCTCCGCAGCTGGAAGATTTGATCCTCCGTCACGCCGTCGGGCGGGCTGTACGGCCTCCGCGTGCACGTCATCGAGCGTATGTGATGCCGGAGCTGCTCGTCCGTCTGGAACAGCGCGTTGCAGATCTGGCAGTGCGGAGGCATCCGGTGCGCGCGGAGGATGTGCTGCTTCACGTAGCTTATCTTGGTTAGCAGGATACGGCGGCAGTTTCGATACCGCGCCGGGTTCCACTTGTAAAAGGGGCAGGCCAGGATGACGCGGGGCCGATCTTCGGTGCGGAGTCTTCGCGGGCGAGAGGGTTGGCTCTCGTGGTCCGAGGACATGACGTCGGAGGGCGCGCGGCTTCGTTTGGTTCCCGCACGAGCCGGCCCGGATGATCCCGAGCCGGTCGTGGCACCTGCGACGGTGTCGCTCGGGACGCCGCCGCCCGTCGATTTGGAGGTGCTGTTCTTCTCTGTTGCTGCGGATTGCTTGGACGACGACGGGTTCTGATCTTCGGTGTCACAGGGGACGATGGTCGTCGTGTGGGACACCGAGGTACCTGGCTCGTCCCAGCTAGACCCTCCACACGAGGTAAAGGCATCATCCTCGTCCTCTTCGTCGTGATACCTTTCCCACTCGTCCTTGAAGGGCCCGATGGCGGTGAGCCGGTGATGACAGAGGTCTCTAGGGAAAAGACCATTGGCAGTGGCGGCGGGGAGCTCTGCATGATGTGCAGCAGCAGCAGCAGCAGCAGCAGCAGCCTGTCCTCCTCCAAAGGAGAAATGCAGGTTAGTAGCATCGATGCACGGAGATGGCGAAGGGAGAGCGAGGCAGCCTAGGACGCTGTCATTTTTGACTATTTTGTGAGAGAGCTGCGACTTGAGGTCTCGAGACAGCACCTGGTCAAGGATGCAAGGTGGAGCGTCCAGGGTGTGTGCGTGTTGGCAGGGTTCCTCCAGGTCTTGGATCTCGCAATCGGGATCCGTTATAACGGGCGGTCGGAAGGAGAAGGTGGACGCATTGTCCAAGAGTCCACTTTTTGCGAGCACGGCCGTTGTCGAGTCGAAGGAGGGCGACAATACCATCTTTTTCTCGGGGGGAAGTGCTTTCGACTTTCGGTTTCGAGGCGGTGAGAAAGAGAGAAGGGAGGGAGGGTAGAAGGGAGAGCACGAGAGAGAAAGACGAGAAACGAAACTCTCAGTTCTCACAACAACAACAACAACAAAAACAACAAAGGGCTGGCAGGACGGGCAAGAGGCTGGCAAATGTGATTAAAGAGGAGTCGGACGAGGGGAAACAAAAAAAACAAGAGAGTAACACTATACTAAACGAAAAAACGACACGGAGTGGGTGGACTGTCCATATCCCTACTTTTTTTTTCATCTCATGGCAGCCAAAACCTTACGACACGTCGATATCTGATGAGCGATGGCAAAGCTCGAGGGAGTAACTAGAACCGGCAGCAGGACGGTCATCCATGGCCCAACTCGTCCCAAGGCCTGGCCAACGCCCATGTGTGGGAGATTGCACATTCTCGCCCACTCGTTGCCCACCTCCTCCACTCACACTCCCGGCGTGTATTCGTAGAACGTAGAACTCGGTCGTCACAGAAACTCTTCCTCTTCGCTACTCCGAAGAAAGTACACGAAAGGCACGCGGGAAAAAAAAAACATGAGTGAAATTTCGGGCTTCCATGCAGAACATCTAGACCACTCAGTACATGCCACGACTAGACGCTTTTGCTGTGGGATGCAAAAGCGCTATTATTGATTATTTCTTCATTTATTTTTTTATTCCTGGTTTCTTTCTTTCTCCTCATCTCTCTCTCTCTCTCTCTCTGCGCTTTATTTTGTTTTCCTTTGCTCGGCCCATGGTACAGCACTAGCACGGCACAAGACAGCACAGAGTGTGCGTTGCGCCAAGAGTGGCCACACATCTGGCGATGGGTTGCTTCGTTGGGCCTCAATACATTTGCGAACATTGATGCCAACTCACCTCACACGCGGCAGACGAAACGAGAGCACACTTGTGGAGAAAGACACCTTGGGGGAGGAGGGAAGAAGCCGGAAACTTGCGGTAAAGCAAATCCCGCAAACGCAACCCTGTCGTTCCCACAGCTGCAGCTAACAGCCGAGACTATACTATGTTGGCGATTTTTTTTCCCCCTCCAAGCCGTATAAGGGAAAGGACGCCAAGGAAATCGGTCATCTTCAGAGATATTTCGAGATCGGAAACCGGCGAGAAGCTAAACTTCTCCCAGTCCTCTCTGAATCCCGCCAACTTGAAGAGCAGGAAGAGATTGCCCCAAGTAGGTTACCTCTGGGATCGAATTTAACAGGACCACTTGACTCTTC